TAGTTTCATGATGAATACTTCATTCACAGAATGCGGAAAGGTGTTTATGAGCTCGGATTTGCCTGTCAATGGAAAATTTTGATCGATATCTGAGCTGAGGTATTAACGCATGACACCTAATTGGCTTAAATTCCTTGGCACAGTTCCTGTTGTGCTGCACTCAACTGAGGATTGAAATCAAGAGCAAATCATGCCAGCATTTTCCATTTGAATGCCCCATGCCTCACGCCCCATGCCCCATGCCCCATGCCCCATGCGCGCTGGCGAGTCGCCCACACATTGATTTCTGTGTAAATTGTGTGTGGAACTGCCTCTGAATGCATTCGCAGCAACTGTCGACCACTTTTCACCTTCTTCTCTTTATTCACGCCACTTGCCGTGATTTTCTATATCTCGCTGATCTCTCCCTCTCTCTCTGTCTGTCTCTGCTCGTCTCTCACTCGCTCTGCTCATTTCGCTAGCTAAAAATGCATTTCCTGTCAAGTGTAAAAAGGAAATGATGTGATGCTCTCGAGCTTTAACGTGCAATCAATCATTGCCGCCTCGTACTCGTATCTCTGCTATTTTACAGCCCGGCACACACAGCAGCCGCCCTACTCGCAACTCGCGCCCATCCTGTTTGTCCTTGACTGTGTGAATTTGTTTTTCCCCTTTTTTTGCTCAGTTCAGCTGCTATGTGCAGTTGCCAGTTGCCTGGCCGTCGTTTGTGGCTGGCAAAGTCAACGAAAACGAGTTTATTAAGCCAGGCAAATAGTGTTAAGTATTTGTCAAATGTCAAAGTGTCTCCCCCACCCCTCCGCCCCACCCCTTGCTCCCCACCCGCTCGTGAGTGTACTCGCTTTCCTATTTGATTCGCTGCATTTCCGTTACCGCAATTTCCGCTGCTCGCCAAACGCCATTAAATGTAGCTCTGCCTGCAGGAAATCATTAACGGGTTACATCTTTTATGCAGCAGCTAAATACAAGATAAACCCACAAGGCACAAAAATGCAAAGCAATTTAGATACCCTGTAATTTGATACGCCTGGCAAATGTGGAAGACTTCCTTCCGCCACGATATTTATATCCTAATCCGAGCTTGTCATGTAGCCGGCAGCCTTTCTTGATATCTGTAGAGGTGACAATTAGTCTGTTCACTTCATGACAAATTCCCTTAAGTTAAACAAAAAGAAGATGACCTTGCACAATGATTCTTCAAATCTTCAGCTGTACTTACATATGCTACCAAATTCCTATGAATTGGTGCCAGGGCCTCATCGAGTGCCTTACAGCTGTCAATCAATAGTAAAACGTAAGTATTTAATCAACAAATATTTATAAAACATAAAATATGCAGTTAGACTGATGTGCAAAGGTTTATTCTTTTTAGTGGCTACTATTTTTATGAACAACTAACTTTAGTTTATTTTTCTGTCTTTTCTTAAGTGCACATATTCCCAAGTTTGGAATCAGAAAAACATCTAAATTAATAAAAAAATGCTTACCTTAATATTCATATTTAAATTGTTTTCAAAATATTGTGTTGATTACTAAATTCTTTTGTCCAACATTTACTGCTCAGTCGCACTACTATTTTTATGAACAGTTGAAATTTTCTGTCCAATTTCTTGCCGTTGCCTTAGCCAGCATATCTTAAGTCTGGATTATTCCTTATTAAATTCTGTACAATATTTGTGATTTAGGTTCGTCCGCATTTTTAGCCTTCGTTTAGATGCGAGCTGGTTTGGCTGCGGTGCCAGTCTATCTAGAGCTGTGCGACATGACGCATTTTGCTTGTAGCAAATAGACTTCAGAGTGCCAGGCTGCCTGCTTTATCTGTATATGCAAATCGCATGTCAAATTTTACTGGCTTCTACTTAGACCTTGTCGCGTTCCTAGAGCAGCGCGCTTTTCATTGGCAATCAATATAATTACGCAGCAAATTCATAAAAATATATTCTTATTATTTGCTTAGAATATTATATTTAGAAATGTCATCTCAATTGTCAATCTATAAAATAGGAAAATAAAAATGTATAAATATATATATACATTTTTATTTTTCTATTCTATAGATTGACAATTTAAATGACATTTCTTTAAATATATATATATATATATATATATATATATATATATATATACATATACATTTAATATTAATTGTATTGTTTTGCTCCTAAGACTTCTGCTAAGCAAACAAATAATATCTATAATATTTGTAAGTTTTTAAATATCTTATAGATATGTGTGTATATGTAGGCTATGTAGGACAAACAAGATGTGACGATATCTACGAATTCATCAAAATATCAATGGAATTTTCTGCCGAAAAAAACTTGAATTTAACAGAAACTAATTAACTAATTTTTATTCCACCTCAAATAAGCTTCAATGCTCTTTCAGTATTCATTAAAATTTTTTATATTATATTTCATTTCCATTAGCATTTCATAAATATTTTAAAGTGAGTGAGATTAGATCAAAGATATTTCATCTAATTTAAAAAATGTATAAAAAGCGAGCATATTTACAGTTCAGATTGCTTCAGATTGCTTTGATACAATATATAATATATATATATAATATATATTTTTATTTATAAATATATTATATTCTTATACCTTAAGCACTTTTATTTATTTACAACATATTTTATACACTAAGACTTCAATTTACTTGAAGTATTTATGTTAAATCGCTTTGCGTCTTCCAGTTGCCTTTGGTAATCCGTAATTTGTTTTCCTTGCCTTTTTCCGCACTCGACTTATCTGTAAAGTATCTTAACAATTGTTTATTGTCACACTGCTCGAGTTCAAGTTCAAGCCTTCAGCATTTCGCTTTTTGCGAATACCATATCCATCCATCCATCCATCCATCCACCGCAGACATATTTTTTGCAAGCAGCTGAAAGCTGTTGCCCACGCCGGTTTATGGGCCTGGGGTTACGTGTCTGGAGGCAGTAATTGGCATTTAATAGGCTCGAGCAAAATAGAATGGAAACGAAATCCACTTATGAACGCATTACGCACTTTTAATATTTTAACTGAATGGAAACGACGATCGCCTTTCAGCTGCTCGCTGCCAATTGAGACACATGTAGTAAGAGTTGGCCACTTGAATAGGCTCGGAATTCCTTGAATTTCGTTGCCGTTTAATTAGATTTATGCCAGTAAATGAGTTGACAGTTATTCTTCTTCCTCTTCGTGGACGCTGCGTGCGCCCCATTGCCATGAAAAACCTTTTCATTTCTGTGGTCAGACCTTCAGCCTTTTGTGTTCAATGTTTCCGATTTTTAATTAAAATTGCAGTCAATTGGGCTCGAATGCTGCTTGGCTAATTGTTAAGTCGACCCGAAGGTAACCAACAAATAAAAAAATATATTTCGTTCTAAACATCAATACAAAGCAGAGTGCTCCCAGATAACGTTATTGCCTTTTCTGTTTCTCTTCATTTGAACTCTAGAACTGTACTTAAAGCTCGGTTTTTTTTTTGAGTATTTTTTCGTGTCTTAAGCTACTTTTTATATAGTGAGTGCATTGAAAATGGGAATTCAGGGTATAATGGTTGAAGCATGCGTGTAAGACCCCACAAAGTATTTATATTTTAGAGTAAGACGACGAGCTGAGTCGTTCTAGCCATGCCCGTCTGTTCGTCAGGGTGTCCTTTCGTCCGTATGAACTCTTGAGAAAGCTAAAGAATTGAAAGTTTGAAATGTATATTCGTCTATACATTGCACAGTAAAAGTTTAATTTTTCGACAAATCATCGATAAAAATCGATAGTTTGGCTTCGTTTTTAAGCATAGCTTGAGTACCACATATGCTGAAGGCTTCAATCTTACTGTGTAGGTTTCAGCAATGCATTCAGAGATGCTGTTTATTTTGAATTTGAATTGCTTTTCCCACACTGCAGTCTGCAGCCCAAGCGCAGCAGGGTTCAGGGTATCTTCTAGTCGAGACTTTTACTTGTTTTATATAGTAAAGTCTTGAATTAATTTTAGAATGAAGCGTTTGTTAGTGCTTATATATTTACTTATATTTTATCTTAGCATATTCTGACATATGAAGAATATATTAGGATATACTCATATATTAGGATATACTCGATATATATCTATTTGAATATATTGTTTGCTTTTACTATCTCTAAAAGATACGTTTTTAAGACGTTCGTTTGCATTATAAAGATACTTTTGGATTCTTAGGCTACAAAGGAAATATACGTTTGTATTTGAATTTTCAATTTATAATATCACTTTTAAGGATAATAATGGGACGTAAATAAAATGTTATATTTAAGAGATATTTTAGTAATTTATTAAAAATATATTTTCTTCTTCTGAAAATTAATTTTATTGCTAGTTTTTCATAGAGTGCTTAGAAAAGTTTTAATTACGTAAAACCCAATTGTTTTTGCTACGGTTATGCATAGTAAAAGTAACCTATGTATGCTTAGATACTCAAAATTGTTGTGTATCTTAAAGATACATTTGCAGTGTATACTTTATATTGCGCGATTTGTGTACTTTACGTTAATGAAATCATTCAGAAAATTGATATTTTTGTCTAGTTTATAAGTAGTTTGTAATTATGATATGCATAGACATGAGTGTATGGGTTTTTTACCTTCTGGATTTAGCTTGAGCTGACTTGAAGCTATATTTATGGTACGGCTTGGCGTTGCGTTTGGCATATCTAAAGTGAAGACACAGACAATGCGACAATTAACAAGTGAATAAACAAAATGCTGACATGTGGGGCATGGACAAAGCTCGAAAATGGAGCACAGACATTCCCTAAAAACAACCAAAAAGAAGCAAAGCTAAAACTGAAACTGAAACTGAAACTGAAAATCATGCAGTAAATGAAGCAAATGTTGCTGACATACAAACGAGAAGCGAAGCACAAGCAAAATGTGCCAAAGGTGTTGACAGACGAACAAATCACCTAATGGCAAGACTGACGAGACAGAAGCAACGACAGTGGCAGTGGCAGTCGCAGAGACAGAGGCTGGGCTGGGCTGGGCTGGGCGGGCTCTAGTTCCTCAACGGCTGACAATGGCCGACAAGCTGAGCGCACTAAATTTTTTATTTCAAGTGCAAAAAATTGGAATGTGATGTAAGCCAGGCGTTGATTGAGGAATGCAGAGCGCAGTTCGCTTTGTTGACCGATAATGATCGGCTTAATTGAATAATAGTCAATAGGCCTACAAGGAAGCGCCGGCAGCGCTGAACTTGAAAAAACGCACAACAAAAGCCGTCAACAGACCGAAAAACAACGACAAATGAAACCAGTTTGCTACGCAATTGTCACACAATTGTCAACGCGTATCTATGAGATACTTTTGTATCTTGCTCTTGTACTTATTACCGGTTTGGCCTCTGTGTGTGTGTGTGTGGGTGCACAGTGTCTGTGGGCATGGCCATGCTAATTCTAGCCACCCGCCCGCTCCATATAAAGTGACAAGCGCGCAGCCCCAACCACATCATTTAGCAAGCGTCGCTCACAACGCCAAGTGTCGACATCCGTCTAGGACCACCAATTCGAACCGGATCGCGTTATATCCACAACTCGAACACTCTGCCCTCGTGTGCGCTCGAACCGAAAAAACTCGAACACGTGTGTGTGCGTCTCTACACAGTCGAACAGAAGACTCAAGCTAACAAAATGGCAAGCCAAGTAAGTTTCCTCAATATACACAACCAACGGATATACGACTGCGGTGCCCAATGAACTAAACAGACGGAAACTAAGGGCAGAACTCTATCACATCTATTGAAACTGATAAGAGTTGGCTAACAGCAACAGCTAGCTGCTTCTCTTAGCTGCTGTTAAAGGAAACTTGATGGGAGGTGTTTCTGCAGGCAAGATCCTTGCTGCTTCCTTCTTATATTGTCCTGCCTGCAGCTCGATCGATATTCTGCCTGTTGCTTGATCGATATCCATTTTTCTGTTCCTGTCATTCAATGTTATTTGGCAGCCGTCTGCTTCCTTCTCACGTTTTCTTCTAAGCCAAACTTTGGCTTCTTAATCTGTTGCTGTTTCCTTCCTCATTTATCTGCATCTTCATCTGCTGAATTCGCTTCAATTCCTATTCATGTGGAGCTTCTTTTTAGACCCTCCCTATTCTTCCTCCTTCTACTCCTGTAGAACCTCTTGTGGATCAAAACTTTCAGCTGTTAATTCTAACTTCTACTTACTTCCTTATCACTTCCTTAGCTCTTCATATTTATCACATGATCAGCTACTCGCTCGCTCTTCAAGTTCTTCCTGGCACCCACTTAATTTTCCATCTTCCAGTACATCCGAGATTTTTTTTCAGATATATTATTTTCTTGTTTCTCATCTCAATCTCATTCGAATTAAATTTTAATTTTCATTCCTTCAAAACTATATCTGCTCAGTTTCTGACTGCTCTGTCGCTTCTGGCGCTGACCGGCTGCTGCTTGGGCGGCTTTGCAGCCACTTACTCGGGCTTCCATCCAGGATATGCCACCTATCAGTCGGCCCCAGCCGTGTACCATGCTGCGCCCGCTGCTGTCTACCAGCAGGCGGTGGCAGCCCCAGTGCTGGCCAAAAGTGTGCTGCCCGTCGCACCTGTTTACGCCAAGTCCTATGCTGTGCCCACGCCCTTTGTCAAGGCCGTTGCTCCAGTGGCCACCTATGCGGCCGCCCCTGCACTTGTGAAGACTGTGGCTGCTGCACCTTTGGCTCCGGTTGTCAAGCAGGTGGAGCTGGAGTCGTCGCCTCGTTACGATTTCTCCTATGGTGTGCACGACTCGCTCACAGGCGACATCAAGAGTCAGGTAGAGAGTCGCGATGGTGGCAACGTGGTTGGCTCCTACAGCGTGCTCGATGCCGATGGCTACAAGCGCACAGTGACCTACACAGCCGACGACATCAATGGCTTCAATGCAGTGGTGCAGCGTGTGCCACTGGTGGCTGCACGTGCCCTGCCGGTGCCTGTGGCACCTGCTGTTGCTGCTGCACCTGTGGCTCATCTGCCAGCGCCCATTTACTACCCACAAGCTCAGCAGCAGCTCTTCCAGCCACAGCAACAGCAGCTCTTCCAGCCACAGCAGCAGCAAGTCAATGTTGAACAGGAGAGTGAAGTTGTGGAAGCGCCACGTCAACCTGAACAGGAGCCAGCACCTGTCGATTACTCGGATGTGCAACAGCAGCAGCAGCAGGTTTACCCACAGGATCAGCAGTTTCCACCTTACCCATCTGCCTCGCCCGCACCTGTTGACGATTCGGACAGCGATGTGGTTGAGGCGCGCTCCGCCCAGGAGTCAGGCAGCACCACTGCTGCTCCAGCTGCCGTTGAGGAGGGAAACCAGAAGAACCAGGACAACAAGTCCGCTTAGATTGTGATCCCATTGCATAATTCCACAAAGCTTGTTGAGATTAAAACCGAATATATACAAAAATTCAAGTTCAAAGTTTTTTTCTTTCATTCCTTCAGACGAAGTCAAAGTACTTCCTGTTCGAAGGAATGCCTTGTTTATTACTTCAATAACATCCAAATATATTTCTTATTAACATACAATTTTTGCAATTTTTATTTCTTTTTAATTGTGATTCTCGAAGAGAATCCAATTTGATAAGTGTGATCGATATTACCAGGGGAATCCGTTCGTAAATCAGGACATTTTGATCAATTATTTTCCAAACTTTTGACAATGTAAGTAAAAAGAAAAAGGTGCAAGAAATCAGAAATATGCATTTAGTATATATATTCGTGATCGCAATTTACGATCGAGTATATTCAGTTTTCTTCTGCACACAATCAAAGCATTGAAAGCAGCAAAGCCTTAAAATCTACTATTTTGTCATACAATTTCCTTCAATACTCTTCCTATGCCTAGCGCAACTACGCTATTCAGAGATTCAATTTTTATACTTATTATTTATACAAAAGTTATACGACCAATAACTGAAAATGTTCGCAAAGGATAAACAAGTAGAGCTAATATACTTTTTTGTGTACCTTTTGAATCTAGTTTTATGTCAGCAATTGGAATTTCTTTGCTTACAATGCAGATTCCGCGCTTGTGGATGGTAAATGTCTTTGCTGCAAGCATGTGGACTATATTTTAATGCACATTTTATTTGTAGCTAGAAACGTTCAGCAGGCACAACTTTAATGATAATAAGCACAAGGGGTCATAAGCAGCTGTTTAATTTCACAGTTATAAACATAGGGACAACATAATATACAAATTTAACTGAATTGGCTCTGCATAAAAATTAAAATCCACAAAAAAGAATTTATATTATTTAGTTGTATGTTCGCGCCATCTGTTGTGTGATTGCGCCATCTGTTGTATGATCGCGCCATTTAGCCATCGATCACTTGAAGTTGTGCACTTCCATTTTGAGTTTTACAGCACGCTGGTATATCTTATGCTGAACTTAAATATAATGTTGATTAAATTATACTATACTATAACTATATATGTATATAATATATTGTTTTAGAGGTAGATGCAACATATTTAAAAGAAATTATCGAATCTATTAATATCAGCTATCGCACACTCGGTTAACAATATATCGATATGTTAAGCATCTCTAGGCAAGTTAAGCATCTCGTTTAAACTGAACGGAACTTTTGAAGCGCAAAGCAGGCGTGGAAATCAATTTCCTTGCGATATTCTGTATTACAGTTATTGAATATTTCAGTGTTATTCCGATTTTAAAAGCGTTAACACGCCCAGCTTTTTGGATATTTTTCAAATTTTTAGTTTTAAAAATTTTCGGCTAAAATCCATTAATGATAACTTAGCACACCCAACCAGTGAACCATATTTTAATATACAGCTTCATTAAGAAAGGTAAGTAAGTGAAGGAAAATAGAGAGACGCGAACTCAAATGGCGGTGAACTTTCGGTCCCCTTTGAGCCTCGTTCTTAGGCACAGTTAATCGCAGTCGCAGCTGTTGCTTTGTTGTTGCTGCTCGCTGGTTTGGCCTTGTAAAGCCGGCTCTGCTGAGCGCGGCAAAGGTAAAGGTAGACGAAAAATGTTCAGGGATAAAAGAAATGCAAAAAAGTACGAACACAGACGCACTTTTTAGCGCGCGTCTATATGAAAGTGTGTGTGTGTAGTGTGAGGCAATCGAAACAGCCCTTGCATTCAATCTCAGAATTCTTCCACATTTCTGAACAGGCTCACAAACGCACATTTTTCCTTTTCAGCTGTACACTTGTTATCGTAGCAGAAACATTTTAAAATTGTTTGAGAAAGAAACCAAATACTAAAAAATATTACAACATGAATAAATCGGATGCAAACACACGCCAGGGCCACTACAAGGCCAACACTCTCAACGCGCAGGTAAGTAGCGCGCTCTTTTGAAAACTGCATTTCGTCTCTAACCTCACTTTGGATGATGACCCGCTTAGGAATCGCGCATGCGTCGCCATGAGGTGACCATTGAGCTGCGCAAGTCGAAGAAGGAAGATCAGTTGTTCAAGCGCCGCAACATCAATGATGAAGATCTAACCTCCCCCTTGAAGGAAATTAATGGGCAGTCGCCGGTGCTGCTGTCGGTCGATGAAATTGTGGCGGCCATGAACAGCGAAGATCCGGAGCGTCAATTCGTGGGCATGCAGCAGGCGCGCAAGATGCTTAGTCGCGAACGCAATCCGCCCATTGATCTAATGATTGGTCATGGCATTGTGCCCATCTGCATACGCTTCCTTCAAAATACCAGCAAGTAAGTTAATATAAAAAGACGGTATAGAAAACGGTCCTCATTCCCATCTCTGGTTCTGTTAGCACTATTTTGCAATTTGAGGCAGCTTGGGCTTTGACTAACATCGCGTCAGGCACATCGGATCAGACACGTTGCGTTATCGAACAGAATGCTGTGCCCCATTTCATAGCACTCCTGCAGTCGAAGTCTCTTAATCTGGCCGAGCAGGCCGTTTGGGCACTGGGAAACATTGCCGGCGATGGCCCTGCTGCACGTGACATCGTAATCCAGCACAATGTCATCGATGGCCTTTTGCGTTTAATCAATAATGAGACGCCTCTGTCGTTTCTCCGCAACATTGTTTGGCTGATGTCAAATTTGTGCCGCAACAAGAACCCATCGCCGCCCTTTGAGCAGGTGAAGCGCTTGTTGCCAGTGCTGTCGCAATTGCTGGTCAGCCAGGATATACAGGTTCTGGCCGATGCCTGCTGGGCTCTGTCCTATGTGACGGACGATGAAAACAGCAAGATACAAGCGGTCGTCGATACGGATGCAGTGCCACTTCTGGTGCGACTACTGCAAACCGATGAGCCCAGCATCATTGTGCCAGCATTGCGGAGCGTGGGCAACATTGTCACTGGAACGGATCAACAGGTCAGTCAAAATGACAAACGTATTCACGAGTCATGATGGATGGCTTTCAAGTATTTTAGCATTCGTGTGAGCTTAATTTCAATTCTCGTTGTAGACCGATGTGGTTATAGCTGCGGGTGGCTTGCCAAAGCTTGGGTTACTCTTGCAACACTCGAAGGGCAACATTGTGAAGGAGGCTGCCTGGACCGTGAGCAACATAACGGCTGGTAATCAGAAACAGATTCAGGCTGTTATCGACGCAGGCATCTTTCAGCAAATACGCCATGTGCTGGAGAAAGGCGATTTCAAGGCACAAAAGGAAGCCGCCTGGGCTGTGACCAATACCACTACTTCAGGCACACCAGAGCAGATTGTGGATCTTATTGAGAAGTACAAGATACTGAAACCATTTATCGACTTACTGGAAGCCAAAGATCCAAGAACCATCAAAGTGGTGCAAACTGGTCTTTCGAATCTGTTTGCGCTCGCCGAAAAGCTGGGCGGCACTGAGAACCTGTGCCTAATGGTCGAGGAGCTTGGTGGTCTCGACAAGCTAGAAGCATTGCAGCATCACGAAAACGTGGAGGTCTACAAGAAGGCGTATGCCTTAATAGATACATACTTCAGCACTGGCGACGACGAGGCCGAAAAGGAGCTGGCACCACAGGAGGTTAATGGCGCACTGGAGTTTAATGCCACGCAGCCCAAGGCACCCGAAGGCGGCTATACCTTTTAACAAACTTTTAAAATAAGTGCCAGCCATCAATACACATACACACATACTAACGCACACGAAACACATACTAACACGCACACCACCACACGTATACAGTTTTTTGTTCTTATGCGACCGCGCCTACACAATCTAAGAACACACTCCATTAGTTTGTCACTCCTAAGCACACCGAACACAACTCAACAAACGTTCAAAAGGTAGGCAGAGGCAGAGGCAAATCTTTGTTCAATCCCCATGCCTTTGCCTCCTCTATGTACACACCCTTGTTTGTTGTGCATTTCCGCATTGTCCCGCATGCGGCCATGAAAACGCATCTTAGGCGCGTTCTATTTTTTGTTTTTGGCCTGTTAAACAATCGCCACGTACACATATACACACGCACACGATCAGACACCAGGACCTGCCCAGCTGTGCTTGGTAGGTGAGCGTGTTTGAGAGAATAGAACTCACAGTATACAGTTAGTCAGGACGCGGCCTGTTGCGTTTGCATGGCCAAATGAAACTGTTTGGAGTGTGCTAGTTCCAAAATACATAAATCATTCTTTCGGATAATCGTATATTTAGGCAGTTAGTGTATTTATTTATTAATGTTTTTTGTGAGAACCATTACACTACAAAAAAACACAATTTAACCTTTTCGTGCAAACAACGCAGCAGCAAATGTGTCCCCATACTTGTATTGTTATAAAAGAAATATAATTGCATTGAAAGCAAAAATTGTAAGAAAACGCATGAGTTTAAAATGTGAATCTAGATTTTAAATATGAAAAATAATTTAGATGTGAAACATTACTCTGGAAAGAGAAGGCTAATTTAAGATAAAAACTGCTCTTTTGCAATTAAAACTGCTTATATACATGTGTATGTCGCCATATCTTTACTCCACAGCGCAACGACCCAAATGCGATAGATTAGATAAGTTGATTAGACAAAAGAACTGAAAACAAAGCGCAAGCTGCATGACACAATTCAATCAGGCGTCGCATCGTTGGCGTGCAGCATCCCAATCAGCGGCAATTCGAGTGGTTCCAGCGCCAACTATAATGGGCCTGCTCTCTCACTCCCCCTTCCTCTCGTTGCTCCAAGTGGAAGGGGCTGGCTGGCTAGCAGTTCGTGGCACAGTGTTCGGCAGTTTGGATGGAATACGCGGCGGCGAAATTATAAAAATAGATTAAAATTTTTAGCGTCGGCCAAAGTAGTTGCAGAAAATTCAAACTTAGCCAGAGCTTTCCGACCCGTCGTTGTCCAAGTGTCGTCATCAATGAAGAGCGTCGGCCCAATTTAATTAGAGATTCTTTCAAATCATTTTCGTGTTCAGCTCTAGCTGAGCGCATTTAGTTCAATTCTGTGCGAAGCTGCGCGCGGGCGTCAATTTTTTTACACTATTTATCAAGCGATTTCGTATTTTATTTGCGAATACAAAAGTTGCGCTGCTAAGTGAATAGATAATATAATAGGTATATCAAATTGGATATTTTATTTCGGAAGTGATATGTGTTTATAAACAGTTCTTGTAACTTGAAACTAAAAAAATTTAGAAAATTCTATTTGCTAAATTTCTTCAAAATTACAATGAAAACATTTAGAAAATCAATTTAGAATTTTATATATAAATAGAGTTGTGCTTCCCCATTTGTGTGCTTTCTCTTAATATCTAAATCACGATTATGATCTTCCTTAATGATCATGATCACAACAAAATTAATGCTCTGACCTCATGCTTAGCCATTGAAAATCTAGAGAGCATTTACCATCTGGCACTTGGTTCCAGTCCCACTCCACTCATCAGCTGTAAACATGCTCTACATTCTGCAAAATTTAGATAGAACATTTTGTTTTCGACATGGAAGCCGAGGAAAAACACTTTTGACAAATTCATGATGTAATTAATTTTCTAAAGAAAACACACAACAAAATTGGCACACCCAAAATAAACAATAAACATTTAAAAGTGTGCTCTGTAGTGCTACTTATAAAGCGGACCAAATGTGCAGCTGAGCGAAGAGACTATTTTAATACCCTATAAAAAGTTTTATAATTAAATATGATCTATGTCGAAAAATAAAAAACTCTTCAATTAATGCCTTGATCTATATGGGATATACATATTTAAAAATTGCTCATCAATTGTTACGCTTTTCATTTATCTATATAATTTATTGCGAATAGAGCGTTTCTTAGTCTAGTTCTCTGAATTATCAAAACTAAAGTTCTAAATTGTTTTTTTGTTTTTGTGTGGGCGAGATTCGCGTGAGATTAAAAGTTAACGAAAATATATGTGAGTGTATAAGTATATACATAAGATAAATATATATATAAATATACTTAAAAGATTTTATGTGTGCATGTTTGTTTAGCCGAGCAATGTCAAAAAGTTTTTCCGTTCTATGCTCTTGGTGTGCTTATGTACTTTGTGAGCTGAACGAGAATCGTGTCAAGTTCTTTGGGCTGGCAATTGTTTTCGTATGCTCGTTCACGAGGTGAAAAGAGCGTATTGATTTTGTGCAATATGCGTCTTACTGTTCGTCTGTTTACGTTAAAAATATACTCAGAGTACGCTCGTCGTATAAAGCAATTGGAGCCTATTAGGATGAAGAAAATGGTGTTGAAAACTATATTGTTTAGTCTTACAGCTAAAATTTCAATATATGACAAGTGCATCCAATAGAAGGTTTGATACAAAATTAAATATGTGTATATATACGAAAAACTCGACTTACTTTAATCAATTATAAATATAAATTCAAAATTATCAGGAGAGTCTATAGTTTCGGATAAGTCTACAGCATTCACTATTTTAGAGCCATGATTTCAAAAAGAGTATTGCGGCCGAATAACTGTTGATCTCAAGCACAGTTAGACCAAATGGGACAACATAAGTTAATAAATAAATTAAAAAATTTTTTGAATTAAAATTTTTTAAATTTATTTTTATACTCTATATTGCTGATTAAAACGGGCTTAACAGAGTATGAATAGCATTTTTGTTGAGCACATTTTCAATTTAAATTTACATTTTCTGATAGCTCCAAGACTGCAACTGAAATAAACATCTGTCCGTTTACAACTTACAATTCTGGAACCCATTTTAAAACTATTAAGATAAACAATACATCAAGATAGATGACTTCTAATGCTAACACGATATTTGCGAGTCGAGCATTCCCGTTTAGTGCAAATTTCGATTGGCTGCCCTGTGAAACGGAAGAATTGGAAATCGAATGTTTAAAAGGAAACGAAGTTTTGAGGCCATGGCCAAAGATTTTCTAATTGAACTAAACGCATCGAACGCCCACAACAATGAGAGAATATATAAAAATAGTTGTTACAGGGTTCCAAATGCGATTGCAATTAATATTTTATTTGAATACAAAGTTCAATTTTGTGTACTTCTTCTAGCCATCTCATTATATTTTGTATTTCTTGCTTACCGTCAGTTGCTTGTGCCCAACTATAAAATGTTGAACACCATAAAATAAGTCATATTTTGATAAAAGTTTTCACATGTGTTTCGCATTATGTTGCAAGGGCACCTTTTGATATCGATTATGAGCGTGTGTTCACTGTAGCGTAAACTATTTTGTATTTACATTCGCGATTATATTTGAAGAAAACAAACTGCGGATTTAGAATTGTTTATTGATCAAAAAATTAATTTATATACAAAATATTTATGTTTACATTGCATTGTAAGGGTATATCATAATGAGGGCATCTATAGGGAATTTTATGAAGATAACTTGTAATTAAAATGTTGTGCAGGGCTTTAATAATCTCACAGTTGGAGAGATCAATATCAATAATTAAGTAGTTCTTAAATAGATATTCATCCATATGAGAATGCATACACGTATTATATATATATATATATATATATATATATATATATATATATATATATATATATAAAGAGTAATATCTTTAAGCGATGCATTCAACGAAATATTTTATTTTACTACAGGAGATTCAGCTTGAGGCTTAAGGCTTTAAGGTAAGGCTTGCCTTTCTTGTCGCCTTCTTTGACTAGGTTAGACGGATATGGTTGGAACGTCTCAGCTTTGCTCTCTGATCAAGAATTTATATACTTTACAGAGTCTGCCACGCCTCCTTCTGCCTGTTTCAAATTGTATATTGCTTTTTCATTTTCAATGGGGTCAGGGTATAAAAACGCTGCTAAGGAATACGAATTATTATAAATAAGTCCTAAATTTAAGGATTATTACCTGTATTACTATTATTATTATAATTATTATAATTATTATTTTGTTGTCCACAATTTTGGAATATATTAGAACTGCATTTCAGTTCATTGCCCGAAATACCTTCATCGAGTATAAACTATATAAGCACACATTCACCTTTCTTCTCCTATTTCGTAGCTCCCGTTTGTTAGCCCCACCTCAGCGCTGTCAGTATGAGTGCTGCGCCTGCCTCCCCAGCGTCCGGTGCTGCACTTGAAATCAATCTTGGAGCTGAGATCTTTCACAGCATAGCGTCCGCTGCGGCCGATGAGAATGTGATTATATCGCCGCTGCTGCTCGAGGCGACACTTGCTCTGCTCTACCTGGGCTCCGATGGCACGACTGCGGAGGAGCTGCAGCGGCTGCTGCAGCTGAAGCAGCGTTTCGCCAGCAATGCGAAGATGGCCAATTACTATGCAGCGGAGCTGGCTGCCGCAACGGGCGACCCGGACACACGCGTTCAGCTGCAGAATCGCTTGCTGCTGCAGGCCAGCGCCGGCACGAGCATTGCGGATGACTTCCAGAAGATTGCCCAAACATATTTCCACGCGACAGCCGAGTGCCTCGACTTGCAGCAGTCCGAGAAGCTGCGTCGCTATATCAGCGATAATATGTTGGCCAGTGTTGGCGGCGGCACCTGGCAGCAGCCTCTTCAGGTGAACGTCAGCCAGGTGGCACAGCGGCTGCTGCTGCTGCTTGTGGCGCGTCTGCACAGCAAATGGTTTCTGCCATTCAGTGCCTATCGCACGGGCCTCTACGAGTTCCACAGCTCCACGGGCGAGCCCAAGTCAGTGCCCATGCTCTTCGACGATGACATGTTTGTGAAGTACGCGGAGCTGCGGGAGTTTAACGCGCGCGCCATCGAGCTGCCCTACGAGCATGCCGACGAATTGGCCATGCTGCTAATCCTGCCCAACAGCCGCGACGCCTCGGCCTTGGCAGAGCTGGAAGCCCAGCTGCGAACTGTGGATTTGGCTGCACTGCAGCAGCGCATGCAGATGGAGAGCGTTCAAGTGTTGCTGCCCAAGTTCTCCATCGACTTTGAGTGCAGTCTACGGCAGGCACTAAAGCAGGTGCGTAAAGTACTCAAACTCTGGCTATTGGCATTGACAACAGCTTGTGCACGGGTTGCTTAAGAAGTATTTGCCACTGAAGTCTATATGTAAATTTATAGTCGATGAATGGGAATTAAGTGAGGCGTCGCAAGGTAGATATATATACGTATTTCTACTCACAATTGTCATTGAAAGCTGAGCTCATAAGGAGTTGACAATTAGCTAACGCAGTTGAAAATCGATGAGAATCGCTTTCTATCGAAATACGTTGCTTTTTCAGGATCTTTTATTATAGATTCATAGAATTTAGACAATTCGCGATACTCATTGATTTATAATCGAGTAATATTTCAATGCCATTTCCATTTTCAAATCTATTTCTAATTATTCCCTTGAGTTATGCACTTCAGATGTGGATGTAGGATTTGTAATGAGTATTTATGTGCAAAATCTATCTTGAGAATTCCAATTTCCATAATTTATAATATGACTTACCAAACTCTCAATACGATCTTAATGTTGCCAAGTATTCCAGTATATTTTCTATTACACCTTAGCTTTACTATAGTCTCTACTCGGACTATGTCTATAGTTTCTGTCAGGTCGGTCCTTTCTTCTTTTCAGCTGGATTCTGCAGTTTTCTCTATATAGACAGATATATATTAACTTATTAATCCACCCTCGCCATTTATTCATCTTTTTCACAGCTGGGTTTTTCGGAGATTTTTAACAACGCTGCCAACTTCAAGCATCTGCATTCAGTTGCCAATCAGCCAATTGTCGATGTGCTGCACAAGCTGCGCATTGACCTAAACGAATCGGGCTCCGGCTCAGAGTTGCCACAGCCAGCAACAGGTGAGAGGTCACTTAACTGACGTATATGATCGTATATACTCAAATATGTCATATTTTTCAGGCTATAAGCCAATTGTGATTAGCAATTCATCGCGTCAAAAGTTCTTTCGGGCGGATCATCCATTCTACTTTGCCATTCGGGGCGAGAACGTGACCCACTTTGTGGGGCATGTGGTTAGTTTTTAGTGGAGATGATTCAGAACATATAATAATAATCATAATAATAATAATAATGATAATTTGTACATCAACCATATTGATAGTAATAAATTAATAATATTTCATATACTCACCGTGGATTGTTGTGCCGATGTCTATAAATAAATCAGATTTCTTTGCTTCTAGATTTTGTATAACAAGAGTCTTGAGTTTATTCAAAGATATATATATGTATACATATTTTGTTGTTGCAGAAATAGTTCTGTAATATTCACTTTAGTTATACAATTATTGTAGTTTGTAGAGTTAATTTTGGTTTTATCATTTGATTTGTTTTATTAGCTCTAGGAAAATGTTAAATGGAATCAAAAAACCGAAGCACAGCTGTGCCCACATCGATTTAACCTAAGGTTAATTATTCATATTACTATAATCGGTTACTTTTATTTTTTGTTGAATGTTGATTTTCTTTTTCTTTTGTAAATCTAGCTAAAAAATGTGTTTTTCTTGCTTTGTTTAAATTTGTTAAATTCATTTTGTTTAGATGATTTGAAGTTTGATTTTGAATGTCATTTTACAGAGTTACTTGATTCGATTCGATTTGATTCGACTTGATGGTTTCATATTCACAATTGATTAAGAACTAAAAGGAACTAATCGAAGAAATTAAATTTATCAATTTAAGTACTAATAGTAATTATTTACAGTTCGATAAATTACTTTTATAGAGTTATTTACACTGATAAGACAATGAGAAGCGCTCGCCCTGTTTGGATTGAGTTTCTCCAATTATAGCTGGCTGCTCTGCTGTTCCTCTTCGCACTTCTTGACCACCACGGCGGGCGGTGGTGGTGGTGGTGGCGTGGCTGCATCCGCATCCAGACAGCCGCGGTTTAGCAAGTAGTCCAGATCGAGGCTAATGCGATCCAGAGTCGCATCGCCGCCTGAACTATTGTTGCTGTCTACTCCGGCGGTCTGCGTGGACGGCGTCGCAGATACTGTGGTGGTGGCCGTGGTGGTGGTTGTGGAGACAACTGCAGCCACCATGGTGGGCAGCATTGGATCGAAGGTGGTGCGCGACGTTGGCTCCAGTATGGTCACACGCTTCTGCGTCTTTGGTGTGGGCAGCGTGCTGCTGGCCATGATGGCGCCAGCACCACTCAGATTGCCGCTGATGGTGGGTGGCCCTGGTCCCGGTCCCGTTGCCGGTGCCGGTCCCGGTGGTGGATGCATGCTAAGCATCAACGGGTTGGGCACAAAGTCCACGTATGGATTGTGCTGCAGCGGCACGTAATGGGGCGTGGCTGTGTGTATGCCAATGATGCTGTCTGCAAGTGTGTGATGCGGTTAGCCACAGCAAAGTCGCACCTCGGTCAGGCACTTACCTGCTGCCAATCCCTGTAATATATCCAGCGTCTCGACGCCCACGAACTCGTCACATGCCCCTGCCGCATAATGTGGTTGATGGTGGTGCAGAATGCGTCTGCTCAAGCTGCCCGTTAGCCCGCCCATCGTGTAGGCGTCGTAGGCATAGCCCAGAGCACTGGGCGCCTCAGCTCCTCCTCCGCCGCCGAGCAGCGCACAGCAGCGTGCAGCTGGCGAGGCGGCCACCGTCAATGGCAGCTGCTGATGGCCACCGAGAAGAGTCTCTGCCGTGCTCACAATGGCCGCCTGGCAGCGCGGCGCCGTCGAGATGATTGTCAACGGCAGCTGCACAGCTCCGGCGGCTGTCGTTGACAGCTCCAGACCTTGCTTCGGCTGCAGCGGAGCAGCGCCTGCTCCGCTTGTCACAGCTGCTACTGCCGCTGCTGTTGCTGATGTGGCTAGGCATTCGCTCTCCTTTTCCTTGTCGTGGTTCGTATAGACTGCAAACGATGGGCAAATGGGTCGAGAGTTGCTCTCATTTGGCATTCTGCGGGTTTTCGCTACTTACAGCTCAGTGGACTATTGATGCTGGCCGTCGTCGTCGTGCAGTAGTTGTCGTCCAGGCTAGTTTTGCTCGTATTGAATTTGGTCTGCTTCAGCGAGCTGCTCTGGCTGCTGCCGTTGCTGCTCAGAAAGGGTGGTCCACGCAGTTGACTCTCAGCCTTAAGCACAAAACAAAACAAAATGCCAAAGCCCTGCAAAGAACAGATTTGTTTCTTAATATAAGAAGAAGATTGTAAAAATAATAAATAAATACTTGTATAGAGACATTTTGTAAGCGGATTAATATGCAGCTTGATTTTAAGTGCGTTGCAAATTTTATAGTCTTATTCACAGATAATGTAAAGTAATATATAATTTCTATTTATAATATATAATTTATATATATATATTTTTAAGTTTTTTTTATCAGTTTAAACGATACAGTTATTCACTGAATAATTAGCTACTCTAAACACCTATAAAAGATTAAAATTAAAATAAAATTATAATAGAAATTTCTTTCATTATTTCTTATATAGAATTATTATGGCCTTTTGTTTTTAATGTTATAAAAATATTTAAGATTTCAAATATTATATTTCATCAATAATATAATGTACAATTGTTTTAGAATAATTTATTTAAATAATAAATTCTATAGGCAAGCTTGTATAATTTAAATATTTTGAAAATAATTAATATTTAATAAAAATTAATGCATAATAAAACAATACAATACAATACTTCAAAATATGATATAAAATATACTAGGAATATTTATGCAAATAATAACTTATATACGTTATCTTTAATAATAAATAAAATATAATATCAAATATACTAGGATATAATAATTTATGTGAATAAAAAAAAAAAAAATAAAAATAAAAAAATCTATAAATATTGTAAAATTTAAGAATAATTAATATTTAAAAAATCATTGTATAACAACATATTAAATCTGCAAAAGAATGTAATAATATTTTATTTACCTAGTTTAGAAGTCTGTCTTCCTTATAGACGGGTATAAAATGATCTTAGTTGATATATATATATACGTATTTTTAATTAAAAACTTAATATTTATTTGTAAACTAAGTATTATATGTAGCCAGCCACAAATTTTTCATTTCGCAGCGAGCACCAAATGTATTTCGAAATTTGTTCTGGAAAGTTTCGCCCTGACTCCTCGTCATAGATGTCATTCGGAATTCTTCATTTAAATCACACGTTACGCTAACTAAGCAATTAAAAGTCCATTATAATACGAACTATATTTATTACTCTGAGCTCAACAGTAGCAGTAAAATGTAATTTGCATTCAGTTTTCATTTGACAAAGGCACTCAGCATACACGAAACGAAGGTACTCCTTGAACAAAATGAAATATAGTAAAAATCAGCAGAGTACTTTGACTATTTTATTTTAAAAATATAAAAGTCTTGAGAAAGATTTTAGTTTTCTTTAAGCATTGATCTGTGTTAATCATTTAATTAAATCAAATTAAATTTAATTAATAAGGAGAAGTTGACATTAATGTGAGAAAATAATTTTAAAAAATCTTGTGTCTAATGTACTTACAGCAATAATTACTTAGTAAGTGTTGCCTAATAATTTTTAATGTTAATAAAAACGAATAAGTTCGATGAAAGGTCAACTCCTTAAATTACAAATAACAATTACCTAATACCATATAAAACGTTATAAAGAATGGGAATGGGCTCAACATCAAGCTAAAATACGTTGAGGAAATAGACGTTATATAACAAAAGAAATGGAAAAGGCAAATTAAAATTAAAAAAATTAATTTGATAAGCAAAAAAGTTTTACTGAAAGATTAATTTTATTCGTTTATTTTTATTTATTTTTTTTGAAGAAATAATACAAATCAAGATAAAGTAAAAGCAAATTAAACATCAGCTGCAATCTTTGTATTGAGTTCGCATATAATATTACTAATGTATAATCTTTATACGATTCAAAGACTATCAACCTTAAGAACTAATTACTATATAATCTACTAATCTAATGATTATTTCATGAATACCTTTTTGCTTTATAATAAAAAACTTTTATTTAGGAAACCTTCAATAGTTAATATTGAACAAATTTCATCATAATGACAACAAAGCCAAAAATGCCAACAGCTCATATAACGTTCCATGACTTTATGAGCTTGCCTGTTATATTCTATCACACCCTGGGCATAAATCCCTATGAATCGGTGACCAACAAGGAAACATCGAGTCGCTGGCTCTTGGCTGTTTTCCTCTTTCAAGTGATTAATCTGAACATTACTTTTGTTTTGGAGTGGTGTTTTGTGTACATCTCGTACAAAAACAGCGAGAACTTCGTGGAGTCCTGCATGGTAATGGGCTACATTGTGTTCGTGATTGTGGGAGAGCTGAAAATGCTAACTGTCTGGTGGCAGAAGAGCCAATTGAACGAACTAATGATCGAAATGGAGTTGATATTTCCCCCGTCTGATCCTGAGAAGCAACGACATTATCTAGTCGATCGCTATCTGAAACGTTGTCGCTTCTTCACAAAGGGCTTCGCCTGCCTCTATCTGGTGCTCATCGTAACTTACAATCTGTTTGTGCTCGTTCAGTTTCTCATTCGACGCTTTGTTCTACACTCGCCAACTGCTGTGATGGCTATGCCCTATACATCAGTTTCACCCTGGAGCCTGGACAGCAAACTGGGCTTCTGCCTGATGTACACTTTGCAGGCCATAGCTGGCTACACGTGCACAGCAGGACACGCCTCTAGTGATATTCTCATCTATGCTGTGCTCATTCAGGCCATCATGCACTACGACTATTTGTCAAGGGAGCTAACTGGGCTGCAAATCCAAGCAGGACGTGTGCGAGATGGATACGAGCAAGATCTCAAAATTCTACAACAGCTGATCGCCTATCACAATAAATTACTAGGGTCAGTTGGTTCCATAATCAACTCTTTCTGAGTGATGTAATTCCATTCCCTTCTAGACTCACTGAGGTTATCAATAAGGTCTTTGGCTTACCTTTGCTCTTAAACTTTATGGCTTCTTCTCTGATGGTCTGCTTTGTGGGCTTTCAAATGACAATTGGACTAAGTGTCGATATAATATGCAAGTTGGCAGTTCTCTTAGTAGCGGAAATGGTACAAATCTATTTGATATGTTACTTTAGTGATTTGCTTATAAATGCTGTGAGTTGAATTCTATGGAAATGTCGAAGATTTTGCTATATTTTCCACTTATTTTGCAGAGTCTGAGTGTCTCTGATGCTGTCTACAATATGAATTGGATTGAGGCTGATAAACGATTTAATAAAATGCTTATCATCATTGCTCAACGTGCTCAGCGTCCAGTTTGCCTGAGGGCCACTGTCTTCTTAGATATATCAATGCAGACTATGACAATGGTGGGTCGATCATCTTGAACTTTTCCAATAATACTTTATTTTGTTTACTTTATTTTCAGTTCTTGCAAATGACCTACAGATTCTTTTGTGTGATTCGTACCATGTATCAGTAAAGACGAACTATTGAGAAGGTGGCACTCAAATGACTTAAGAGCTAGTGAAATTGTTATTAGTAGACTTTTTAGCTTACAGTTAGTTCACGCTATTTGCTATTTTATTATATTAAATCTTTGTTATTAGTAGATCATGTCTTAGTATCGTTGCTTTACTAGATTATTATATATATATAAATATATAAATATCTGAAGCAATTTCCTTGTTTGTTAATGGCATTCCATTGACTACCTTGCCTTAACTCCGACGGAAGTCAGATGCATCGTCATTTGAATGTTCAGATTACTAAAAGCTCTCTGTTTATAACTACCATTCTCTGCTTCTGCTTGCGAGGGTATCTGTAGAGAAATCCTGTGTGTTCATTAAAAATGCTAAAAAGGCTGATTCATTATATATCTAATTCTAACCAATCCCCTATCGATTTCATTTACCATTCGACAGCTGCTATCTCTCAGGCTCCCATCAAATTGGCAACGTTAACAAATGACTTTATTTGCCAACAGCAACTCGAGTGTTACTGACAACAATAATTTGAGTCATGAATAATTGAGCAGCTGTAACCGCAGCACGTTTCTAATTACCTGGTTATACTACAATATGTAATAATAAAATGAAATGATAAAAAAATAATTAAATAATGATTGATTCTTAAGGTATCTGGTTGGGCTTATATAGATGGTAAACAATCCTGTAGCGTGGCAAAGAACCGAAGATAACGTGAAATAAGCAACAAAGCTCTAGCTGGGATCATTATACTCTTGTTTCATATATTTGTCATAACGCCAATTAAATGACCTGAAATTAACAGAGGAGAGTTGTTGTCCGAGTGAGTCTCCCTGAGAAAGAGAGAGACAAATATATCTGTTGCTGAACGTAGTCCGGGATGTTGCTGAGTAAGAGTGAGAAGGCTACTTGGGCCCTTCGGATTGGGTACTTATGATTGTCAGTGAACGAAGAGACGCGACTAGAAATTTGCTGATGGAAAATACATTGTGAAAGGTAGCACCCGGGGAATTCGTTACTGGGCGTAGTTGTAGAAAAAAATGAGAATATAAGGTGACCAAACTGACATGAAACTGATATACATAATAAAATACACAGGCACAGCTAAGCACGCACCGAAGGGATGTGTAAAGGGCAACAAATATTCGCTAGTTTGGTATTTCAGTTAACCTTGTCAGGGTATTCTTTGTTCCTCCATCTTTAGTTCTTTAGTTCGAACACTTAAGTCCCTGCATATATAAAACATTTTGTGGTTTTTATAAATGGTCAGCTAAAGTTTGTGGTTTACAGAAATTAGCAAAATTGAACAATAAATAGGGCTAAAGACCATCAGTTAGTGTCAGTCAAGCGGAATAGTTGAAGATACCAACAAGATGGCAGGAGAGTTTGCAACGTTCAATGACTTTATGAGTCTGCCGGTGTTTTTCTATCACACGCTGGGCGTGGATCCCTATGAGTCGCCTAGCTTCAAGAAAGTGCCCAGTCACTGGCTGTATTTTGTTCTGCTGCTGAATCAGGCGAACATGAACTTCACTTTCATAATGGAGTTTCTCTACGTCGTGCTGTACTTCACTAACAGCGAGCACATTGTGGAAATATGCATGACAATTTGCTATCTGGGCTTCATCCTCATCAGCCAGCTAAAGACGGTTAGTGTGTTTCGGCAGAAGGCCAAACTGAACGACTTGGTGGCCGAGCTGGAATCAATCTTTCCAGCTGCTGTTCGTAAGGAGCAGGACGACTATCGCGTGCTGTATTACAAGAAACGCTGCCGTTTCATATTTCGCGCTTTCAGTGGACTCTTTCTGCTGCTGGTCGTCACGTACAGCTTCTATATCTACGTACGCTATCTCATACACACCTGGCTGCTGCATGTGCCAGATCTGGAGAAGGCCATGCCCTTCTTTTCGATTTCGCCCTGGGACTGGCACGATCATTGGAGCTACTACATTATGTATACGCTGCAGATCGGAGGCGCCTACACAGCGACCACGGGTCACATTTCGGCGGATCTGTCTATATACGCAGTGAACATGCAGCTCGTCATGCACTTCGACTATCTCTCGAAGTCGCTGACCGAGTTTAAGATAAAGTCAGCAAGCGAGCCCAACGGCTTTGTCAAGGACTTAGCTTCGCTGAGAGAATTGATTTTATATCACAACAAGCTGCTGAGGTGCGTCGACGTCGATTAAGATGATGATGATTAGGGTTAAAGTCGCTTTTGCTTTTGCAGACTGTCGGATGTGATGAACTCGGTGTTCGGCGTGCCTTTGCTCTTGAATTTCCTCACCTCCTCTGTTTTGGTCTGCTTTGTGGGCTTTCAGATGACACTCGGCCTGAGTGCCGATCATAAGGTTAAGCTAGCGCTATTCATGATTTCGTGCTTATCGGAAATCTATTTGATTTGCTATTTCAGCGATTGGCTAATTGTTGCGGTGCGTGATTCAATTCTAATTTTGATCTATCCAAGGAGACCTGAGCTTATTTGTTTTACTTTCTTACAGAGTCAGCGCGTAACTGATGCTGTTTATGAGATGAACTGGCTGCACGGCGATATACGCTTTAATAAAATGTTAATTTTCATAGCAAAAAGAGCTCAGAAAATTGTGTGCCTAAAAGCTACGGTATTTTTGGATATATCTATGGAGACTATGACTATGGTAAGTCTGTGAAATGACATTTCTATACTATTTTGACATAATCAATTTAATTCCATTCAGTTTCTTAAAATGACCTACAGATTATTCTGTCTGATACGTACAATGTATCAATAAGCCTCAATTCGGTGTTGGAACAGAGTATTTGGTACAAGGTACGACATGGTACAAGCTAGGTTATGGTACAAGGTACAATATGCTAGCAATAGGGCTGAAGGTATTCGGTGTTGGAACAGAGTATTTGGTACAAGGTACGACATGGTACAAGCTAGGGTATGGTACAAGGTACAATATGCTAGCAATAGGGCTGAAGGTATTCGGTGTTGGAACAGAGTATTTGGTACAAGGTACGACATGGTACAAGCTAGGTTATGGTACAAGGTACAATATGCTAGCAATAGGGCTGAAGGTATGCAAGTTAAATCCCTTTAACTGCACACTATAAATATATATTAAATACACAAATTATATGCTTAATTTCTTGTAAATTAAAAATCAAATATCAAAAATAAAATCCCAACTTATCCATTCAAACCTATCCTGCATCTCTACCTTAAGTTTCTCCATTTAAATTTGTTTATTTACCAAGCAATTTCTTAAATCGGACACGCTTACTGTTCTCTGCTTTGGTTCTTACTAAATGATGTTGCACAGGCATCTAAGGTCTGAAATTCGCAGCGAAATTAATTACTTAATTAGCGTAGCTCTGCCACCCCCACTCGACCCAATGCAGTGCGAACAGCTGCGTTCCAGAAGTCAGTCCATGGCACATTCGTGTGGTCTCTCTGCCATGTGCGTGTGTTGTGGTCCTTTAAATGTTGTTATAAATAATTGAACATGAACAGAGGCCGACCTAGTCGAGTCGCAGCCAATGCCAAATGCCAATTGATGGCCATATTAATAGCGACGGCTCGGACAGTGGGAGTTGCTTCACAACATTTTGCCAGGATTTGCATTTGCGTGTTTAGGATATTTAAATGCTTCGAGTTACGGTAATCAGAATCATGGATGAGCATAATGCAATTTGCATAATCAATTTATGATATTTATATTCTGTGCTCTATTTACTTATTTAAGAGCAGCTTACACACGCGTTGTTTTATCTACAGCGAACGATTGTTATTTTGTTTATTAATATTTTAAAATGTTACGAATTTTGTATCTTACATAATAATACATACAAAATATATAAAAAATATTAGAAAATATATGTTGAAATAATTTACTAAATACAATATAAAATATAATAAATAATAATAATAATATAAATAATAAAATATAAAAATATATTTTTTTTATTATTACACTTCTGTTTAATGAGATTATTTCCTTATATATTTACGGCTTAAAAGTTTACGAAAATCGGAATATAAAATTCATTTTTATAATGAAAAATAATATAAAATTAAAAGAAAAATAAGGTTTATTATTTGGAACTCTTTGACTGATAAAAACCTAACATTTTTTATTTATTAAAATATTTCAAATATCTCAAAGCATAAAACTAACCTCAATAAGAGCAAAGTTCAAAAGAAACCGAAATGATTTGAAATAAAAGTGCGCATGAGATATGTGTTCAAGGCAGCTGCTTTTAGCCAAGTGTCTTTGCCGAGTTCAGGTGCACTTACCTAATTTACAAACTAAATGAGTAAACACATAAAAAAATAAAACGAGGCACAGGCAAACATAAGAAGCTTGGCGAGCGGACTTGATGTCAAGTGCAAAGTAAATACAAACAAAAAAGGCTTCTCTTAGCCCCTTTGATAAGAGCAGGAGCGACCACAGCAGCAGCCGCCGGCAGGCAGGCAGGCAGTCAGGTAGTGAGTAGCAGTCAGATAAAAGCCTAATGCAGCCAGTGAAAGTGAAGTGGTTAGGGCGGTCGCCAAGGGGGCGTGCTGCTGCGCCAGGAGTCTCAGTTGATTTTGCATGCATAATTTGTGAGCAGGGCGTAAAAATATGCAGGCTTTGCACTTTGATAAAATATGCACGCGCAATAAGACGAACTGAAGAAGATAAGGCAGCATAAGACTTGCCAAAGATAATAAACAAAGAGAAGATACAACAATTTGCATAAGTTGCTCAGTTCCTTAATAGTTTTGTTGACAAGCGACAAGTCGAAAACACGCGTCGCCACTCGAATAACTCAATCAGCTTAAGATCAGCAGCGATTGCTAAAAAGCAAGCATACGCACTGTGGCACGCTCACGTATTATGCTCACTTAATTAAATATGAACTCTAAACTTACCAATAATATGCACGATATGCCAAACGGATATGCCCATAAAGTATCCGGCGTCGAATTAACGTAGACTATGAAGCAGCCATCGGTGCAGAGTTTTACGAGCAGCAAACCGCCTGCACGATAAAGTAGGCCAAGTCTATAGAGTGAGACAGAGAGAAGGAGTAAGAGAGAGAGAGGGAAAAGGAAATTAAAATCGCTTCCATTGGGAGCTATATGGAGTCGCTTGAGAGCTGGTTTTATGGCTTATATTCGTCGTCTGGTCGCAGTTATTAACATTTTCAGCTTGGACAGCAAAAGGGAAATTAGATTTTGGGATGGCCCAAAAGCAAACTAAACTCTCTTCGGACGTATATTGAGAAAGCATTATCAATGCATTAGCTAATAGTAATAGTTGTTTGTCAGTGCAGAGCCGGATTACCCAAGCCCAGACCCACTCAATTCGTATTGCCAATCGAGCTGTCTCGTCCCAGTCTCAGATACTTACCGCCTGCGCAGTGCCATATTGAATTTATCCAACGGATGTGCATGCACATTGCGATTCTTGTGCCACAGCCACAAGAGCTTCTTCATTAAAATGACAAACAGCGCACAGAAGAGCAGAATGAAGAGCAAATCGATGCAAACGAACAGAATAAAGCTCAGCGAAGGCGACGGAGTAGGCGACGTGCCGGAAGTGAATGCCGCGGCGTGTCCGGGCGAAGTCCAACCAACAGGCCTCTGTTGTTGTGGCCAAGTCAATGCCGCAGCTGTCACAGCGGCCAAGTTCGACTCGCTGACAACTGTGATTGATGACGCTGACGTGGCGAGAGCATTGGCCGTGCCCGCTTCCCTAGCTGATGTCTCAGTCAATGTGGGGGCTGCCTGACGTCTGCTAGTCGCATTGCCCAGCAGCGCCTCCGATTCGAGCAGTAAATTATCTGCATTGAGCAGCGTATGCGTGGCATAGTAGACGCCACCGTCGCCATATTCCGCGCCCTCCTCGCTAGCGGCGTCTGTCTGCTGCCTGCCTGTCCATACTAGCTCCAGCCACCAGTGGCGCGGCCATTTGCCTATGATGCTGCATATTAGCGGTGCGGCGATGGCGAACAGCAGCGGAAGCAGCCAGCTAATGCCGATGGCGCCTCGTATGCCTGCTGAGCCGCTGTACAATGCCAATGTGGAGCCGGCGGCGGCGGCAGCGGCAGACCTGGATCTATTGGGCGGCGGGTGGTTTCTGCTGCGGCTGCGACTGCGACTCGAGTCATTCGCCTCCGGAGACTGAGCGCTGATTTGCGTAATGTTGCTTAGACTCTCGCGGCGTTTGGCGGTCTGCTTAGTTGGAGTCGGTGGCTTGCTGCCGATTTGCAGATACTTCTTCGGCACCAGCTCCGTGTGTATGACCAGCGCAATGGCAATCAGCGTGGAGATGCCCAGTAACAGCAGCGATGCCAGCGAGCTGCTGATTATGGCATGCCAGTTCTGCAAAGAGGAAATTATGAGCCGCATTAATAATGCTCCAGTAAAAGGGAGATTGGGAGGCACTTCGTTGCAACATCATTATTTTTAATTAAATATAAAAAGTTGTCATCGCATTACAGCAACACCAACACCAGCAGCAACATCTATGCCATTTACGACCTACTACATATTTACTTAACTTTTTATGTGTATTTATGTATTTCACAGCTATTTGCTGGGATTTCCCTCAGCTCTGTTAGCCGTAAAGATGACATCACACTTTGACGCGTGCTTCGAGCATAAATTATTTCATTACAATCCCAACAAATGACTGGACATCACTTATTAAAAAGTTATAAAAAGTTGTTGCCTGGCCTTACGACAGGACAAGGCAAATGGAAAATGTTTTATTGGCGCTATAAAAAGAACATGATACGCAGCGAAGAGATTTTCTCAGACCTCGATTCATTCACGCAAACATCAAATAAAGTTCGGCATTAACACTAATTACGTTAACTATGCATTTTTATGAATTGCTTAACTTATTTCAATGAAAGTTTTTCCTATGTGTTGCACGTGGCTAAGAATGCTTGACGATGTGAACTGCTTGTGCACTGCTTGTTAACGAGGGCTGGACTGCTTGCTGTGCACGCTACGTTTTAAGTGCTTAAATTGGTAAAGTTAACTAAATAAATTTACTTATTACAGTATTAAATTGGAAAATATAACTATTAATAAATAGTATAAATTAGTTTTGTGATAAGTCTGTCTGTTTGTAATTTGACATTTGTAATATATATACTCGTTGGCAACCTCAACTTTTAAAGTGTTAAGTTTTATTTGATTTGTGGCCAATCGAGAAATTCAGTATGATTTGAAATTTAAGTCCTATATAAGTTACAGCATAATCGTGTATACAGCTGCTGAACAAAAATATATATAATATTTAATATGCATACCCCTCAACTTTTTCAGGTTTGAAGCTAGAGTTCGAAATCTCGATAGACACTGCGTCTTCGGGCGACCTTAAAAATTATATCTTTCTAAGTTTTACTGCCTAAATTAACAAATCATGTGGATCGTTGTAGAAGTCCCACAGATACACCTATAAACCAAGCCCATTAGAAATATAAAGATATTTTAGCTGCAGGAGCCGAATATTTTTTAAGCCGTTGTTCGCTTTGCTTAAGACACTTGGTTAAGTCGACTCGACTTATGAATACAATTCCTGACATAATTTAAATTAGTTAAAGGTATTTAACTACTCTACCTGCTATCAGAAATGTTGTCATGTTGACAATATTTACAGCTAGAGGCCACAATATAATAACATTAGTCTAGTTATTCTGCTCGTTCGTTTGACTTCATTCATAACTTCAAGCCACAACGCTTAATTTCATTATGTATGTTATTTCTGGGCTGTTTTTGTGGTTAAGCTGCCAATAACCACTAACCAAATAGCAAGCTGATAGACATTAAATACGTGTACGGATCTCTGATATTCAATTAGAATATGGCCTTCACAATGTTTTTTGAGCGCGCCGGCAAAGGGAAGTTGAGCTGTGGTTAAAGTAAAGCAAAATGTTGCGGCTTTAATATTCCAGCCACAGTTCATTACATTAACAGGATTTCTCTTTCAACACACACTCACTCACACGCACTCTCACATGTGTATTTGCTATAACTGTTGCTTTTTGGCTTCTTGGAGGTCAGCAGCTTTGTTGTCTGCCCCGACTGCAGCGGGCGGGTAAAATAAATTTGTAAACTTTTTAATTTTCAATTCTCAGCGCGAATATTTTACGGCGTCGCTTTGTATTTATGCGAAATTATAAGTTAAGTGCGCTTAAAAGCTTTCGCCTGTCTCGCTCGCTCTTATTCCTCCCACGGGACGCGCTGGCGTATACGTTATTTTCATGTTATTTATTATGTATTCTTAACTGGCGCTGAAAATTGTATTTATTTATACACAAATACAGATGCAATAAGTAAATTGTAAATATATTTCAATTTTATTTATTGTTCGCCGCTGACGTGGGCGTGGCTCGTCGCGCTGTCCGCGCGCTGCGACACGTGTTCTGTAAACCATAAAAAATTTGCATATGTCTTTGTGGTGTTTTGCACGTGTTTGTGTCCTGCGAGTAATTTCATTATTATTTTTTTTTCAATTTTAATTTGTTTCACATTTTCATAAATTTGTTTGCGCCTCTGGTCAAGTGCCCGCAGGCCGCAAACTCGTCTTAACGCCAGTTGTTCATTAAGACTGATTTCAAATACCAAGCGGAATATGTGGCAGGCACGCAGCGCGACACACTCGCACACACACAGCCATGGCCGATAGCTTGTTGCAGCCCGCGCCACGCCACCAAATTGTGACAGCCACATGCCTGGGGGCACACTCGGACGCGTTTGCTTTGAATTGCACTTGAGTCGAGTTTTGTGCAGCCATTAAGTAGACCTCGCTCACTTGACTAGAGCACTAGAATACACTCGCACACTCGCAGAGCCACACCCTCTGCCGTTTGAAACTTTGTCTTCAGTGTGGCTGGTGGCTGGCTCACTACGTGTTATTTCAGTGCTTCGGGTTTGGGGCGTAGTTTTGACGATTGTCAATAAGTTGTTTTCTTTGTTTTTCCTTTTGCTCTATCTGCGCGAGTTTTCCCCCAGTTCTTTGTCAACTTTTGTCAAATTGCGACAACTCGGCTTCTCTCTAACATTTTCGATTGTGTTTTCCGTTTTTATTGTCGCGTTGGCGTTTTATTTGTTTTTCATTTATTTATTTCGCTGTTGTTTTGCGGCCCAGTTTATTACTAATTCAAAAATGTTACATCTTGTTAGAGATTTTCTCATCTTTTTCCCTTGGTCTGAATACCTCTAGAGATTAGAGAGCATGAATTTTTATATTTTGTTTATACGCGCACTTTTCGCTTTATAATTCAAAAGATTGTCGGGCTCTTTTGGGACTTAAAGGTTGCAGAAGCAATGAGTTTTGAAGGCTCTTCCTAGCCGATCTCACGCATTTTATGGACGAGTCGCCCACTCTCAAGGTCTTTGCAAATTGAAAATGAAAATTTGCGCTTTTATTAATATTTATTTGGACTTTAGTGAGTTTATTCTCTGGAGAACTGTTTGGCTGTTGGTTTTTAATTTCCTTTCACTGTGCATTGGCCAACAGGTGGGCGCACGGCTCTGTTCTGGTATTTCATGGATTTTGTGTAACGAACTGTAAATTATAATATTTGCCAATCCCGGCCCAGTCCGTACGCTTATTGCCAGACGACAACCTAATTTGTTTTTAAAAAAGATGCCGATGATGACGATGATGATGCTGATGCTGATGATTGTGATTGGGCTGAAGAGAATTTGGCAGTTTACTTTTCAAGAAAAGTGGAATTCATGCTTGAATTCCTGTGAAAATTTCTAATTAGAATATTGCGGAGTTTCTTAGCCAACAACAAAGAGCTGATTGTTATTTAGCAGTCGTTATGCGTGGGCCTGGCAAATGGCTTTTTGTTGTAGTTAAGAAACCCAGAAAGGGCTAAGAACTAATTTCAATTTGACTTTACACTTAACCACCCTCTCTGCTGCTTTGTTGCACAGTGTACGCAAACCAAGCCCAAGCTGTAACTCAATCTTCATTTGTACCACGCAATACCGTTTTTACTATGCAGCGCATAAAGTTTTTTGTTTAATATTTGTTTATTTTTTTGCACTTTGTTGAGGATTCGTTCGGTTTTCGGTTTCTTTTGTTTTTTTTTGGTTCGCCTTGATTTCAGTATTTATTTCCCAGTAATTAAATTTTTTGCCTTGGTCGCTCACTGCGGCAAGTGGTGTGTGTGTGTGCGTGTGTGGGAGAGAACCACAATGGCAGCTCTTGTTTTTACGCGTACCGCTTAAGAGTATGCTACGAATTTTTCAGAATTTTCTGTTTCGAGTGGGAATTGTAATCAAATTCCTGTTATTTCACAATTATAATTTTTGATTTGATTTAATTTGATATGAACACGAACTCTTCATTTTTTGCCAAGCAAAAAGCGAGTTTGGCTGCCAAGGCTCTTTGTTTCGGTTTTAATTCGAGTGTTTGCAGAAGAGAATTTCCATTTTATTCGTGTTCAATGAGCTGCTTTCATTAATTAAAAATATATCTAGTTATAAATATGTATTTCCACTCACCTCTGGCAGCATTTTCATAAAGCCCAGCAGATAGATGAGCATCACGCTCGATGTGGATATGCAAAACTGCATCTTGAGAAACGTCACGGCGCATTTGCGATTGCACCAAATGGGCAGCAGGATGAGAAAGGCGGAGCAGCATTGCAGCAGGCAGAGAGCGCAGCTCACGATCACAAAGATGGGCCGCTGCGGCGTATGCGACTCCGTAGTCTGTAACGAGATTGGGATGCAGATTGTTACAATTTACACATTTAAATTTATACATTTAATAATTTTACTGATATGTAAACTGCAGAGCTTTGTATGTGTTTAAGAGGAAATATATTTTCTATTATATTTCTATTGTATTTTCTATTATATTTCTAATATATTTCTATTTTCTATTATATTTTCTATTGGTGTTACTTTGTCGTGCCTTTCCATTTGATAATGAGCTAAAGTAAGAGAAATACAATACTAGTCTAAATGGAATGGTTAAATCAGTCGAGCACTAAAATATCACGTTCGAAATCACGAAAATGTTTGCTTTGTGACGCAAGCACATCTTATGAAGGAGAGCAATCGCGTTAAGCTAATGAGCTCTGTTTACTGAAATATTTGCTTGAATATTTAAATATTTAATTGTGAAGCAATAGATAAAAAGGAAATATTATAAAAATAAATATTCAATATTAATGGTTTCTATATCACATTAAATTTCTAGCCGTCAGTCTAAGTATTTCGAATTAAAGCTTTGTTCTCCTCTGCTGGCAAATATGAAGCTATTTCTCATACTGTGGCTTGCAGCAATTAAGTTGCGAATTATAAGCTTGGCCTGCATTGAATGGTCTCTACTTACATGTGGCTGCCTTTTGGTCAGCATGACAACATAGGTGCCGGAGAGCGGGCAGATGCAGCGGGTTATATTCTCCATTAGATGTTTTGTGATGCACAGATCCGAGCGCCAGGTGGAGTCAAAGGATGCCTTATAGTCGTGCCTATGCATATGCATATTGAAAAGGAGTTATTACTTTAGAACTTAATAATTCAAATTTAATTAATGCTTACCCGCAGACAGCTACCCAGTCGCCAGCTTTGGGCACACTTTCGTGCTGGAATATAATTTCCACGTGGCCAGCTTCAAAGGACAAGTCGAGTGGTTCGCGGAAATTGTCATTCGAGCGATTCGATTGGAACAGCCAGGTCTGTATGATGCGCGAGGCAAGCACATAGTCCGAGTCCTTGGCATCGCTGAAAGTAGAAGTACTTCAGAAATAACTCTTTAAAGGAAAAAACTAAACTCTTAAGCTATGTAACAGCTGCTATAAATGTTCCCCACGGATGAAAAATCAGCTTTAGTCAGTTGATATTTTTAATCCTCTTTTAATTCCGTATCCAATTTACTAGCTATTACATAATTTTGGTATTATATAGTATATTTAATATAGCAAACCAGCTGCTGCTGATGCTGCTCTTCATGCCACATTTCCAGTTGTCATTTGGTATTTCAGCTAATCTTATCAAGGAACGCAAGGACGAATCGTTCTGCTGCTGAGTGCACGTTCATTAAGCCCATCATACACACACAAGACACACACATCTCTGTGGTTCATTATAATTTAATCAACATTTGTCTGCATATTGGCAACAATTTCTAGTTCGCATTTCATGCCAGATTCAAATCTCTGGCTCTCGCTGTGGCTCCCTCTCTGTCCATGCAAATATTTAGTTGTTGTTGTTGTGTCATGTTACATGTTGCATGCAGCTTATTTGCATTTTGTTTACAAACTAACAGCTTTACACACTGCATTGCGATGGTACTGTTGCAGCTGCCTTAATGCGCTTATGAGAGATGGAATCTCTTGTGCGGCAACACTTGGCATTACACAGAATTATTTTTCACAGATATGCATTGAAGTTGTTTAAGCTTTAACGGCAAAATGTGAAAATATGGGGCAAGCTATGTCTGAGAGTGTGAAATATTTCACAATTATTTTCTTGTTGATTTTCATATGTAATTAATGAAATTATTAGGTGGCTTTAATAACTTATATCACATTTGATATTCTGATAAAAATATTGAAAATTTAATTTGAAAAAAAATTTACATTTAAAAAATTTAAATTAATTAAATATTTTTTGTATAATTTTTATTTTATTTGAAAAATTAGGATTTTTTAATTGTGACGATAATTATATTAGAAATTGAGATGCTTAAAGATAATATTATGATATATAATAAAATAAATTATATATTTTATATTTTATTTTATTTATTATATTACACATGTTGATTTGTTTTTGATACCCACCTGCCGCGTGTGTAGTAAGTTTTTGGCAAAAAACTCTTAAGATTCTTATAGGAGATCACAGAAGCAAATATTGTCGAATTGGCCATGATATGCAGCAGACGTGTGGACAGTCCAATGTCCATGTAGAGTTGGTCCGAGAATAAGTCCTCGCTGCGAAAGAGAAGTGCACACAGGTCGGATGAAATCATGGCAGGCCACTCTTAATTAGCTTAATAAGACACTTGAAAGAGTCAAAGCTCGGTGCAGCAAGGTAGCCTAGGCAGCAGCTCTACGACCCCGCCTGCCAGTCAGCTTCTGCGAAAAGTCCTTCAAGTTGGAATTTTTATGAGCAATTTTTATAGTAAGCGAACGCGTGCGCTTGTTTTATGCATTTATTTTTTATTTTTATTTATGTTTGCCCATAAAGTACATTTTCCATTAGAAGGAGAGAAAAAAACGAAGGAAATGTTTGCCCCTGCCAGTGTATATTAATCAAGCGACCATAAAGCGAAGTATACTGTTTACTTGAGCAGCAAAATTTGCATTTTGCCTTTATTTCTAATTATGAAATTATGCGAAGCGCTTGACATGTGCCAGATACAGCTCTGAAATGGCCAAGATATTAGTTTTTAATGGCTGCTTTTATATGAAAAGACTTAACGTGTTTCTGATGACAACTAGTCATTGAATCGAAATTCATTTTATATAATTATATTTAAAGCGATAAGCTTTGAGCAAGAATATTATAAAATATTAAATAATTATTATATTTATATAAATTATTTAAAACTTTCTAAATATTTATCTAACAATATTTATATGTTTACTTCGAGTGCAAGTTGTGCAAAGTCAAGAAATTAAAAATTAAATTTATGGATGACACGGGAAGAGCACGTAGCCGGAAGTTGAGAATGCCTAAGGAGAACTTGTTGTAATTGTAATTATGACTGACTTCAAGAAAGAAAAAAAATATATATATATGTATATAATTTGTAAAGGCAGTTATAAAGCATACGTAGCTTAGGCATACCAATCGCCTTTGCAGTTGGCTAATTTTATTTTATATTAAGAGTTTTCGCGTCGTGTGTTTGCAAATGTTTATGACTTGAAATATTTTCATTAAAATTTCAATAAGTTAAAAAAATAATATAGAATAAAATACGATAAAAATAGGCTCAATAAGTGCAGCTTAAGGCCGCCAGCTTCTGCTGTTTATAAGTCGAGTAAGCAAGCTTTATATTCTTATCCTGTGTCACACATATTTGAGTTAAATATTATTTCAAGCCACATAATTACTAAAGTGTAAACAAAATTAATGATTGTTACAAAGCAAGCGCAAAAAATTAATGTGTGTGGCATGGAAACAGCGGAAATTGAGCAGAAATGATGCGATTCACACTTGGCTCGGGCGTTCATGTGCACAACTCACCCGTAAATGCGTAAATTGAACGGCAATGTTTTCACTGAGGTCATGTAGATGCGCAATGAGTTCAGCCGATCCAGGGACAATGTATCCTCGTCCACTGTCAAAATACTTGCGGCTCCGCCGTCGCCATTGGAGCCGCCACCGCCTGCGCCACCCTTGGCCAGCAGCTTGCTCGCAGCGCTGCCTGTGTCGCCAATTCCATCAGCTCTGCTGCTGCCCTTCGTCCCCTGTGCGGTCAAAGTTGTCGAGCTGTCAGCAGCCGTTGCCGAGGATGTCGCCTGGCTGCCTCCGTTGCCTCCTGTCGATGTGGCCAATTGTGAGGCCGCAATTGTCTCGCGGTTCAACGCCGCAGATTGCGTTAAAAGTTGCAACTTTTTAATTTGCTGCAAAAAGTGAAAATATTGCCACATTAAAGTTTAACACGTCAAATTTCGAACTTTCAACTTTTGTCGGTAACACCTCGAATTCGGACCAAAAACAATTCCGTTGCCCCGGCAACTGGCAACTGTTGTTACCGCCGCCGCCCAATTTATGAACAATTCTCGCTTTTAACGTCCCTCACGAAAAGCAGGCATTAGCCAGTATTGGATTTCAATGAATTTTGCAACAAGCGAACATTCCTCAGGTGTTAGAAACTTGTCATAAATTGGCATGTGTGGGTTGCTCTTGTCTAGGTTGTCATGGCCCTAAGACTGACATTGTTATCATTCTTATTATTTTAATGGTCAGCTTTAGCGCAGTAGGATTAATGTGAATACTTTATGACTTTGTTTCAATAACAAATGTATATAAATACTTAAAGTGAGAGGCGTTTTAGTTCATTTAAGGAAAAAGTCGTCGTAGAAATAAAATATCTGCAAAAATCATACTGAATATTTATTTTCTTAGTCTGCTTCTGTTTGAATTGGCAATGTGTATTTCTGAAGAAGTTGATCTAGGAAACTTTAGGATCCAAACTTGATAAAGTGTAAAAGAGTTTCAAAAGTTTCATAGTTTTAAGAGTTCCTGAAATTATTCTCTATATTTATGTAGACTTATAAAAACAGCTTGAATGAAAATTGCATTATGTCTGAATCTAGCTTAATTTTTGTTATTGAAAGTCTTTAAATGTCGCTTTGTTTGAAGATATAATTTATGCACTTCAGCAAATTATATTGGGACAAGTTAGCCCCAAGCCACGACAACAATGTGGGGCACTCAATAAATCAACATAAGATCTTATGCTTCATTCTCAGCTGTGACTCTGTAGTGGGCTCAAGTTGCAAATCGGTCAATGAATCGTCAATCGATTTGCGTAGACTCTAATAAAGACTCCATTAGAATGTCATTTTTCTTCGCTTTGTTTTTGGAAGGAATTTTCTGCTGTCATGGCGCAATTTCCTGTTCAAATCAAAAATTACTATCGTCCGAGAAGTTTTTTTTTAGAGGACATAAGCATAAATTTATAAAGTCAAACATGTGCAATTGAGAACAGAAACAATTTCAATTGGAAAACTTTTTCGTTGCAAAAATAAAAATAGAAATGAAAAAAAAAAAAACGAAAAATTAAAAAGCACAAAAGTTTTGCAACATCAGTCAAGCATGATGTGATATTTGTTGTTGCAACCCTCGGCCCCTGCGCCTATGCAAATTGGGGCATTTGTTTAAAAACATGAGGAGAAATGCTGCGAAAAAAAGTGAAGGAAAAAGTTTTAAATGCGAATTCCGACCTGCTTCCGACCTGGCCACGTTGAACAGTTTACCGTCAAATCACTGGGGCGTTCAACTGTGTGGGCGTGGCACATGTGCCAGGCAATTCCGTGTGTATTTGTGTGTGTTCGTAAAAGTTTTCCTGCTGATTTGAAAGTTAGCTTGCGACTTTAGAGCACGTTCGCTTTTTGCCCTCCTAAGTGATTTGTCTCGAACTTTGTGAATTTGATTTCTGAATAGGCCATATCTGTAGTCGGGATTTCTCTGCTGGCAGCCAAAAGCCAAGTTGACTGGTCAAGCTGCCCGCAGAAGCGGTTCAGCAAACATCAAGTGATATTTACTTAAGTAAAACATAAATTTAAGAACTTAATTCGCTTGCTTAATGAATTTAGTTAGGGCAGACAACACGCGCTGTCTAATCTGGCCCTGGTAGCTGGAGTCAATAAGTATTTAGAAACTGGGTCAGTTAACTTTGTTTGCCATTTGGTTGTGCTTGGTCCGTAATGAGCCAATATGCATAGAAAGTTCAGCTCGTACATTTTAATAAACTTTTGGATTCTAATATTGAAATGCAATCGAAAAAGTCGACAACTATTTTGGACTTTTTGGCCCGAAAACTTTTTCAATTGCAATGCACACAGAATGCAACCCGAAATCAATGTTAATCAGCCAAAGTAAATGCAAATCTGTTTAAACCAAATGAAATGCAATCGAAAGCCCGTAATGCCATTGACATTGCAATCGCAATTGCAAATTGTCAACAATCCCATCGACAGGCCCCACTCAGCGACAGCTCAATTTAAATAAAATAATAAATTGATAATACATCAACTCGAGCTCGATTGTATATTTATTTTGAATTATTGATAACGTGACGAGGCCTTTAAATGAGAGACAGAACTATGTTTCACTCTGCACATTCAGTCTATACAAATATTAACCTTTATATACAATGAGCTCATTCAATTTCATTAAGTCAATGAGTAATCACAGCATTTATAAGCTAATGCACAGTGTATCATATAACCAATAATAAGAGGCAGCTTAAATTATATTAAATTTATACATGAAGTGCACTATTATGTTTGCACATGAATTGGAAATTTCTTTAAACTTGATTAAGTGGGCTGGCAACATGGAAGTCAAACAAAGAATATTTGAAATATATTTCAGTGTTTCTGATGTTATTTTGAGGCTATCTTTCCGGCTTATAAAGTGTGTGCCTTTTTACAGTTGCCAACACTGCTTAATTTGATCAGTCACTTACAGTTGAAAGTTGTCTTTTGTAGGCTTTGGCTTGACATGTCATTATGGATAGACTTACACTGGGACATCACTTGCAAATTGTTAAGATTCTTATTAAAGTAATTGAGACAAGTAGGGCTTAGTATTAGACTTTGTGGGCCCAGCTGTGGTAGCCATATCATATTAAAATTATCGTATATGTGGCACACACTTTAAGAAAAGAAAGATAGCTTCAAAATAATATCAGAAAGACTGAAATATATTTCAAATATTCTTTATTTTATTACAAGTTTTTTTTGTATGACTTCCATTTCGCCAGACCACTTAATCAATATAATATATGTCATAACATTTTTTATCCAGCAATGTTTTTCCTATTCATATTTAAAATATATTTTATTATTTTATTGCAATAACTCCTAATTATAAATGTCATATATGAGATATAATATTAAAAAATGTACACAAATGAAACGACTGAGTCCCCAGAGCTCTCTATTACAACTCCAAGTGTTTCAGCGCTTGCAAGTTGCGAGACAATTGAGGGAATTTCGTTATTTTTCGTTAAATTACTTCCACTTCTTAGGCAGGCATCGGATGAATCTCGATCAAATGGTAAATATTACTGAGTATTGTAACAGCCAACAGTTATTCACAATTTAAACAGTTGCTGAAAAAGAGCTCTTGGTAGAATAACTCACATCTGACGGCTTCCTCCCAATGGGCACACGGAGAACGCAACATATCGCTTCAGGTTTCTATTTCAAAGTGTTATTAACCCATTAATTTGTGGCCTAATGGAGAGCTTGATGAGAGTGGAGAGTGCGGTAGCTCTTATTGATCTTATTGACAATTCATTCAATGATTTAACTATAGTCATATCTGTGCTCAAGTACATAGAAACAGGCGCATTTATATATAAATAAGTATTCAGCTCTTATTAATAGAATGTAAAAGAAAATAGCGTAAATAAAAGTAAACATTTACTGATTAAGTAGTCCTGTTACGTGATTCGAACTAGTGTCTTATTAGTTCAAAACTTCATGTGCCATTTTAAAAAATGTTTAAAAATACATTTTTCTTCAGGTATCAAAACTTTAAGTTGCCTTTTCAAAGAGTTTAGCCAACACTGAGATTTTTTCACTGGCTGAGCTTACTCTGTGCTCATCAGACTTAAATTTAAACTATTGAACTCTTCTACCCGTTCGATGCTGCAATTAAAAATCAATTTTACCTTAAGTTTTGCTAATTAAAAGTATGTACAAACATACAAAGAAAGAAGGAAAAAATAAGATGCAGAAGAAAAAGTATGTGTAACTAGCTTAAAGTTTGGGCTGAGTAAATAAGAGCGATGCCAACTATTTGGTAAGTTGAGAAAAGTTGAGAAATGCTGGCATTTAATCGACCCAATTATGAGGGCGAGCTTCGCTTCGTCGGCTAATAAAAATTTAACATAAAAGCGCTCGAGGTTGGGGCGAGGGGGAAAGTTTCGGGCTCATATGGCGCATAATATCGAAATGCCATAACTCAGCTTGAACTCCGGGACAAACAAAATTAATTTTTGCGCATTAAAAAGTTTTAGAAGCCGTCGTCTTGCCGTCTCTTAAGCCAAGTAAAAACTTACTTAATTTCCGTGCGTGCCGCGATCCAGCGAGATGAATATTAAAACGGGGCTAGTTCGCTCGAGTAGACACTCAATATATTATGCCGTATAGTTGGACTCATTTATAAAGTTGCGCCGCCGAGGTCCTTGACATTGAGACGGCTTTGCTTTAAGAGCCACGGCCACGCTTTACGCTTTTAATGCCGGAGCCCATACACCGCCAACAGCTGCAATCAACACTCACATAAATTTGCATACCAATATTTGAGTCTTGATGCATGTGGCATACAACTCCTTGCTGCTGCTGCTGTTACTTTTATGCCGCACTTCGCGAAACAAAGTGTGCTCAAGGAATAAAACATGAGCCTCAGCAAAGCGAAGCTTCCAACGCCTGCCCACTTAAAAACTTAAGTAAGTGAAGTGTGAGACGAACAGCCAACCGAGTGGAAAGGGCAAGCCCCACTGAGCCCCAGCATCCAAGGACATTGGCTGAGCGTTAAGACCAGAAGGAAGGCACACCTTTTCATCTTCATCATCATCATCATCATCATCAGCCCCATCTGTGAGCTGGAGTGGGGTGGCGGCTGCTTCCGTCATTGTCTGTGGCCAGCCGCCAGGAAGTGGCTATGTTCATTGTTTTGTGGCTCAGTCAGCTGTCATGGGAAGCACCGAGAAAGGCTCATTAGCTGGCTCATAAGTGCGCAGTTTTGATGGCCGCTAATTAACAACAAAGTTGTTGCCTTATTCGAGTAGTCCGAAATGATCAATGCCCTCAATGAGCTCTCGAACTGAGTGAAAATAGTTTCCAAGGTTTATTTCCTCTTCTCTGTGCCCTCAGATTTATTATTTATATATGTGTGTCTAAAGGTAAAAAATAGTTTGCTAGCTCCGAGCTCTTTTAGCTGAATTATGAAAGCCAATGCCCAATACATTATTGACCCAACACTCAGCCACATTTCCCTTTTGCTAGCTATGCAGGCGGCTTGGCAATCTACAACAAATCGACCTTTGCAGCCAAAGCATATTGGAGAAGCAGCCTCGAATACATGTATTAGAGTGTAGAAGGTATTCATTAGCCGCAAACATGAACATCAATTCTGTGGCTGCTTTGCTGAGCATGTGTGAGCCAGACAAATGTAAATTGTGGCCCAACTACAAGCTAAATAAAAGTAGAACCACAAAATAATATATATGTGCCTGCCATACAATAAGGCATGCCAGTCCAATTTGGAGCTGCTGTGTAATAAATCTGGAAGACAGAGTGAGGTAGAAAGAGAGCGAGAGAGAAAGAGAGGAAGCGTAGCAAAACCAGGCTGGCAAATATTGAATATGGCTGTAGGTTATAAATTATGACACCCGAACGCTCGACTGCCTCTTTTGGCATAATTTATGCACGAGTGCAGCCAAAGTGGCAGTCGGTCCGCTCCACTCCACCTCGCCTGCTTTGGGGGCAGCGCACTGTATACATACAAATACATAGACTCCGTGTCAGCTTACCTGTTGACTGTTCAGGGATTGCGCATTCTGCATGACTTTATCCAGAATGCGCAGTATTATCTCCGCCGCCATCTCACGCTCCAGTTGTGTGCCTTTCAGCTGCAAATAGGTGTCGAGCTGCAAAATAGGCAAGCAAATAGTCAAGCATCAGACAAGTGGCCAGCAATAAGCGAAACAGCAAAATAAAACAGAGCCCGGCGTAAGAGCCGAGTCCCGAAACTCTTCATGGCCATTCGTTAGGCGGGAAATTTGTGTGCGCATTAAAATGAAAAATTGTTGCCGTGCGGCCCGGGGCAGCTTTTCTTTGACTGTAGCTTGGCTGCGGCGAAAATTGTGTGAAAAATTGCAAGGCGCCCACTAGCGACTCGCTCAGCTGCTCAGACTCCCTCCTTCGACTGCTTTTCTTGCATTCGTTTACGTGTAAAAATAGTTTGGCAAGCTTGTTTGCGGAGTCTTTGGAACGGCCCAGCCCGACTCAAGTGGCTGGCGATGCATCTTAGGGTCCAGGTAGTTTGTAACGCTTTGAGCTCTTTTTGCGTCGAGGCTTAAGTGTGTTCAAGACTTTTTGCGGTGTGTACCGCGCGCTGTGATACCAGTTGCTTAAAATTGAATTTGGGAATACGAAAAGCAGCAAAAACTTTTCTCTCGTTACAATATTATGCAATTTCTGCAAGACAAAGTGGCCCAGCAGCTGAAGTGGCAATCGTGAGAATCTCCGAGAAAGGCGCACACAGCTTTCCAGCTGTCCCATAAATCTGCATAAACTTTGCTCATCAGATGTGGGGTCTGGTCACACGGGATCTATGTGTATAAACATAAATATTAAGTCTAGAGAGATTCCGACTCACCTCATGCAGCATGTCGATAAGGAAGCTCGCCTCGCCGGGCAGAAAGCTCTGGCGCCGCTGCAGCGTGTACTCGAAGCACGCCTTCAATATGTTCGACGAGTTGGTTTGCTGGAAGCCTGCACTCAAAGCTCTGAATCTGTTGTAGATGAGCAGCAGCTCGTCCCGCACACAGCTCGAGAAGTCGGGCAGCAGCCAGCTGGAGTTGCCGGCGTTGTCTCGCTGCTCGCAGATTCGACGCGAATGCCCCTCGAAGCCACGCGGACAGTCCGTGATGATGGGCGCGCCGGGTGCGCTGGTGGGCCAGTGGACGCCATAGCTGGACTCGGCCAGGCACACGTGCACAGCGTTGCGCTCGATGACGTTGATGTAGACGCTTCTGGACACTGGCCGCACGCTGTTCGATACGAGGCAGGCGTACTCCGCCGACTTCTGAATGTTGTTGATCTTGAGAATGCTGCCGTCTGGGTAGAGGTCCTCCCACATGGCAGTGGCAGCGTCCGACTGAAAGAGCACTCCGTTGCGGGTCCAGCTATAGCCCAGCTGGGCATATCGCTTGATGTCATCGTTGCCCGGCGACAAGCAACGCACGCGCAGCGAATCGCCACGCTGCAACGTGACACTGGCCGGATCTACGCGTAGACGTGGCGGCGACTTGATGTGGATGTGCAGCGAGCGGCACTGCTCGACGCCCCAGTCGGTAACCTGTGGAAGCAACGAGAGTTTAGTCAAGTGACGAGCCCAGTCGGCCCTCGAATCAGCCACCTAGAACGCTGTCTGATAAGCATCAACAACAATATTACCCAGAGCATTGTTTGGGCTCTGCACACAGCCAAGAGCGACAGATAGCGCAGAGCCTTTTGCAGTTGTCCTTTTCAGCGGCAGTGTTTGCCAAGTGCCAACAAATGTTGCCAGCTGATGCTGCTCAAAGCGCTTACTCGAATTTAATAGACTTCTCCTGGCCGCCTCTCCCTGGCCAGCAGCTGATTGGATATGACATTCTCTGATTGCACGAGGCGTGTGTCCTGAATGGATATGTGGTGTCTAAGCCGTTAAAGCACTCTGCGGCGGGGGATAACACGGCTGCGTGGCTACTTAAAGCGAACAGCTTTGGCTGTCATCTGGCACAAACATGTTGCACTTGTGTCGCCACACACATCCGAGCATGAGTCTAGCAGCAGCGTAACTTTTGTTGCAAATGCTCCAAGGGAATACAATGTGAGCTGCAGAGCTCATACCGAGCATTACGATAATGTTGATGACGATGATGATGACGTTGCTGCTCTCAGTGAACTTCCGTTTCAAATTTAAAAAAAAAGAAGGGAACAGACAATCTAACGAGCAGCAACGTCAGGATCACACCTCGGGGTCCTCAACGCCGGCATGTGGCAGGCACTGAGGCTTTGCCTTTGTGTCTGCTCAGACTTTGGATCCGGCACTGGCACCGGCACCGGCAACGGCACTTTGTTGCAACTGAGCCGGAATCATTTGATAGACAGAACTTTGGGCGCAAACAAATCAATGATTTTTTATAGCATTTCAAATTTAAGTTGAGTTTTAAATTCGTGCCACGATTCCTGCGGATTGGAGTAGGCGTTGGCGTTGGCATTAGCTTTTCTTTTACGACAATGCAACGTCAACAAATCCTTGCCAGCCACAAAATCCAATTGGCAATTAACTCATTTGGCCAACAGCTCCAGCTCCAGCCAGCGACAGCTTCGTCATTTTATGATCAAATGCGATTTTACTGCCTGAAGACGCTACATCGCCCCGCGCCCCCACATGATTGTATCTGTAAGCTGCGTCTCATTAACAGTCGAAGTCGTTAAACAGCACATTGTACGTGTATGGCTAATGTCATTTAGTCCCTGGTCTAAACTCTCCCCTTTTCGCTCCTTCTCGCGCGCTTTCTCTGGCCAATAAAATGCTTTGTGCCAAATGGCTGAAGAGCAACTCTCACGCCACAGAAATTTGCAATGTTAATGATGCCGATGCCAATGCTAGAAAATGGCTGCCTTTTATAGTCGGCTAGATAAAAGTGCCTTTACGAGCTGAAAAGTGCATGGCACCAAGAGCCAGGAGAACAAACTAAGCTGAGCCAAGAAAAATCATTTCCTATACATAAATCGTATATGCAATTTGCATTAGAACTGATAAGCAAGACTTAAGTTAGTTTTGCTTTCTTTTATTTGTAGCTAAATATTTTTATGATGAATAAACTTAAACCTAATTGGAAAGTAGCTTATGCGTATATCAAACGGAAAATATTTAGTAATTCTGAAGATAATTTATTATAGAATTTATCACAGACCAATGGAAATGAGCACAGCTGGCAGAAGGATGTCTGTCTTTTCGTCTCTCTAATGTAAGTTCAGCTATCAATGGAGTTTTGCTGTAGCTTTAAGTCGATGCAAACAAGTTTAAGACTTTATTTTCCCATTGAGTTTGCAAAACTTGTCTTAACTGCGAGTAAGCGACTCAGGCTGAATGTGAATTTTCGCATGAAATTGCAAAGCAACTGCAATATTCCGACTGAATTCTAGTTGAATTTTGAAAAGTTTGTGGCAAAGCGACAATGATATATATATATATATTATATATACAGTCTGTCAAGAAACACTTTACACAGTGGAAAAAATCTCAATTTTTTGACTTTATGTAAAAAAATAAAGAGTTTTTGTTTAATTTAACTAATTTTTTTTAATGGTTAACTGTTTAATAGGTATTTTTAAATCAAATTATAGAAAACAGAAACAAAAACAATAATGGTGAAACTTAAAAAACAACAAAAACTTAGATTACTCATATTTTACACTGTCAAGAAACTCTTTACACATTTTGTTCTCTTCATCTGTTTTGCTCTGATTCTAAGAAATAACGGGGCTTTACCGTTAACTATGCCTTTAGAATCTGTCTATGCATCTCTATTTTTGTGTTTATTTTTCACTTTGTGCGAAATTTGGCTGAGTACACATATAAAAGCAATACAAATTTTGATTAATAATGCCCGGAAAGAGATTAAGCTTCGATGTTGTCCAATTGATCTTCTACAATCGGCAGTTGGGCAAATCAGTTCCAGAATTAGTGGAAATGTTTTCTGTGTCAAGAAAAACCATATACAACGTTCTCAGTCGCGCGGAAAATGAGGGAAGACTTGAGGCAAAGGGTGTGGGTGGCCGAAAAAAAAAGATATCTGATCGGGCAAGCCGCCTTATGATGCGAAAGATCAAATCAAATCCCCAAATCTCGACCAGAACTCTTGCCAAGGAGCTCAAAGAAGAGTGTGGTGTGGATGTGTCCCACGAAACGATCCGTCAGGCTATTCTACGGCATGGGTATTCTTCGAAAGTGGCACGTAAGAAACCCTTGCTGTCGTCGACAAATGTGGAAAAGCGCTTCTGTTTTGCTCTTACTATGCTTAGGCACCCAGAGGAGTATTGGAAGGACGTTATATTTTGCGACGAGACCAAAATAATGTTGTATTACAACGAAGGTCCGCCCAAAGTATGGCGAAAGGTCTCTAAAGCTTACGACAAAGCGAATATCATTCCAACAGTCAAATTTGGAAAGCTGTCGGTTATGGTTTGGGCCTGCATTTCCAGCCAAGGAGTCGGTGAATTGGTATTCATTGAAAACACAATGAATGCCGAGCAATATTTTCAAATTTTGAAGACAAATTTACACCAAAGCGCAACCAAATTTGGCTTTATTAGTGAAAATCGGCCAACTTTTAAATTTTACCAAGACAACGATCCAAAACATAAGGAGTATAATGTACGTAATTGGTTGCTTTACAACTGCGGAAAGGTCTTGGATACACCACCCCAAAGCCCAGATCTCAACCCAATCGAACATGCGTGGTCTTATTTAAAGAAAAAGGTTGGAAAAAGGAATCCAACCAACCGTGGACAGCTAAAAGCTTTCGTACTGGAAGAGTGGCAGAAGATACCCCTAGAGTATATTCAAAACTTGGTCAACTCAATGAAAAGAAGACTCCAACATGTACAGAATGCTAAGGGGGGCCATACTAAATATTAAGTATTTCAAAATTAGTTATAATTAGTTTTACATTTTAAATTTAGAACAATATATAAGAAGTGTGTAAAGAGTTTCTTGACAGTGTAAAATATGAGTAATCTAAGTTTTTGTTGTTTTTTAAGTTTCACCATTATTGTTTTTGTTTCTGTTTTCTATAATTTGATTTAAAAATACCTATTAAACAGTTAACCATTAAAAAAAATTAGTTAAATTAAACAAAAACTCTTTATTTTTTTACATAAAGTCAAAAAATTGAGATTTTTTCCACTGTGTAAAGTGTTTCTTGACAGACTGTATTTATTTATTATATATATATATTTATATATTTAAACAATTTGGTGCATAAGCAGCTGCAATGATCAAAATATAGTTGGCTTCAAATCCGCTCGAATTAGAGCCGCAGCCCTAGGCGCTGTGAGAAATAAAGAAAACTGACGGCAATATCTTTACAATTTATAAGTTTCTTACAGCTACAATCTATAGAGCTCCTAAATTAAAATACTGAACATAGCTCTGGTTGCTGGCATATTTTAGATCAGAATCAGAACAGCTGCATCAATCCAGCGCTGCCTATATTAGTCCTTATGTATTTACCTGGAGTGTTGACATTTTAGCTGCATTTATATCTAAAACTAAACTAAAACAAATTTCTGTTTTATACAATTTAATTATGTAGATTATCCCAAAGTATAGGCTACTTAACTTATTTCATATATACCACTTATAGTCGAACCTATTTTTAAAAGGCATCCGCTACAGGGTATCTTCAGGCCTGGCAGCTCAATCTAAACCACTCCGCTTCAATCGAGTTCACACTTGCTGGCTGATATCTGAGGACTTTCTAAGCCTTCTTACTTTGTACGACTTCAGCTGCTTTTACATAATTCGAAAATGAAGAGTCAAGCTTCAAAGTGTTTCAATATTGTTTTTAGATTATGCAAATTATGATCTCATTATGAACAGTTTAAGGTATTTATATTGAGTGTTAAATAGCTTAACTTCAGGTGTTAGTCATCTGCTTAGAGGCATTTGCCAAAGGTAATGAACTAATTGCAGCTTAATTTCAATAAATAAATAATCATTGGGCTTACTGTCCCGCGGGCATTATTATGGCTATGTGTGTGTGAGTCGGAGTCATGGATATGAAAGGCGAGTCCCCAGCGTCCAATGGACAGAGCCTGCCACATATTATTGACGTGCGGCATAGCAATCGCAGCTCGAGGCGCTGCTAGTCGCAAAGGATTCATTCATTTCTTTTCAGTTTTGAGTCAACAGCAGCAGCAGCCGTTGGAAGGCAACAATCAACCTTTGGGGATTCTATGTTAAGCACGTTCCTTGGGCAACAAAGAAGGAAAAAAATTGTGAGCAGAATGCGCTGATTAACGTGAAATTCTCCCAGCAGCTGGCAAGCATTGTGCGAGAGGGGTCCAAGGGGCTCCGGCTTCCCTTACCTTTAAGCCAAGCCCCGAAGTGCTTGCCTTTGATGTGCTGCCAACATTACGTCGACCACAGTGCGACAGTAATAAGAGAAGCGCACTAGGCGTGCGGCAAATGGCATACAGCGAGAGAGGGTCGCGACGGGACCCAAATCAACAGCGCACAAAGTGTTGGGGCGTCGAGGAGGAACCAGAACCCCCTCTTGGGCTTGTGCTTTCGGACAAGGCATTAAATACAATTGGTGCGAAGCTTTAAGAAAATGTTCGCTCGTTAGCTTAGCGGTCGAGCAACAGCTGCTGCTGCTGCTGCTGCGGTCTTAAAGCGAATGAATTTATGGCACTGAGACCTAAAAGTGCAGTTCAAACAGCAAGAAATATTGTAGCCTTAAAGCCAGCCGGGGACTATTACGAAACACAAAATTGTGCCAAAAAAATGTTTTCTAATTTTAACAAATTGGTCAAGCTTGATTTTTGGCCAGTTTAAGCACCTGGTAAAGAAAGGGTAAATTAAATGTGCTTTTAAGTTGTGTTAGAAGTCTGTAAGAATCTAATTAAATTTTCTAAAATATCATAAGTATTGGAAAATGTATAAATTGTAAAAGAATCCTTTATTACAAATTAAATATGATATTTAATATATCCCTAAAAGAATGCTTCGAATCTATATCTATATTTATATAGATATCTATACAACATCTATATATATATCTACTTCAGTATCTATTGTCCTCCTTCAATTTAATTTATGATATCTAGTACACATAGAGAGAAATAGTGTTTCAATATTGACCAAGAGTGAAAAAGGAAATAAAAACTAATTGCAACCTTTCACTTTGAGCAAATTTGGAAGCAAGTCTAAGCAGCTTTATCTTTATACTACAAATTTAAAAAAGCACACTTAAAATATATCACAAATAATAAAAAGAATAAATGTCACTGCTGCCTGTGCTCTGCAGGAATATAATTCTAGAAATTGTATGCAATTTGCATAATTTTATATATATATTGTATACATTTGCAGTCGGCTTAATGCTCTAGAGAATAACTCTATAGAATCCATCAAGCCAAATGACTATACATATAATTTATTTAATATTTTTACCATGTTTTTTAGTTTATTCCAAGCTCAAATAAAATAAAAGATGTCTAGAATATATTAAAAAAATAAATGTCTCTGCTGAATCAATTTGATAGAATCGATTTTAGTTTAGATTTGCAACGCTTCTTGTTTACTTAGTTTACTAAGTGTAATTGGATTATTCTTTATTGATCCACTGATTTAAATTATTATTATTGAGAAACTCAATTTGTCGACTGAAAAGATTGCTAAGCTGCTGCGCGCTTGAAGGTTTTTTGGACTGACAGACAAAGCCGAAAGAATTGAAGTTATTAGGAGGAGACTATTACATATGTATGTTGTTACCACGAGTAATTGTCAAGCAATTCTTCATAAAAAAGAGGAAGAAAAGATAATTATCCGCTAAGTAATTTAAGACTGCCTAACTTAACTCTAAAAGTACAGCAAAAACATCGTTCCCTAAGTCTTTGTTATCCAAGCTTCATAATTCACAAGGAAAAGAGCCTATATTTTAATTAGTGATATTTTCTTTGACAATTTTTGTTTTGCGTCTTCATTTTCTTGGAATTTCAAAATTTTAATTGACGTTTTTGGCAGCCGTTCGAAGAGCCTTTATGAGTCTCTATATGAGTGCGTGGGCCAGGTAATCCATTCGTAAGCCCAATTAAATTATCGGCTTGAATTGTCTGGCCAATGTTTGAGTGTTGTTTTTACTGTTGAGCTGTGCTTAATGCGAAAAAAGTCGAGCGCCTGAACGACTAATCAGTTTAATTGCCATGCGTTAAGCCATATCAACAAACACTCGCTGCTCGAGTGGGTGAGGTAGAACTCAAACAATAAAAATAAACCTCCTCGAAAATGCCGCAAAATTACTTTTAACTTGGCCGGGCTCTGTTTGCCGCAGAGGTCTTCGTTTGCGCCAAAACGTGACGTTTAATTAGCCAAATTAAAATATGCGAAGTGCCGAAGGAGGAGAAGATTAAGTGGACTGAAACTGGGTTATTTTGATTTGTGTGTCGGTGTGTGTGTAGGCTTTTGAGGGCTCCTCCTGCTTTTTTATTTTATTTTTATGCATTCAAATAAATTTTAATCTATGCGCTCAACTGTTGAGTCCTCCGCAGGATTTGTTGGCCAATTGCAGAATATTTTCGGGTTTTAATAGCACTTGCCAAGTCTTTAAACTGTTCCACGCCATTAAGCCCAAAAAGCCGCTCAAATACGGGCCGGTAAACCATTCTTGTGTTTATGGCTTGGCAAATAACAAATTACGCAAATGGCTTGTAAAAAATATTGACATGTTCCAGCAGCAACAACAGAAGATCTAAGGCAGCCTGAGACGCTTTTCTAGTACCATGTATGAACAGCATGTTTATGACTAGCGAGCTGGAATGCTGCGTTTGCTGTTGACATTCAGAAGAAGAAGGCTCTCCCGGAGAGCAGCTCACATCAGAAAGAAGTTATAAATCAGTTGATAATACGATTCGGCTTCACTTACTCGCACATAGTATATAAATCAAATCAGACTCAGAGCTGTGCATGCCCGCTGCTTACCTTACAGCTGTAAACGCCCTCGTCGATGCGACTCGCTTTGGTTACGCCCAAAATGGCCGTGTAGACGTCTTTCGTTTCCGGCGGCAGCACGGTTGTCCAAATTTCTCTGCGAATAAATGAGATTCTTTATTCAAATGTGACTTAATCTGAAATGAGTTATGTGTGTCCGAGAGTTAAAGGCGATAAAGCTGGGAAAGTGCTAGAATAAAAAAAATAAATAAAAAAATAATAAAAAAATAATAAAAAATAAAAAAAAAAATAAAATATCTACATCTGAGGCGCATATAATATTATTTATATGACAGTTTTAGATTGTCAAATATATTTTTTTGATACATATATAATTCATATGTACATTTAAACATATGATTTTTAGTTAGCCCTAACTTTCCGACCTTAGATAGAATTTTTTAAGTGAAGCTACTTTTGGTACTTTGAAAATAATATATTGTGTCACAAATCAATGAAAGCGATGGTAAAATTGCATGAATTGCGCATTCCATTATTTCTGCATTTTTCAAACACCATAATCATAGACTTTTTCCTCGTCTCAGCGGCGATGAAGAAGCTGAAGCTTATTTTGAGGTTAAAGGCAAATTCCACTATGAAAATGATATCTAAAAATGCTTTCGTTTTGTAGATTAGTAACTATACTATAATTTATTAGAAATAGAAAAATTGTTTTAAAATACATCAGATAATCAAACTGAACTTTGACGCCAAACATCACTTTTTGTAGTTCACCAAATTTATAAATATATTTTTAGAATTAGCAGCCTTTTCCCCACTATATAGTTTAAGATATTAACAGCTACAGTACTAGCTGCCTTTTTTAAATTTTTACACGGCTTTCCCTGCAGAAGTTGTCATATATTTATTTCGTTTTTTCATCTATATAGCTAAACTGTCAGATATACGATATTTAATAGAGTCAAATATATTTGAGAGACTAGTTAATTAAGAGTCAACTTTCGCTTTTGCACTTGTGTCAGTCGAACCATTGATTTTCACACCCAATACACAGTTGCACAAACAGCAGAGCAACAGCAGCAGCAGCATTAGCAAATGAATTGGAGCGTATGCAGTATGCAGTATGCAGTATGCAGCTTCCCCGCTAATTGACCCACTAATAGCAGCTCACTTATCATTTCGCAGCGAAAAATGCAGTTTGTGTGGTGTATGAGTGTGTGGGGGTGTGGTGTGTGGTGTGTCTGAGTGTGTGTGTGTGAAAAATCATAGCTAATGTGAAAACAATCGCGGATGCTGCGGCTCGAAGTCAATTAGCAGACAGCATGATTCACTCGAAAATCTTTTTCAACATGTTTTCGGTGACGCGATGACTGAAAATTGTGGAAAATCAAAAAACACAAAAAAAAAACATTCTATGGCTGTTTGAAAAAATGGGTCATAGCATATTCGATGACAGCCACAGGGCAGACATCATCCTCTGTTCACTCACACGTGCCTCTAATTAGATTAGATAAGCGGAACGTCGAGTTATTAGCAGACGCAACACAGCTTTGAAATGTTGTTAGAAAATGCAGTAAAAAGTTAGAAAGTTGTGCATTTTAAAAGCAAATTGCTCAGTCTCATAAATATTAAATAATTTTTGTATAATTTTAAACAAACTTAAAGTCAAGAATTAGAGTCTGAGAAGTCATAAGTAATAAGAAGACTCAATTAAACTTTCTTTTTTATTAACTTAAAAAAGTAAAATATTTATTCTTGATAAGTAAATATAAATATATGGACTGTGAAAATATAAAGTGGAAAGCTTGCGAAATTACATTAAATATTTTGAACTTATATCTCAGTTCATAGGAAAAAAGCCATTGCGTCCATTTATATACAAGATTTATTTGGAACAACTATATTTAATTGTTCTGCTCGCAGGTAGATCGACATCAGAATAGATACATCCTCTTCACTGCTCACTCATACAGGGATCTGTATGTCCTTACATTCATGCGCTAGTGATGGTAATTTTCAGCAAAAATTCTATAACAATTCGTAGAGCTAAATTATTCTATGACTATTAAGTGTAAAAATGATTTCAATTGAAAATGAAAAAAAAAAAAAACACAAAACTTAACTAAAAGAAATAACTTTTATTCAAGCATTACCAGCTTTATAATACTCGTTTAGTATTCAAAATGAGGAAAACTTATTCAAAAACTCCCAAAGGACGGATTATATTATTTATAGAGATGAGCATCGATGATCCAAGGTTCCAAGTATTAAAAACTATTACACATATTTTAGCTTCCGATTTGTCAAACCTTAGCAGTTGTGCTTAGTTTTTCATACTCGGGGAGTGTTTAGACCTCTCGCTGTAAGGCTGTGCAAAATTCAGTTTTCCTCAATGGAAATACACAACAAATCCAAATACTCTATAATTATAGGCCTTATGTTACGAATATAAATATTCAACTTCAGATTTCAGATCTTAATAATCGACAAAGTGTTTAGCAACCAATGCACAAAACTAATATGCTCTTCTCAATTCATAAACAAGCATACAAATTGACAAAAACGAATTGCTTCAGTAAACTGTGACAATTAAATCACAATTTGATGTCTGTTTGAATTTGATTTGATGCATTGCGTCCTGATTAGTTCGTGTCAGTCGCAGTTGTTGGATGATTTATTGTCTCACATGTTGCGATGAGTCATGAAAATAGTGCATCGATTGCTAAATGGGAGTTTGGATGAACAAAGGCTAAGCAGCTAAAATGTTAATCTATGAATTCTGAAAAATTGTCTAATAGCTCAGCTTCAGCATGGGAATAGATAAGTCAAATGTGCTGAGACTGCTGCCGTGCTGGCTGCTTTTTGGTGCTTAAATGCTACCTTGAGTGGTGCCACCTTTCCACTTAGCAGCCCGCTGAGTGTTGGGCTGTGGCAGAGGGGCATAAAGTGAACTCTAAAATCAAATTCAAAACCGAAACCAGAAGCAAAACCAAACTCTTGCAGTTGGCAACAACTTAAGTGCTGTTTGGGGTTTTCGGGTGGGGCACGAGGGACGGGGGTGGTAAGGGTTATCTAGTCAGTTGCTTGTTGAAGCGAAACGGCTTAGTGAGTGCATTCCACTAATAACTTTTACGCATGGATAACAAGGATAACAGCCTCATAACATTGAAAAAGTGCCCGAAAACCACACGAAACGAAAGTGCGGTTAAGGCAGAGCCATAAACCACAGCCGTGCCTCAAACTGAGTGCGTCAAGCAATTTGCACAGGTGCATTGGCCAAAATGCCGTTTGCAGTGGAGCGGAACGCGTGCGGGGCGAGTGGCGAGTGGCGTGGCATTGCCGAGCATACAAAGCACTTAACCCACAATTTGCTAATGGCCAGCGGCGCAAGAATTTGCCAGTGCCAGTCACGTTAACTGTGCCGGTGCCCATGCCCATGCCCATGCCCATGCCCTTACCTGTCGCTACGCACCTTCAAAATCAATTAAAAGGCAACGGAAGTAATAACATTCTGTGCAGGAAGTGCGTAACGCTTAAATGCAGCAGCGAGCTCAACCGCAAAAACAGCAAAGTTCGCTTCTCGTTTACGCCAAATGAGCAATAGCAACAGCATCAACAGCCCAAACAACGCAAACAACAAAAATAGCAACAACAACAGCAGCAGCTGCCATAGCGCCCAGGAAGCCGCCTTGGTGCTGGTTACTCCTCGACTAATACAATTACATACTAAGCTGTTACGCAAATACATACTCATATGAACGACGGGTGAGCGCACACCAACCAACACAAAGATAAAGCGAAACGATCCTCCCTATGCTCCCCCCTCAGCAATAGCGCCAACAACAGCCCCAACAACGACCCCATTTGCAATGCATAGAGATGAGCGCGTGAGTAGTTATCGCTTAACGGGATTAGGTAATATATATGATATGAATAAAATATAATTATATATAAATATAATTATATATATTAATTATATAATAAATTTCATGATATTCATTAGTGTTTATGAACATTCCATTTAAAAAGGTAAATTACACACGTATAATATATAACTATAATTTCAAAAATATAATAATCTTAACTATATTAATTATAGAAATAATATTGTTTATTATAATAAATAATTTGAATCATAATCAAATTCATTAAACATTTTCAGCTCCTTCAGCCTTGTTGTAATTATGAAAATCAATATCATAACTATCAACATCATTATCTGTATTATCATAATAATAATCATCATAAAGCATTTTCTGCTACCTCACCTACAGCCTCTTCATTGCCCTTATTATTATAATTATGAGCCCATTATGACTATCATTATCAATATCGTAATAATCATTAACAGTAGCATTATTAATATTCATCATCATCGTAAAACATTTTTACTTAAAACAAAAAATCATGATCATAATGTTCATCATCAGCCTCAAAATGATCTACATTATTATTTTATTATATTTGTCAATATTATTTTAATTATTTTCTCAAATATTTTTATTATTTATAATATCATAATTAACTCATTCATTCTTATTATTGTTATAATTTAAATTATATTTACATTATTATTGATTATAAATATTTGCCACGTAAATATTAACTCGGCAAACAGACTCGACTCGATTAATCGAACTCATCTCAAGACTGTTAGTAAAGCTTCGATTTACGCTGACTATCAAAACACAACAGTCAGAAAAACTGACAAAGTTGAAAATAATAATAATAAATCCAAGCATTTGTAAATTTATATATCTTTCATACACACACAAGCAACCATATAAAAAAGGCATATTTAATATTTCATTTACATGTTTTAACAGAGAATTTAAACCTTTTTACAGTTTTCTGTTAAGTTAAGCTGGCTGAGTAGACGAGTTAATTACAGCAGGCAGGTGCGAATCCTGGGATAGACAATGGACATTATGTTGTGGTCTTGGCTGAAGGCCTAATGGCAAAACTATTAGATGAAGAGGGATTAACTTTAGGCTTTATATTTTATAGTCTCTTTATATTTTTAGATTTAGGGTCGACTTTTTAATCTACTAAGAGGCTTACCTTTGACACTAAATATGAATTGTTTACGCAGTTCTGTGACCAGACATGCTGTTATTATGTGTCAGGGCTAATTGAATAATATCTTCAATTGCCAAATATGCACTTAGAAATCTCTACACGAACACGAGTCCATCCCTAGCAGAATGAAGGCAACATCCTTTCCATTGAGCATTTGTAAACTTGTAACCACCAAAGGGCCAGATGCAACGATTACTGCATTGCCATGTGTGTGTGTATGTGTGTGTGTAGATATGTTAAAAAGAGTGTGGAGTTGTTGTATACACAGTCTAACTTGTGCTACTTTCCCCCACACACACGTCATATACAATGCAACGCTTTTCTGTGATTTTTGAAATGTGCTCAAAAATGGGGTCCATAAAATGCCATTGGCAATAAAGTTGACTGAATCATTTGAAATGCCAAAATTGCATACCAATTGAAGAGCCATAAATGGCAACGAGGCTAACAGCATAATATTATTGACGTTAAAGAAACATTTATTAAAGGAGTAACCTGACTTGTGCTGTTGCTGAAACTGTCAAATAAACTCAAATTCGTAAAAATACCAAATAAATGAACTTTGCAGTGTCAAAAATGAGAGCAGAAATTTAAATAACAGATAATTATAAAATGAATTCGAACTAACAAAGATGTCTTAAGAGTTTTATTAGTTTCTTAATTTTTTGTTTCTGACAATTTAAATGGCAGGAATAAAAGCAGGACTCATTTCGACTTTGTACGTCATATGTTTGCTAATTGCAAAAACAAAAAAAATTGTTTCAAATTATTAATCAAGATGGGCGCTCACTCAGCTCAACTGTTCGAACTTAATTTCTTAATTTACTGTTTTATAGCTAATCAACATGAATTCAGTTGTCCAATTTCTAAAAGAACGCACCTTTAATAATAATACTAAGCTCACTCAGAGCTGTCAAGCAATAAAAGTATTTTTTAAAATTAAGTTATTGCGACTGGGTCATTCATATTGCTTTGTAACAAATAACAAAAAAATTGTTTCAAATTATTAATCAAAATGGGCGCTCACTGAGCTCAACTGCTCGAACTTAATTTCTTAATTTACTGTTTTATAGCTAATCAACATGAATTCAGTTGTCCAATTTCTAAAAGAACGCGCCTTTAATAATAATACTAAGCTCACTCAGAGCTGTCAAGCAATAAAAATATTTTTTAAAATTAAGTTATTGCGACTGGGTCATTCATATTGCTTTGTAACAAAATATTTGTGCTCTACTTTTTTTATTGGCAAAAGCCACAGAAATTAGCTTCTTGGCCATAAGCAAGTAAATATGTAAAATAACCAACATATGCTCCAGCTGACTCATAAAATAACAACAATAGCTCAGAGCGATCTCGTCTCTGCTGTTGTCCTTGGTCCGTGCTAGAATGTGGGGCTAGGCTAGGGATTAGATTTTTATATGGCCAACACCGCAAAAGCCTTTGGGCTTTCAAATACAAATCCATCGCAATGGTTTTACGAGTTCATAAAATTGGCGTGTAGGTGTTTACACTGGCCGCTTTTTTATTTTATTCCTTGTCTCTCTGCCTCTCACTGTGCCGATACTGCGGGAAATTGAAATTGTGAATTTACTTCTTTGCTGAATTCTTTATGTGTAGGCTGGCTGCGAGGGCGCTCGTAAATATGAATAAATCTCTATGTGCTAGCAATGCATTAAAGCTGCCAGTCCCATAATCGTAACTTGATTAGAAATACGATACAGTCCAGCCGAAAAATTTAAGGCCAATACATTGACAGAGAGAGGGAAAGAGAAAGACACCCACGCACACTCAGACGTTCTGGGGCATATAAAAACTTTATTAAACGCAACTACACATAAAAATAAAACGATGACAAAGTACGCGACGCGTTTTGCAGCCTCCGTTTTAGCAGTTGTTGCCCTTCTGCGTGCCTGCGACGCCGACGTTGGCAGTTTTTGCTGTGCTGGCTGCGCCTAGACTCGGGCCTGGGCCCACAATTCACTTCAAGTTGTAACAAATTTCATTACAATCGTAACAAGAAAACGTGTCTCAACAACTAAATTGCAAAAGCGAAAGCAGACTACAAAAAATTGCACACAACTAGGCTGGCCGACATGACCAAAGGCTTGATTGGCTTTTAACAGGGCTACGATTAAACTTTAACATTGCGCTGTTAACTAACAGCTGTTGCCAGTTCAGCTTTAACTAACAGTCTAAACTGTCTCTCTATCTCGCCCTTTCATTCGGTCAGCATGTTAGGGTCAACATATTAAAGTGACAAGGTCTGTTGGGCCTCACTTGCTCCCTGAATTCGAATTGTCTCTCATATTATTTGCCCCTTGGCATATTGCTGTCATACTACGAATTTTTGTTATTGTTATCATGGCGGCATTTCCTTTTTTTGTTTAGGCCAATGCAGCAGCGGCAGCATTTCCCTTTTCTTCTCTTTTTTTCTGCTGACAAGCAGCTGCCTTTTCCGACTTTGCTATTTTATGGGCGTGCGTAAAAGGTCCTTTGGCCTGCGGAAGCAGCTAGGTGTTAGTGAATTTTATTCAAATTTGACGCTAATGAAATGGCACGTGACAAGGTTTGTTGAAACACATCGACAAAATCGAAATGTATCCATATGCTGAAATCTCGAATAAGACCTTTCTTAGCAGAAATCGATTTGAATATTATTATGTTGACAGCTGAAGTATATAGAGATATGGGATACAGTTGGCCATTGGCCTCTTTGAAAGAGTAAGCTATTTGCATACCATATATAAACTCCATTATAAGTATTCTGCATAAAAAACAAATAAAATCAATTTAAGCAATAAATAAAGAAGGACAAATTGGCGAATATAAATATATGTATATTGTATATATTTATATACAAATAGATAATACATCAATTTATGCAATTAAAACAAACAGCTTTAGATGAATTGTCCATCCAGTTCTCATACGAAATTTTTTTATAAATTTAAATTTAATTTATGCGAACAACCAGACTGAAAAAATGAAAAATTCTGTTTATTAAAAATTTTTATAAAAAAATAATTCGATAGCAAAGACTTTGTCAAACTGAAATAAATATATTGAAAATAAAAAACTATTTCATTTATGAAAATTTCTTGCAGTTACCGAAAATAAATGATTACCATTTTTCAAATAATAACTTTAGCCTCACAATAAGCTTAAGTTTTGACGTGCCTTAGGCAAAGCGTTTCGCATAATTAAGATTTCGGTTCAGGCTTGGTTGGTGCTTAAGATAAAGTCCTTTATTGGCATTAAGTAAGTTCCAAGAGCAAAGACATTGAATTTTCTATATAATATATATATATGCTATAGTTAAAGATTCTAGGGGCCATATTTGATAACGCTTACAACAATTTCACTAGGTGTTAACAAGAACAGAACAGAACAGAATGAACAATGTAACTTTAGGGTTAAGTTGAACGGTTGGACAAGTCCATGAAAGTCTGTGCAGTGTCGGTGCAAAGGGTGAGTGAGTGGCCGTTGGCCAGAATCATTCGACTGCAGGCTGCATACTCAGTTTAGCTTCTTTCAAGCTGGACGACTGCCTCTGACGGCCTATACGCTGCGCATGAGGCGCTTCTTCCATTTGCAGAGAGGACGCCAGGCACGCGCAGCCGCCAGACGTCGCCAGCTTCATTTGTCCGTCGCTGTGCCAGCAGGAAGCGCCTCGCCACCATCAACGGATGCCGTCTGCTCGATGGCCTTGGATGCACTGGGATCCGCAATGCTGCCAAAGTAATTGCCGGTGGGCTCAATTTCCACCACACGCTCGACATCATCTAGTTTGGGTGGTGCTGGCACCGTCACCATGAGTATGCCATCCGCCGAGAACGTGGCACGCGCCTGTGTGGCATCGTAGTGCCGCGGCAGCTTGTAGCAGCGCGTAAACTCGCGCGTTATGCACAGCTGTCCCTTTTCGGCTCGATCGTCCGCCTGGTTGCCCTCCACGCAGATGGTGTCGCTGTTCTTGGCCTTAACCGTCAGCTCGGCCAGCTGAAAGTGGTGCACGTCCAGCACCACCTTGAAGGTGCCCCGACCCAGCGAGTCTGGCTCCGTGCCCGTCTCAATAACCACACGTCCCACCAGGCACGAGCCGTGACACCAGGCGCTGTCATCCACCCGCAAATGGAACTCCCGCGCGCACACGTCCATCTCGTGGGACAAGTAGTAGCGCCTCTGGCGGCACTTCGGCTCACCTGCTGACCAGTGCCTGCGCTGCGGCCAGTGATGGTGGACGCTGCCATGCCCATGCTCGTGCTCATCCCAATCCCAGTCCCAATGAATGGGCATGGTTTCGTTCTTCTGTGTGTCCTGTGTATGTGTGTGGGTGTGTATGTGTGTGTGTGTGTCTTGTGCTTTGTGTTGTGTTTCGTTGCACACGGAGCAAACGCGTTGCTTTTTGGCAAAGGGCGCCAAAAAAACCGTTGTCCTCTGCTCGACTCTTACTCGCTAACTAACTGAACTGGTTAGCCAACTGCCTGAACCACTCGCCAGCGAATTATGCAAAGTTATGCCAGCCGATACGACTCGAATGCGAATGCTCCACGTGCCGGTGCCAGGCCCAGCCAGCAACTGCACCAAATCACTCAATTCGCACATAAACATTTGCCATGCAATATCCGAAAGTAGCGCAACTTCACGGAATGTTTGATCGATACTTTCAAGCCATGTGTCTGGCGCAACCCTTGCAGCTATTTTTATATTTTCACAAAGGCCGCCCGACGGGTCGGCTATGCGTTAAATGCCCCAAAATAGCATTATGACTGGGTTTATGCAACTAATTGTGGCATTGTCGCACAGCTGAGCTCAGCTCAGCTCAGATGTTTTTCTGCTCTGCGCTGCTCTGCTCTGCAGACGACTACGCATTCAGGAAAAATTTGGAACTAATGAAAATCGTGACCTCCATTTGGCACGTCTCTCACATGTGAGTGAATCGGACACATAAGTGGAAACATGTCAAGGATATACAGGGTACTGCATTGTAGTGGAATCCATCTAAATAAGAGCTGAAGCTTGTATGCTAGATAGATATCTTGGAGACTAATCAAAAACTATTGGACTCCATTCCATTCAGCTACGTATTCAGCACTTCGAAAAAAGAATCTGATTCTTTGCTCACAAGTCTCTTTTCATATTGAAATTATATATTCTATGGACTGTTTAGTCTCAGTAGTTGATTAGACGATATCTTGGACACTACTCAAGCTCTAATCCGAAGACATCTACTCATTCAGCAAGTCGAATAACCTATTTGATTCTTTATTACTAAATTATTTTGATCAGATTTACCATTTCCTTATTTCATATTATTCTGGCAGTCTTAATATGAGTTATAGTCGATACTAGTCAGTCCTAGTCTCAATGACTTAATAGATGATATCTATGAGACTTATGCAGCATTCTTCTAGATTCAGTTACGTATTCAGCAAGGCAAAACCCTTTTGAAGGAATAGAATTTAATTCTTTGTTACTAAATAATGTTGCTCGGTGTTTCCATATCTATTTCTATATCAATCAGGTAACCAAATTATCTATTTGTATACAATGATTCAATATACGATATTTTGGCAACTGAGGATAATCAGCAGTCAGCTACATATTCAGCTAGTCGACAAATTTAATCTATATATTTATTACTATATTTATATTTAGTATATTTATTTTTCATATCAATCTGACCACCTTCATATCTACTCTATAGACGCTATACGAAAATAAATTACAATACAATAAAAACTATTTGAGATATTTCTGCTTTTGTTTTATATAATAATTATATATGGAATCACACATTATTTAAATATTAGCATTGGTTCTGCTGTCACTGCTTCAAGTTCAATTTTAGATGATTCGATTCAATTTAATTCTAATTCAGCTGATTGTAAGCGATTCGAATTTCCTCCTTCAATACTGTTAGCTACGTTCCTTATGCTTTAATCGTGTTCAGTCACCCTGTATGTTTCAGATAACTTGGAGAGCAACTAAATATTAATTTGTCTATTTGAACTAAATATTAAGTTGTCTGTTAGCAGCAAACCTCATTGCCTAACATGAAGTTAGATAGAAATAAATGTTTGTAACATTGTAAAAATCTCATTCCGTTGAGTGTCTATAAACCATATTAATGTGACACCGACTTGAGCACCCTGTTTGCCACACATTGTGGAGAAAACAGTTTTGGCTAAGACAAAAAATATCACATAGACATTGTCAGGACATTTACAGCGCGATTGTTGTTGTTGTCGCGTGTTTGGCCCCGAGTTGAGCCAATTTGTAAAATAACGAAAAATATATATATATATATTTATATATATCTAGCATATTTTACTTATATTGCAATGGGGGTCAGACAGCTTTGCCTGGTTGGCTGCTGAAATTGAATTTGTGCTGTTAGCTTTACAGTTTGACAAATTTTCAGCAAACAAGCCAAAAGTGACTACAGCTTGACTCTGCTTGAATGACAGAGCGCATTGTGCTCTTAAACTGCAACTGTAGAGTTTTTCTACAAATTGAGCGCGGGGCAAGCAGCGAGAGCTGCAGTTCGCGCTGATGGGGTTGTCGCAAAACTATATAAACTTAGACAAAAGTTTTGAAGCAAGCGTTTAGACGACGACAATGATCACAGCGACAAGATTTACTTAAACTAAATTAAAAGAGTGACCGTATAAGAGGAACAGACGATACGACAGCTCATTGAGTGCAACAATTATCTGTCAATCTCTGTTGTAGCAGGAACAATGTCTGGCTACTATCTGCACCTATTTGTGTTCTCTAAGAATCTACTTTAACTCAACGGGAAAGTGGTCAAATATTCTCAACAAATTTTTTTTAAGAAATTGATAAGTATCGAAATTATAAGGTATACCCAAGTCATCTTTATATTTTTTTTGAGTGGACGCAGTGATTTATATCACAATCCATTTAACAGCTGATAGTTGCCTTTTGTTGAGTTTTCATTGTAGATAGACTTAGTGCAGCGCCTGCAAATTTGTTGTCAAGATAATATTGTTGGTTAGTAAATAAGCACAATTGTCTCATCTGGAGTGAGGACAATCCATAGACTTTGGTCAAACTGTATTACGACCACAGCAAAATACTGTTTGATGTGCTCAATTGGCTGGATGGATGGACTCATTGATGATCATCATTGTGAAAATTGCTGGTCCAAACTATGTGCGCCAGTCGTGGCGGCCACATGACCAAATAATATTTTAGCATTAATTTCATAAAACGTTGCAATCCACAGCAGTCCTTTCATTGATATTAAAAATATGTGTCTAGGCTTTAATATAATTTAAGCTTGTGTGAGTCGCATTAAATAAACTCAAACTTTATTCCTATGCAATTAACTACAAGCTGAATATTTGTGTGCATTTTGTATTACTCTAAATCCGGGTCGGAAAAGGTGTGGAACTTTGTGAGAATTACGAAAAAAATATGTAAAATGTTGCAATATATATTTAATTATTTTTGTAAGATTTAAAAAGAATTTTAGAATAAGTAAAACAGATTTGTGTTAATGAGCACAAATAATGTATAAATAAAATAAAATATTCTTGAACAGCATCAAAAATTGGCAAAGCCCCACTTCAATATAAAGTATAAACTGATATATTTAATGACGACTTGGGGCTGAGAGACTCGTCGGACACTCCCAAAGAACTACATATTCATGATGAAAATTTATTTGCTTTGAGTTACGCTAAATACATATATTTAAGGCTAGATGGCCTTACTCATGATGGAAGGAACTCTCCTCACTATAGAATATATTCTCAGCACAGCAAAGTAAATACAAAAACTCAATATAAACTAGCTTAAAGTACTTCCAATTTATATATATCAATATCTGTATGAGAAGGTAACATACAATACCAAATGATGTTAATTTCAACAGCAGAATGCAAATGACGCAGGTTTCTTTAAAGTCTTTCCTTTGCTCATGTCTCAGAAATTAACAATGCTTTGTGATAAAAAATATCCAACAACTGCAAAAGTGCCTTAGGGAGCAATTTTAAGTTTGCCAGTCAAAATAAATAGAGTTTGCAATCAGTCCGCTTCGATTCGCAAAGCGCTTCACACAGACTTTACTCAGCTTGAGTTGGAAAAACATAAAGTTACTTTAGTTTATTTAATTAAAAATTCAGCTCTTTATGTGAGTGAAAATACGTTTTATTGCCAATCAAAGCATCGACACGGACTTTGCACCTGGAAAGGTAATTTCTGCATGATAAACAAAAACGAGCAGTGCAAATGGGAAATATTTGTGTACCCAAAACTAATTACGGATATTTTGCCACCGAGCCTTGGTCTGCGCGACACGCACACGTTGAGGGCCACACGATTAGAGCCAAATTAATGACAGCGATTCGATACACACACACACACGCTCACATGGGGATACGGTCAGGGTTTGGGGCTTGGTAATCAAAGTGTCGGCTTTCGCTAAGTTGTGATAGCTCAGGGATGCGTTAGCGACGTGATTGGAAAATAATTGCATTAATTATCCCGCACAAGCAGCTGAGGCTGTGTCCTTGATTGAGCAGCTGCCAACTGGGTCAGAATTGGTTTGTTGCCACTTAAACTCGAATTATGACCATGCTCGAATGTCTGCGCATCTTTGGCGGGTATGCAAAGGAGCTTTAAGATTGGCTGCCCCGATAAGCCACCTATTTTCTAGAAGGCGGACAGCGAACTGCCCGTACGGCCAAGTGAAATCAAGCATTCGAAATTCACTTACTTCCGGTTATTTTAGTACGCAAAGTAAAGTCAGCAGCTACTAACGAGTCGGGCCGAGGGGTCAGCGGGCCCGCTCTGGCATGACCCAATGCTTAGTCGGTTGTGTAATGCGAAGTTAGTAAATGTCCAAATGAATGACTTCACTTGACTTTAGTTAAAATATTTACTCATATTTTGCACCCGGTCTGGGGAACATGTGTTTGTGGCTTTTGTACAGCTCTAATTATTTACGCATCAATGCGTACCAACTCTTTGGACGGATGGTGAGGCGAAGAGCCAACACACATGTAATACACTCTACATGCCGCATGCCGCATGCCGCATGCCGCATGCCTCATGCCACCATCAAACGCTGAAGGCAAACGAGACGCATCTATAAATAGCAGCTCGTGTCAGTCAAACTTTACTGAACTCTGCAAATGCCTTACAAGTGTCTCTTGAATATCTAACGAAATAGCTCAAAAAATATATGTATTTTTTATATCTATATATATATATATATTATTTATATATTAAAGGAAATTTCCTTTCGATTTGATAAGCCTTTGATAAGCTATAATAAGATTGGATCTTATGCAGGTACAAATTTATAGCGAATTCAAATGTTTTCGAACTTTTATGTAACTTAATACAAGCTATGGCGCAGCACGACTTACAGATACTCTGTACTTAACGCCGATCTCTAAAGAATAAAATATTTTATATTTTAATATAAAGCACGATAAATTTATAATCAAACTTATAAAGTTTTTCCTTGCTAATGAGCTTTACTAAAATATCTTATTTTTTCTACAAAAATATATTTAAATTTTTTTTGACTTTCTAGACAAACTGTTTTCATTAACTCTGCTGATCATTGTGATCAAAAATGTAAAAATTTTGTGATTTTCTATGTTTATTAGACGCACTATAGTCTATATACCCTTCGATTTTTAATAAGTGCAGGGTCTTTAGTTTTTTTTTTTAGTCAATAATGTAAACAGTTGTTCACATAAGCTGCACAGCTCATTAGTCAATATTTAGTCAATTTTGTTTCTTTAGCACTAACAAAAAATAACAGGTGCTTTAAATATTTGCTAATTTAAAGTTTGTTTAAAAAGTATATCACATAATGTAGAATGAACGTAGAATCATTAATAAATGGTATGAGAGCTTGAGTAAACAATAAGTTCAGCATGATTATTTGCATAGAACTTAACTAGTACTTAATACTTTCATATGGTGATCTCCTATCCCCCCATGATCGAGAATTAAATAATATATTTCCATAAATAACAAATTGAAGGGTAATTAAATAAATTTGAATTGAATTAATAATAAGATTGTGCTTTACCTGAAGTAAGCCTGTTTCTAATTCGTGCTCTAGTCCCTGAGTCTAATACAAAATCCATTCACAGGAATTCGTATTTAAAATATCGATTTTCGCTTTATTAAAATCTTGCTCAATGTAGAAATGTAAACACATTGAAATTGGTATTTATTTCAATATGAATTGTTTCGCTGGCCTGACCTTTGCAGCCACACGCGAAACAAATCGCACCACGCTTCAATCCATTTGGCTTTCCACCTGACACGCCCCTCGAGGTGAGGCCGCCCCTTCCACCTGCTTGTTGCCGGAAACTTGCGCAATGGTCCCCCCGGCACTCTCAGTGTGCACAAATTGTCAAGGCTGCCCGGTCCTTTAGTTGCGGCTAAAGCTAAGCCCCTGGAAACCTCCAGAAGCAACTTCGCGCAGTTGTCCAAGCAACAACCCCTCGTTAGTTACGGCCATATGCTTTTTATGTAATACACCACAACCAGATGGAGGGGCAGGGTTGTGTGAGCGTCGAGTGGGTCGGGGTGAGCGTATGATGTGCTCTGCCTCGCTGCGCCGTCTAAGGTTTATGATCAATCATTCGCCCTGGCTGACTGCGGTTTGCCCGGGTCGCCTCTCGCCATTCGCCTCTCTCTGCGCGAAGCTAGTCGAAGACTAGCCGTTCGTCGTCTCGTCCACTGTCGTCGCTGACAAATCTTTATCTGTGCCCTGACTTATTTATCCCTTTTGGCCGTTTCGTTTTTATTTTGCCAGGGCATTTTATGTCATGTTTATTGATGTGTAAAAGTCATAAAGTCAAATTGAACACTTGTGCTGGAAAACTGCCCAAAAAAGAAAAAATCTCATTCAAGTCACCCCCAAAAGCAGAATACAGTTTCTTAACAATATTGCCGACTAAGCAGGACTACAGCTGGGTATACCCTGGTAAAATGAATTAATAATAAGGCAAAGCAAGGCTTTAAATTATTTTTAAGCTCAAAAATCAAAAATCAGTTCAAAATTCGCCGCTGCGGGGTATTTTCGAGTCGTGTATTCCCCTACTCAATCAATTGGCATATTTGAAGCGTAGCATTTGCTTTATAGTTTTCTATTTCAATGGGCCGTGGTCAGTGGATAGACAGCTGTGACCGGTTGTCTATCCAAATTATAGTCGCAAAAGTGTGCAGCTGTAGCCTGTGTTAACTTAAGCTTAAGACTTACCTCGTTGCTTTGGTGGCATTGACTGCGGCGCCGTCTTTGAACCATTGAAACTGCATGCGAGATGAGCCCTGGGCCGTGCAGGATATGATAAACTCGCTGTCCTCGCGCACAGCTGCCTGCGGCTGATTGACGCTCAGGTCCTGCAATGAAAGCGTAACGCAGTTTCAGTACACACAATGTTCACTAATTAAACGTCCATGTGTAGGCGTCTGATGGCTGGGGGTTGGAGGTTGGGGGTTGCTGGTTGTTCCGGTCCCACGGCCTCTCATGTCGAGCAGCACAAACTCTGTGCTGTCGAACAGGAACACCCTGAGGTTTCCGGCTTGTCGGTTATGTTAATGTAGCCTAATTGCGAGCAGCGGCCAGCGGGCCGACCACCTGATGAGGCCAATTGTTCAGCTGCTTGCCACAATTAATAAATAATTATTTTTTTGGTTGCTGGCCAAGTGCCAAGTGCCAAAGGCCCACTGCCCAGTGTCAAGTGTCAACATTTATGCCAATGCATTTGCCATTGTTATTATTTTATTGCCATTGTTTTTATGGCGCCGAGTCAATAAATTAATATTTAATTTCTGACGGAAATGCAAGTAGATACACCTATGTGTGTGTGAATTTATATATTTTTATGAAAGCTTTATCTCCTGTAAGCTGTCATACATGAATGTATACAGGTATATATATTGACTTCAAACAAACAGCAAAAATCAATGTTCCGCGCCTTGATTGAAGCCCATTCAACTGCCATCATCGAAAATGTATTTTAAAAATTGAATAATCTGAAATTTATTTGCTTAATTCTTTGCGTTAAAGTATAAAATGCTGTGTAATCAATTGACAATTCGAACTCGAAAGAAGACTTTGCCTGATATCAATATGAAAACTTTAAAGAACTTTTAGTTACTTACCAACATGTTCAAAGGTGGATTCTCGTCGAAATGATGAAAGTTCGAGACGAGCGTAAAGTTTCCAATGCGACCGCGCTCGACCATCCGGGTGATGGCTTCTCGAATGCGCTGCGAATCGCCTTTGACGCCGAAGAAGTGAAACGTTATATCCAAACGATCCGTAGTATTCGAAATTAGTTCCAGATCGCTTATCTTTGTTATATTGAAATTCCGCAATACTCGAGAGAGCTGCAAGGCATAGAAATAGAAGTGGTTCCTTATTAAATTGATGTATGCTTGATGTTTCGCAAACGGACGCTGAGCACTCAGGGGGCCATTAAAGCAAATTGACAGCCTTTCGATTTCTGAGCCCATGGCATTGATTTTTATTACCCAACTACTAGCCGCGTTGCTGCTCATGCAGCAACTCTTTGGCTCATCTTGCGAAATAAATGTTAATATATTCGAGCAAATGGCACCATTGAGCATTGGCCACGCATAAAAAATACAATGTCAATGCGATTGGCAAAAGGTAAAAAGTAATATGTTAATACGGCAATAGATTGCCCTTGGCAACCCAAAGTGTGTGTGTCCCAAAACAAAACGCTAACGATTCACTGAGAAATGTGTGTGTTTCTAAAAATAGAGTTTTATAAATATACAAATCATGGCAGCCATAAAGTGTTATGGCTTATGTGAATCGCATAGAAGGGCTTGCTATTAAAGTACCTTTTTTATAACTTTGACTGAGGCTTAAGCTGCAGGAAAGGCTTATAAATATTTCATGTGAAACTTGCAAAGCAACTCTCAGAGTAATTATGACAGCTATAAAATCTTATTATCCTGCTCATGAGAATCGCCTAGAACAGCTTAATATAAAACTAAAACTTCTCTTCACCTACTTTGACCACTTCATCTGCATTTCATTTACTGTAAATATTTCATATACACTCTATCTCTTAAATATATATATCATATACCTTAGGGAACTAATTTTGCTTAGCATTAAAAGCAAAATTTACAAAAATTAGTATTAAAAATTAATTTAATGCTTGATCGTTGAGGTAAACAAATATGGAAAAGTTCAAGTTCTTAAAATACTTTTTCTTTTAGCTCCTTTCTTATCTGGCCAACTTGAAGTGGAAAGTTTTTCCTTTGCTCGCTCGGAATTGGCTATGAAATGCAATTTTGCTTTTGCCTAACGAAACTTTTCATTATTTTTTTTGCTCTCCCTCTCACTCTCTCTCTCTCTTGTTGCACCGTCGTGTGTCATAATATGGAGCCAGTGCGGTCTGGCTTATCCTTATTTAAATGATTATGTATTATGTTAAAGTCGTTTGCTTCCGTCGGGCGCCGGCCCCATTGCGAGGGTCATTGCACTGGCCAAAAGTTTTTTCGCAAACTTTGTGTTTGTACGCCACCACGGAGCGAAAACTGTCTAGTTAAATATTAATATTATTGAGCTATCTCCACTTCATGGCGAAGGCTTCTGAAGTCAACGACTCTTTTTACCAGCAGAGAGCGTCATATAAAGCAAAACAGCAGAGGGAGAGAAAAATATTCGAAATATTTGCAAGCCCGAGTATGGGAAAAGTTGCTGTGGCGCACACGTTCGCTTCAAGCTGGCAACTGTCATTAGAAGTACTGCTGTTAACTTGGCAAGTTAAGGCCAATGCGGCAACGCTTCATTTGCCACCAGAGCAGCATAAAGCCAAAGACCAAAAGCCCAAAAACCAACACAAATGCAATTTGAGGCATTTGCAGAGCGGAAAATGTAAAAATGTTCCACACAAAAAATGGAGGAAAAGAAGCCCAAGTAGAAAACTACCTTAAAAATGAGGAAAAATGTTTCCTGCGCCGAAGACCAGCAAAAGAAATTGCAAAGGATACAGCTTAAAATACTTTAGTCTGGAATACAATACTATGCAACCTACCAAAGAAACTATTTAAAAGGGCCAAATACTCCGACTTTTGGAACTATTTCTATATGGCGTTTAAAGTTCATTTGAGGTTTTTGCACTGCCCTGGGTCATATTCCTACTGAGGCCATTATGGAACAATAATAAATATTATGCTAAAGCTAGAGACTTTTCTTTTGATTGTAAATCAAAGTGGGACTAGCCCATAAATAACTTTTTAGGATAATGTAAGAAAGAGAAAGAGAGATAGAGAAGGGAAGCAAAAGAGAGACAGAAATGAAAATGGAGGAAGAAAGAGAATGTTTGATAAGAGAGAGAGAGAGAGCAAGAGAAACAAGAGAGTGAAATAGAGAGAGAGCGAGATATTGGAAGAATGTGACAGAGATAGTGACAAAAAAAGAAAGAGAGAGAGAGAGCACGAGAGATTGCTAGAATATAAGAAACAAGACAGAGAGATGGAGAGATATGGAGACAGTTAGATAGATTTATAGAGGCAGCGAAAGAGAGAGAGAAAGGGGAGGAAAGAGAGCGAGACTGAGGGAGAGAGATATGGATAGATGGATAGATAGATAGAGGAAAAGAGATATGGAGCGAAAGAGAGAGAGAGTGAGACGATAGGAAGAGAAATTGAGAGACATAAATAGAGAGATGTTATGAGAGAACATGTGATAAGACTGAGACAGTTAGATAATACGAACAAGATCGTGAGAAAGAGAGATCATGAGATAGTTGAAGAGAGCGAGGTAGAGAATGAGTGAAACGCAAGACGAGATGTAGAAAAGAAGAAAAGAGTCCAATGTGTCCATTCATTTATAAGAATTAACATTGACACTTGTTTCCCAATATTATCTAATACTTTGTATATGCTAAAAGTCAAGTCTTGCAGGCAGCTCCTGCTGCTCTATACTCGCAGCTGACAAGAATGTAATTCAGACAGTTAAAGTAAAAGTATTTAAGCCCCCAGACAGGTCCACTCTCTGGAACACAATCTCACACTCGCTGCACACATATTTTCGACACGACGCAGACGTAACCAATTAGCTCTTTTAATTAACACAACATTAAAGCATTGTAAAATGTGGCAGCTGAGAGTAAGGAAAAAATAGAAAAATTTTAAGACCCAGCTGGAGGAGGGAAGCCATGAAATCAAAGCTGACAACAAAAGTAAACTTGCCTCGCCTCGTTTTTTTTCCGCTTTGCCGGACGTTTTAAGAAGTCGAGTTCAAAACACAGTTATTGAAGAGGACGAGGACGAGGACGAGGACGAGGACGAGGTGGCAGCGTGGCAAAACTTAAAACTATGCGAGTCGTGGCGGCAATCAGCCTCTTATCGGTAGTTATTACAGAATTTTCTTTTTGTTCACGCCTTCGAGACGTGCTCGAAGAATGCCCCAGCACCAGTTGAACGACTTTCTACGTTAGTTTTTTAATATTTACTTTTATTATTATATTTTTCTTTTTCGTGCCCTTGGCAATTATATTGCACAAGTGCAAAAGTAATGCAATTTTGTTGCTCTAATTAGGGCCCCAACGGGGACCCCTCGATGGAACAAATTAGCCACGCCCGGGGGCATCATCACACGGTCGCACTTGAGTGTAAAGTAAAGTCCGAAATGTTACGGGCTGACACTTTAGCGGAGGCCGGCAATGTCGTCGACTTCACGTTCGACTTATGTAAATATATAGTTATGGAATTAATCAAGAAAGTGCAGTAGAAACAAACAAAAAACCAAAACAGATTGCGGGAAAATAAATATTTTCGGTTAATATGAAAGGGTTTTTTGTTGGCTCGGCGCATTTTCGCTGTTGTCTTTTTTATTTTTTTATAAATATTGGACAAAAAATGAAAACTTGCAAGTGCCGAATTGTGAAAAAGAAAAGAACAGAGTAATGTGCAACAGTCAATGCGCTGAAAAGTGGCAAAGTTAACAAGAGGCAGCATGAAGACGCGAAGAGCAAACGAACAGGCGCGGTCCGGCTATGGCGTGGACGTTTGTTTGCGCCTGCTGGGGAAAATGTTGCAAGTTAAGGAAAGGAAAATGTGGCGAAAAAATCGCCTTTGTTTGCTTAAAAACTTTTCACAGCGGCTGGCAAGTTTAACAGACGCTCCCTCAATGGGCTCTCAAATTAAAAAAAATTACAATCAGATTAAAGTTCCGACTGGCCGCAGTTAAAGTTCCGCTCTCATAGAGCATTTTAACATAGGGAAATACCAGAGTTACTTTTACATTATGGATGATGTTACTCTATTTATGTTTCCCTCTGCTAGGGCTCCTAGTATCAGTTTCACATAATTCCCTTTGGGCTGCGCATTTAGCACATGGACTCCTTAGCGAGGGCCACTCATATCAGTTCAATCTGAGCTCTGCGCTAATGACATTTAAATCTCCTCATTCAAATGTGAAAGGGCGGAAAATCTGTGTGGAACAGATTGCTGCAGATTTATTCAGTGTGTGGCTGATAAAGGAAAAATTCCGAATGGAAATTCGCAAAGTTAAATAATTATGCAGACGAGAGCAGAGTGAATGCAAATTTAAGCGACAGCAGCTATTTTAATTAAGATGTTTTTTCATTGCTGCGGCACTGCGAAGAAAACAATACTCTTTTGGGGCCTCAGCTTGGCAACGCTTGTAATACAATACGCTCGAGGACGGCCAAGGCAAAGTAAGACATTTGATGCCAACTGTGCTTCGGTTCTTGCAAACTGCCAAATATTCTTTTGGCTGCAAACTTGCTGCCTAATAGGGTTTAACTGCAACAAAGTTAAGAGTTTAGAGCCGACAATGAAGGCAAACTTTTTCGAGGGTCCTTTAATTAGGCTGGCTTAGACTTGCGTAGGACGCCGTTCTCTGCAGTTCTCATTAGAGATGGATGAGTGCTTTATAGTCATAAATGGCATTTATAGCAGCAAATGAGTTTCCCTTAGTGAATTTCATAAAATTGTACATTTTGTTATGGAAAATTTTCGGAATAAAGGTATTTGCTGGAGAAGGAATAGAAGACCCGTTCTTGTACTAGTAGAAATAGTAGTGAAAGAAATAGTAATAAAGTAGTTGAAGTAGTGCAACAGGTAAATTGTCGCAGTTAAAATACTTTTTATATTAATATATTATATATTTTATTATGCTATTTCTACTACTGTAATAATTTTAGAAGATGTAATACAGTAGCTCGTAGAAATAGATTTATTAATAATAATTACGGAGTCGTAGTATACGGATATTAGTAATATTAATATATGTTACAGCAGGCGTACTCATTGTAGGCAAACAGTACTGGGTAAAAGTCTATATATAAAGTAGTATATAGAAAAGAGTATCCCATCTAATATCTTAACTTATTTTGTATTACTAACTTTACGATTTGCTCTCGCTTGGAGCTAGCGATAAGAATGCATTTTGGCATTGCAGATTCTAAAGCTCAGGAGCAGTGCCAAGTTTTAATGTTGTGTGTGTGTGTGTGTGGGTGTGGGTGTGGCATATATTTGGCCTAGCAGCAGGACGGTTTTATGTTAATGTACTCCAGCTGGCTGCGACCAGTTATTGCCCTGCTGCTCATCCCCTATGGCCGGCCCAGCCTCAGAGCCCACTTGAAGCAAACAATTTGTAAACTAAAATGGGCACTTGTCTGCTTTTTGCTGTTCACAGTTGCGTCCGTTGCTACATCACCTTGAAGGAGCAGCGGTGGACTTTGGGAGGTATCATCCACAAAATGCCTGGCGTTGTCTTCCTAATCGTCGTGCCGACAGCGAACTTTGAGCGGGAGCTGATTTACGGTAAGTGGGCGAAGCGCAAGAAATTGAATAAGCGCCGAGTGCTAATTAAATAGAAAGTTACAAATTCGCTTCCCACTCGCTTGCCTCTCATGCAGCACAATGTGCTGTGACACGCCTCCACCTGCTGGCCCAACATGTCCATCCATATTCACATCCACATCCACATCCACATCCCCTTTTACATCCACATCAGCATCCACATCCACATCCGCTTCCTGCCTGCGCCTGCATGCACTGGTGCTTAGGCGCGTAATTATGTTGTTTAGTGGCGTTATTAATTATTTTATGACATCGTAAAAGTGTAAAACTGCTCTCGGCGCCTAAAAGCCTGCCTCGAAATTTACCCACAACAGAAACCACCACCCGCCACGCCCACCCACACACTAACACACATGCAGCCGCACGGGCTGTATCCTTTTTTCACTGTTCTCTTGTCAGAGAGTATTTGAATACTAGCATGAAGCGTGTGACCTGTAGTGTGTAGAAGGCACTTGTGAATCCATTAAGTATATATAAATCCTATATGTGGAATATCTTATATATAAATATATTTGTTCATAATCTAAATATTTTAGTCTCTGCATGTAGATCAGATGCTTTATCATATTTATAATTTTGATGTGCTGAATCCGAATCGAACTCTAAAATATTTCATAAATATTTCTAAAATAATCCATATATTTAGAAAAGAACTTAAGGATTCTGTACATACTTTTGTATCTTCTTAAAATATTTCTTAAATTAATAGAGTATATATTTTTATTACCAAGGCAAAGTGACTTAGAGAGATAATGTAAAATAATTATTTTTCACAAATTTGAACAGATTCTGAAGGAGAAGAGTAGTACTTAAGACACTTTAAGCAAGACTAACCCAATCTTACAAAGCCTCTTCTTAGCATCTCCTATCTAATAACATAGGTTTCAAGAACTTTGCACTCTATCTGCAAGGGTATTCCAGGGTCGTTGTTGAGCATTAGGTTCAAGTTTTCTGGGTTTTTTTTGCTTTTGCTTTTCGTCCACTTAAAGAGGTTTCAACGGCGAACAGTTTGCTGTCTAAAAATTGAATATTAAATTTTAATTAGCCAGGCCGAGTGGGGTTAAGTGTTAGCATGTGAAATGGATGCGGTAAACGGAGCAGCGGGGCTGCGGCATGTTTATTTGCTCGCAAGCTGGATGTGTAAACATCAAGTTGCCAGCGAGCTGAGAGGTTAAATTTCACCTGCAAAGGTTGAGGATGCAAATGGCACACACACACAGGCTTAAAGCAAACGCAATGAAACTTAATCACATTTTGCATAAGTGGATCAACTTAATTTGTTTAATTTTCCCAATGAGGCACACGCACGCCTTGAGTTTTGAATTTTATATTATTTAGGGAAATGTATTAAAAAAGTCAGATGAACAAAGTGAATAGAAATGTATAAAGAAAAAAGAATTATTTAATTTTAAATGAAATATGAGAAAAGTAAAATTCGTTGGGGATTTGACTCTGAATTTTTAATTTAAATCAAAAATGCTGAAGTTGGATCTTTGTAGAAGCCAACATATATTTGTAGAATATTGAAAAGAAATTAAATATTTAAGTTAAAACAACAATTAGATAAGCAAAAGGACTCCCATATGCTTGTAATGAGAACACTCATAAAATACTCAAGAAATTCTAAAAGAAACTTCACATATTAGAATTATTGGGCCAAGATACTGAATATCTTTGAAGGCAGATAAATTATAGCTTGAACAAGTTTTATCGCCGTCTGCCATTAGGGCTCGCATGGCTTTTAATTAATCATAATCGAAGCCAAAAATGCCTACAATAAAAACCGATCAGAGACCATAATTTATGACAACAGCAAACAGCAACAAAATGAGAGGAACCGAAAAAATATGTCAACTTATCAGGTTCGATTTGGCGTTGAGTGAAGCTGGCTGCTGTTATTAATCAAATATTTATTTAAATGCTTCCAAAAGCGAAATGCGCTCAATGGGCATCATTAATTTTGGCTGTCACCACGGCTAGATCCCGTCTGATAATGACCCTGAGGCTTATGACTGGCCGAATGGGCCTAGGCAAGGGGCAGGAATGCAGGGCGTGAACAAAGTTTTAGTTAGTCAAACTTAAATAAATGACTTTTTCCAATGCAAAAATGAGCATTAAGCAGCGAGCAACCTTCAACCATCGAAAAAGAGAGCAAAAAAGAAGAAAAAACACAACCACTTGACATGTACATACTTGTGTCAAGTCATCGCGGTAGCTGGGAGAGGTGTCAGACATAAATCACAGGGCTCAATGCCAAGCCAAAGCGTTCCCAGAAATTTGCAAGGTCTTCAAAGTAGCCGGCAGCAGGCAGAAGCGCAGTCAAGTTTCTTCCCTCTTTGGCCTTGCTTTGGCTACTTGTGGGACAAGTGGCCCAAAAGTGAAACAAAGACTTGGCTCATAGCAAAATTTAATGCTCTGCCCTAACCTAAGCTCATTTAAGCCCTATTTTGGCATTTGTCAATGCCTGGGGATTTATATGGTATTGCTTCTCCCTCTCTTTCACTCTCTTCCTCCATCTCTCTCTCTGTCTGTCTCGCTGTGCGTATGGCAAATAAATTGTGATTCCTTGTGTGGTTTCTGTGTAGGCCTTGATTTGATTTTTGGTTGCCAATTCTATTTATTTAGCTCAAGTGGAGCTTTGGGCCCCACGCTCTCTGAGGACAACGGACCAGCAAATAGATAATAAATAATTATTAAATTATGTTTGGCCAGCAGTCAGAAATTACTTTTGCCAACTGTTGCATAAATTATATAATTAACATTTTCCGATTTTTGTTTAATTTAAGCCATCAATTTAATTATTGCCGTATTCGCAGCTATTTAGAGCTCTGCGGTCAATTGCTATTTAAACACAGCACAAAGTCCACCTCGGCCAGACACAGAAAGCAAATATTTATAAAATGCTTAATGCTTAACAAATTCAGGCGCAGCAAATTTCGCTAATTAGAAAATAAATCGTGTAATTATATGGAATTAAACAAATTGTGCCACAATTTATTAAATGTTTAAAGAGCCTTACTTTTGTGTTGATAGAACACAAATGAGAATGATATTTAAAGTAAGCCTTTATGGGAATTTTATGACATATTTAAAATCGTTTCAATATCTGCTATCGATAGAAATAAAATTTTCATGAAATATTATTAACAGCTCAATTGTGGACCTTTTCTACCTCACAATTCGATGCTGAAAAGTAGGGCTTATTAAACACATTTGAAAATAAAAATCATGTATAAATTTATATTTGTTAAGACGCCTCTGTGGGTTATTTTATGTAATATTTTAATTCTAATATAATTTCTGGCTGCCGCGAGGTTAAATAAAATGCCTGACAAATCAACGCAAAAATTTTTAATTTTTAATATTATTATTTATATATAAAAATTCCATTTTAAATTTTATATATATTTCATAATGCTATAATAGAATTTTGATTACTCTGGTTAGTTAATCAAGCTATAGAATTTTTGATTAAAACATTTAAATGAGGCTTTGTATTTAAATATAGTATAAATCAGTGGGTTTTCACTTTCTGATATTAATAATTATTATTAGTATTTTAATTATTCATTCATTCAATCATTCAAAATTGGTCCAAACTGAAAAAAAAAAATTAAGTTAAGATGGCAGATATAATATTTTCGGTTTTGAGCCGCCCTCAGTGCTATCCTGAATACCGAAACTCTTTATAAGACGATAGCCACGAGTATACATTTCAGAAGCAGGAGTGCAGACTCCTTAAGGTATTTGAACAGGAGCAAAAGACGAGTTAAGCTAGCTCAGCCTGTTCATCTGTTTGCCTGTTTGTACCTATATATATATTTAGCTAATTTTTATAATTAAAAAAATTGTATCTCTATTATTAGTAACTCTAATAATTGTATCTCTATTATTCATTATAATTCAATAACTTCATTATAAGCCAATAACTGTGCTGAAAACGTGAGAGTTAGTTCATTAGAGTCAAAGTGATTTCATGTATAAATATCTTGTCTATTAGGACTCACAGTCATTGTACATAAGCACTTCATATCAATGTCATTGACTTGTCAGTTGTACATATCAAGCTGTTATTATCATGCTGCATAAGTGCAATTGTTTCAAGTATTCCAATGCTGCAGACCCTTCGTAACGCATGTCTCACGACTCACGTCTCACGTCTCATGGCACACAATTTTGATCCATTATTATACGCTTAGGTAGAAAGCAAATGTATGAATGTCTAGTATTTGTATTACCTTTTCATTTACTCAAAGGCACTTCAAATAATGTTTTAACTGAGCCACAGACTGGCCCGGCGGGTGGTGTTGCTGGCCATGGGCTCCATCCAATGGCCAGTGGTAACAATAATCTGAACATCAATCTTCCGGAAAATAACAACGCAATACTCCGACTCGAAGTTGAGTTACGTGACAAGAATGTGCCCAAGTATCGACGCGGTGGCGGCATGGGCGGTGCAGGGCGTGGTGCCAGCCCGGGTCGTGGCGCTGCTGCAACAGCAGCAGCTGCTAAGCGGGCCCCGCCAGGTGGGGCCGGTGGTGGCGTTGCGACTGGTACGCCGGCCGTGCCACTGGACAGACGTAATTTAGTGGTGCCGCTTGAAAAGGTGAGTCCATTGGGCAGTTACCCAAGACTGGGCAGCACTTAAAGTTGACTTTGATGCGGGACAAGGGTACTCGAAGCCTGTTGTGCTGGGGATGCACTTAACCGGACGGAACGTGACTGAAGCACAGTGCATAGTCGGGTAGGGCCGATAGCTGAACAATGTAAAATGGCGCCCAAATTGTCTTGGCTCGAGTAGAACGCAGATTTTGATGAATGAGGGTCAGCCAACAAGTGTGGGTGACAGTGACAGTGACAGCAGCATCAGCAGCAGCAGTCCAAGCTCGAGTCCGAGTCCGAATCTAAGTCCGCGTCCGAGTCGGATAATCAGCAAGATGAAGATGCGCGAGCAGAGATTGATGGGCGCAGCTTTGCAGTGGGCAGTGGGCGTGGACTCAGCGCACTGATGACTATCCAATTCAGATTCATAATCAACAAGGGCCGTGTCTTCGTTTATTACGGACTGGTTGAGGTACTTGTTGTTGCTTTTTCCGTTGCCAGGTACTCGAGGAGTTACTTGTCAAGCTTGAAATTGAGCACGTTACTTGGACGACGAGCAAAAAAGGTTATTTCCATCACGTCGTTTTCCCGCTGCAGGCCGGCGATGCCTGCGAGACGACGCTCCACTGTCTAACGGAGCTGGGCATTGGCACTAAATTGAATTCCAGTGTCAGGTAAGTTGAGACATTGAAAGACACCGCCAAACGCCGAACGCCGAACGCCAAGCGGCAAGCGGCAAGCGGCAAACTGCTAACAGCAAACGTGCCAGGCAAGTCAACAAGTCGCCAACGTTCATGCAACAGCTGCTCCAAATCCAAATCCCATTCTCACTTCCACTTTCCAACAACAGCTCCTTCTGCCCGGTTAGGTTTTAATAAAAAATGCAGCTTAAGCTCAGCCAACGGCACCACTCCATGCAGTTGCCAGGGCTTTAAGGGCTTGCCAACCAGCGGTTGGCAGCGGGCAGCTTCATATTTTGATTGCCTCCGGGCGAGAATCACGTGGACGACTAGCTGGAGATGCAGCTGCAAACTATAGCTGAAGCAAAGTCGGTCTGTGGGCGAGTCTCAAATCGATTTGCCATGCTGAACAGCTGGACAGCTGGACAGACTCAAGCTGAAAATTGAATGCTGCCGCACAGGCCTGAGCCAAACGGACGTTGATAGAGCAACAAAAGCGGAGCAGAGCAGATGGAAGCCATGTGCTTCTACGTTAAATCCGATGGCATGCAAATAGAGCGAGCAATAAGGTCTCAACTCAACTAGCTGCAAATTATATGAAATTTAAATGTTAACTCTTAATTGCAAGTCATAAACCGCATCTGCTAGATATGCTAGAAATAATTTGGAATGCATTAAGTTTTCTTTCTGGGAACTTGTGAAAAATGAAAATTTGACCTGAAGCTAGTTTCGTGTTTCAAAAGCTAAATTCTAATTAAGAGAACACGCAGCTAATTGAAGAGGGCAGCACTTGAGTCTGCGTTGAATGCATTGTGTGTCAAATAAACTTCAGTCAGGTAAATCAAGTCCTTCCTGGCCCCCTGAAATTTAGCCGGAGGCTGCCTGGCATTAAGTACAAAACAATGAGCAGTCTTAAGTAGCCCGTGCGAAACAAATGAAAGATGAAACACAGCAAGTATGCTGCAAGGATGCTGCGACAGGCGACACAAGCAGGTGTGATAATCATTTAATGGCATTAAGGAGGTGCATTAAAATGCAGCCAAAGGTGTGGCCAGTCAACCAAGGAGAGAGACTGTGTTTACCTTGGAGTGTATGGCAGCTCAAGGGATGGAATGAATTCGATGAGAAAAGTGATATTTAAGCTGTTTAATGCGCACAGAATGCAATTAAGTGCAGCCAGATCCTTGGCAGCAGCTGCAACCCGCAGGCTGCAACAACTTGCTGACAGTTGGACTGGCCAAGTCAACTAAGTGCACAATGCCACATGCATGACTTGCTGCTCCAGCTGTAAAAATATTTCCATATTCAAATGCATATCCTGCAGCTCTCTGCAATCTGCTCACTCCACTCAACTCTTCGTTTCGTTCACAGCGTTCTGCCATGCAGCGTCAGCTACGATGCCATCACAGAAGCCTCCAACATGCGCGACGATTACAGGTGAGTGCGAGAAGCCGTTCCAGCTAGAGTGCGACTCTCAAATCAGAGTCTGAGTATGTGTGCATTTCCTTTGTGGCTGCTAACAGCTCGCTTGTACAGTTTTATTTGGAGCACCTTTGTCTGGCTTAGACACGTGTGTGGCTCGGCTCGGCTCAGCTTTGCTTGGCTTTTGCCTAGACTGTTTCTTTGCCAAAAACTAATTTGAGCGCGTTCCTTTTGCGGGCATCCAGCAAAGGCGTCTGTCATTTCATTAACTTTCACCCGTTGTCTTTCACTTTCGGCGGCATTGTTTGTTTCTCTGGCCGCTGGCAATGTGACAAGTAGGTCGCCGACATCCTCTTTTCTCTTCTCTTTCTTTCCCACTCATATTGAGTTTCGGTTTCTCACTCACATCTGCATAGAACGTGGCCTGCGAACCCATCGCATTTGGCCTGTGTCCAAGTATATTGCGGCTTTGAACGAATCTATGCGAATCTATTGTGCCTGGGACACTAGACTGGGCTCGAGCAAAAAGTGAAAATGATGAAATTTGCATATGAAAGCCAACGATTTAGGTATTTTAACCCTGTCGAAAGGTTAAATGCATTTGCCTAGTGCACATAATTTATGACTTCATTCGTTTACAAGAAATTTTAGTTTGCAGGCGAAACACAGAGACCTGCATATAAGATAAACAACAAAATTCGGGTTTGTTGATTTTAGCTTTGAGATTTATAGTCGAAAAGTCTTAAATGCTTCAACGCCATCGAAAAGGTTGGCTTTGCTTAACTTTATGATCTATTAAGACTTGCATGTTTATAATTATGATGTCAATGTGAAAGAGAAATAATAGAACTAATATATTATAAAACATTCAATTCACTTTGCTGCTCAGGCAAAAGCTTCTTGCTCCGCCCAGTGTATCTAGCCCCATGCATCTAGCTCTTTCTGTCCTTTCGTCTGTCTTCTTGTTCCTTAGACTGTCGCATATGTATATATGTCTTACGTAGCGCGTCTTAGCACACGTGCAATTTAAATTTACTCCAAATTATCAATAAATTTAATATTTTCCATTAAATCTATAAAGAAAGATTGTTCTTTGTAGAGCTGCACAACTCTTTGAGTTAGCAAGACTTCTTTATATGAAAACTTGTTTAACAAATTAAAATAACTTATATTTTATATTATATTATATTATATTATATAATATTATATTATATTATATTATATTGTAATATATTATATTATATTATATTATATTAAATCGATAAGTAAAGGAAATTCTTTGTAGAGCTGCACAACTTTGAGTTAGCAAGACTGCTTTATATGACATTAAAAGTTTCTTTTACTAAGTTTAGTTAGACATTTCATAAAGGCTATATTAATATGAATGCAATGCTGGCAAATTATTGAAATTTCTTATCAATATAGTAATGTTCGTCAAACACAACGTGCACTTCGTATATTTTGTGGCGTGCATGAGATGACCATTTGTGAACGAATGTTTACGTTAATAAGCAGAACTATCGCATTTGGATCAAGCATAATCCACAAGTGTTTGTCGAAATCCATTACATCAACAAACTATTTCTGTTTGGTGCGCTTTTTGAATTGGCAGAGTCATTGGTCCAGAATTCCTTTAAATCGATGATGGTCAGGATTCTAAGAACTATTTCAGCTTGCGTCTTCTACATGCTAGCCATGATATATATTGCAGAAATTATGGCATAAAATATTATATTCAATAAAAATTATTTTAGTGATATTAAAAATATATTTCATTGGCGTATTTTAATTTAAACTTATGACACTAAAAAAAATAAATCAAAATTCAATTATATGTGGATTAATAATAATAATTAATTAACTCATATCATAGATGTTTCTTAAGTATACACAAATATCAAGCGATCTTCTTTTAAGATACTTCCCAAAAACGTATTCCAATAGAAAGTTTCGCTTTAGTTCAAATACCATTTGTTAGCCCAGTTCAATAATTGATTTCCCAAAGAGAAAAAGAAGCGCAGGCATCTGCCTGCCTTTTTGTACTAAACAACAGTAAATTAGTCTAAAAATTTATCTCTCTATTAACGGCTTCGTATGCTTAAAAACCAATCGAAAACATTTACATATATATAGATTAAGTAGATATTTCATAATTCGCCTCATGTAACTTAAAGCCAGCTTCTAGCAGCTTCTCTTCTTGCTCGAAGACATTCTAAAAATAATGTTGCAATTAGACAATTGCACAAATGTTCGCTATGTCCTCATTAGCGCCGATAAATATTTGTCATTAGGTTTTATGAACGCCAAATGGTGTTTATTTATTTAACCGTTGCAGCGATGATGCCGAGGATACCTCCAAGTGGAACAACTTTGTGGAATCGATTAAATCGAAACTAACCGTGAAACAGGTTGTGGATGGCGTGCGAGCCGGTGGCTCCTTATCCTTTGACTACTTGCTGCTAATTGTAACCGCCGAGTGAGTACAAACCGAGATGCCATTCATTGCGAAGCCATTGCTAATGTGAGTGTCTGCATGTGTGCATGTGTGTGTGTGTCTGTGTGTGTCTGTGTGTGCGTGGGTGGTTGCATCTTGCAGCTCTTTGGCAGCCCTGGGCTTGGTCGAGAATAATTCCCCGAATATTGTTGCGGCCATGTTGGTATCCCCGCTTATGGGTCCCGTTATGTCAATTACATTTGGCGCAATTATCTCGGACAGAGAGCTAATGGTAAGTGGAGCAGCAGCTGTTGCTATAGCAGATATTTGCTGCGGTTGGCCAAAGCCATTTCGATTCGCTTTTGTGTTCTGTCTATTTGTGTGTATTTGTGTCTGGCAGGCAACACATTGTGTGGCCCTTGCCAACAGCGCGTTGTACAAAAAATAAAACAAATAAAAACCAAATAGAGATCGAGTCAGAAATTGAATGCAGTTTGCTCGGGCCCAGCAATCCATTCGCAACACACTTTGGCGCTTTGTGGACTGATTTATGTATGGAAAAGTGACAGATGAAAATAATAAAAGCCATTCGCCGAAAATTGTTATGCCAGCTCGTTGGCAGCTCGTTTGGCCTCTGCTAGGCACTGGCTCTGTGAAATGTAAATGGAAATGAAAAGCTACGCAAACTTCCCACAGGATAGCTCCCACCACCCAACGCCCCGCCCCCCATCAGCATTCGAACACATGACGACAATATTTTCTGCGAATTTGTTACAAATTTTCAACACTTTTGTGGTAACACTCGTCGCGCGTTTTGAGTTCTTTATTGACAGCTCGATGATGTGCCCACAAATGGGTTTCGCGCTGCTTTCTATAAATAATGCGCTCTTCCAGCTGAGCCACTAATTGCATGCATAGCTTTACATGAATGCCCTCACTCGGCGCCAATTCCATATTGCATTTAACTCACTTGTTAGGGTAGTTAATGTGGAGGGTGAAGTGAGTTCATCTGCCAAGTAAACTAAGAGGAAACTAGAGTGAAGAAAGCGCAATGAAAAACTCATTCGAGATTTCAATTAATTTTTCATTTTTAACAGAATCTTCATTGAAAGGAATATTTAACAAATTTTTATATATAATTAACTAACGTACATATCAAGTTGTTTTGTTTCTAACTTTTGAGTTTGAGTCTCAATTATTTGTTGCTGTAACAGTTGCATCTTGCTGTAGTCAGTCAGCTTCCCAAAGCCTTTTCCTGCCATTTAAAGCATCCCTAATATGTGCCTTAATGTTAACTTTAGCGTGTTTCTTTTATGTCTACCTAGCATAGATATCACTGCCTATAAGCTACACTTCTTTTTAATCCTAAAGAGAACAAGCACCGTTTCCTGCAAATATGTTTTGATGACTCACAGCTTCGTTTGGTGAAGAGACAAAAATGACCCTTAAAGGAAAGAAATAATGCTAAACATAAGTTCAGTTGCTCAATCAAATAAGTTTTAACAGCAGTTTCAAAATCATAATAATAATAGTTAAGAACGCCTAAGGCATATTTTAGTTCTTAGTAGGTGAAACTTCAAGAAACATTTGCAAGCCCCCGGCTTAAGAATACCTCATTAGTAATACTCATTTGAAATGTTCTCACAAAAGCTTTCAAATTTCAATAGAAACATGAGCCTCACATACAATTTAAACCACATACATATGTATTTATGTATGTTTATCCGAGTTCGTATTTTTGAGAGTAGCGAACCGTAAAGGTAAAGGACTGCCAAATCGAACAAATCCAATTTAGTAGAAAGTAAATATGCTCCCCTCATTTCCTGAAGCAGAATGGAAAGATTAAAGCTCAAAAGGAGTTTGCTTAAAGATTTCAAGCTTAAGTATTCTTATGGTAAATTTAACTCAAGCATAAAATATCGCTTCACCTTTTGCTTTTCTTTTAAAACTGACTTGTATGCAAATTTGACAGCTTCTATTCATATCTCATGTATCTTGAAGCCAGCTCAGACAAGACTTGAGTTGTGGAAAGAACTTAAAATAATTTATCTAGTCTTAAGCATTTATTTGTAACTAATCTACATGGACTTAGCACAGGAATTGCTTACCCTGCTCCTTTTAAAAATCTTCCCTAATTCAGGCGGATGAAGGGGCTTAATGTTATCCGACCTACAAATTCTAAGGTGTTGCTGCCACACAAATTCTTAGGAATTGTGAACGTCTTAAGCCTAAATATACAAATTCAAAATGTTGCTATTTATACAAACCGAGCTTTGTTTACTGTCTATAAATAAGAGCGACGAGCGCCAAGAGTTCATCGTCTGACCAAAGACTCAGCGAACAGACTTAAGCTACTTAAATTAAAAGAAAGAACCACTCAAGGAATTATCCAAACTCGACGCAAATAAAACTTAACGTCAACTGCAGCAGTTGCTCTTCATCTCTGTCTCTGCCGCACTCTCTCTCTCTCTGTCTCTATCTTTGTCGCAATCTGTGTCTCAGTCTGTAGTGTTTCCATTGCCATAAATGTCAACCAGCAGCAATAACAACATTTGAATTCTATGGCAGCGATAGATAAAAGATATTTCGGGTCTGTGTCCGCTGAAGTACTTCAAGCTGCAAGCTGCGTGCTGCGACTCATAAATTTCACAGGTGCGCCTTGTGATAAACACATTCACAACGTGTAAGACATCATAATTGAAAGTAAATAGAAACTGTCCAAAAAACAAGGCGCCACAAATATGAGGCAAACACTTTTGCAAGCGCTTTTAATGACTGCGGCTCAGACGCCCACTCCCCAGCTTACCCTGGGGGCAGCTTGCTGTCTGCTGACACCATTTTGCAGACACCACACACACACACAAAGAGCACACACACATGTATCTCTAAGCACATGTCTTGTTGGATGTCGTGTACTTCAATTAAATTTTAATTGAAATGAATATACGAGCATATTTTGTCGCAATTTTGTTTTCTTTTTGTGAAGTAGCTTTAGTTGCAGCAGCTATGCTACAGTAGGGTGACTCAGGCATGAAACAAAAACCAAAAAATATTTAATAAGCTGCTGTAACATTTTGTTTACTGTATTACATAGGCAGCCTAAGGCAAATATGTGTCAACAAAATGCCAGAGAAAATTAGAGAAATCACTTCTGACACACCCTACTCTCAGGAGCTGCTAAATTAAAATGCAACATTTTCTTATTTCATGATTTTAAGCACAAAAATATAGAGTGCCAGTGAACAGAGACAAAGAGAGTGAGTGAGAGGGGACGAGCTTAGTTTTTAGTAAATATTTGAAAAAGTCATTTCGGAAATGTTGGGAAAAGCGTTTAAACCATTTCACACAAAAATGCCAATTACTCGGCCCAGCGGGCACATAAAAATTGAGAGCCATGCGCAAAATATGTAAAAATTGAAAAATATGTGAATAACAATTACAATTTAAGGACAAAAACAAATAAAAATTTTGGTAAATAATCGTAAAGTTTGGCAAAATGAAAACTAAATGCTTTTGTCTTTATGCATAAATGTTTATGGCAGCATCTGTCAAAAGTCGTTAAATGTTATTGAAATGCACTTTTTTCTGCAGCTGCGGGCAGCACACACAAACACACACACGAGTGCAATGCATATGCAAGCTATAAAATATTTGCACGCCATTTAAATTTGTTGCAATTGCTTTACACATTACTCATACGCCCAGTGAGCCGCTGGCGCGTTGTTTACACGCAGCATACCTGCAAATGAAATGTGAGCGAAGGGTGGAGGCAGGATGAGGACGATAGGACTCCGAAGACAACACACGAACTGAAAAGTTTTCTCCTTGCACTCTGCTTTAATGCCTCTTGGCAAATGCTGTTGTGGCAGGCTCTTTAAATGCAGTTTACTTTCAAGTTTTTAGCTCTGCAAATTTAAGCAGTTGTCAGTTTGCATTGAGGGTTGAGGTTGGACCCTAAGACGACGACGACGGCGACGATGTCGTCGGCGACATCATCTGGCTGACATTAGAACATTTTCGTTTTGTGTATGCAGCTGCCAAAAGCAGATTATGCTGCGTGGCTGCAAATTTGGGTTAACATGTCACGCACCCACTCGCTGCGCTTCTCGCTGCCCGCATCGCGTGGCTCTCCCCCTTGCCCCTTCTTCTCTTTCGCACTATCTGTGCCAACTATGCTACATTATCGCTTAAAGTGTCGCTGACTGGCGTCAGTTGGCGTTCAACATGCAAGCTCCCTTCTCTGTCTGCTTAGCCATATATCTATCTTTGTCAGTGCTGCTTGCTGTCTGTCTTCCTTACACCATGTTGCAGCACAATGGCAAATTTAATATCCACTATTTCTTATCTTAAGCGAATGCCGAGACAATTATTTAATTCTCTGCGAAGATGCTTTACTCTCAGAAGATATGAAAATAATACGTAACTTTTCTAGATCAGCATCAAGCACTGAATCAATAACGTTAATTCTATCTATCTGATTAAACTTTCAGTTTGATACAAGCGATTCATATGTGTTAGTTCTTTGAATACAAATTTCGCTAAAAAATATTATTTTATACATAAGTTTTTAATAAGACCAGATACCTCAGATACCTCTTATATAGAAATTTGGCTGAGCAATGACAATCACAATCCTCAATGTTTTTCCCATATTCAGAATTCATTCTTCAGCAACATTTATTATTCCATTTTCTGTTAGCCATTTCATTTATTATAGTCATATTAAACATATAGCAAATATTTCTTTTACGGTTATTCTTATATTCTTAAAAAATCCATAAATATATAAAAATGTTAAATTATTATAGATCTAAATATTATCTGCATCATTTATGAATAAAGCTTTGTCGCTCTTTTTGCTTTTCTTCACTTCAGAGCACTCAAACTTCCTACTCTCAAATTTATTTAGATTTTTCTTGTATTTCAAGAAAATATTTAATTCTTTCTGCATTGAGGACACAAAAATATTATTGTGCTATTGAATCCACTAACCCACTCTAACTCTTCAATTCATGTGACTGGGCAAACAGCGAAGCATTTGTCATCTCAAATATATAAAGCTGCTTGAAGCTATTGTTTAAATAGAAAATTCTATTTGTATATATTTTGCATATACTTAACGGCTGGCAAACACAAATATCAGTATTTTATAAAGTAAAGGGTATCCTCGGGCCTGGCATATTTACAATTCAAATTTGATTCTGCTTATAATTTTTGTTTCTTTTGCAGCGCGTTGGCTTTTTATCCTTGGGCCTGGGAATGTTGATCTCGTGTGTTTTTGGGTTCTGCTTCGGCCTGATTCTGGGCACCACCGAAATGCCTTGGGGTCAGAATATGGATTGGCCCACGGAGGAGATGCGCGGCAGGTAAGCGACGCAGAGCCTCAATCAATGCTAATCAGCCAGACAAGAAACGCTACAGATTGGCTCGACTTTGTCACGTCTTGCCGGACAAATTAGAATGCCAGGTAAATTAGCTGAGCCATGAATATAAAAATGAGTCTATTTTGGGCTCTTTACGAATTAAGAATTTACTTGCACTCATTATTCAGGGAACTGAAGAGCTATTCAGCGCGAACATTGTCTTTGAACTCAACAGATAACATATTGTCGATGTCGATCAAAAGGAAAACTGAGCTGTCCCATTTTTTTGAGTCTTGAGTCTTTCAATTGCTGTTAAATTAACTGGCGTATGGCACACAGGTGCCACAGAGTCAAATTTATGATAAAATAATTTTTGCTGCTCAGGAAATGCTTTCAAAAGATTAGTTGCCTGAGCGACCAACTCATTAGCGAAGCTGAAAAATGAGAAACTTAGCAGAAGGAACAACAAACAAAATTATTATGGAACCTTTCGCTTTCAATTAAAGCTGAGGGTATTATAAAAGTCAAGTTTATTTTTTTAGCTTAGCAGCTTTGATTCCGCTTGGAAATGGGAATGGAAATGGAATTGAAAATGGAAATCCATTAAGTATGTTAATTACGCATCGGCTCATGCAAATTCCAAAAGTTGGCAAAGACTTGAAGTCAGCTGGGAATCTATGAGCGAAAACCTAATAAATTACTTGCAAATAATTCAACTAATCTGATCAGCTCGAGCGAAATGTGAGGCGTGCGCTCATTAGGCAAACACCCGCCGCAGCCACTCAGCCTGAGAGACTACTGTAGTCGCCTGGCTAGTATATGAGCAGACATTTATTATAGCATCGTCTCTTCATCCTCTTCTTGCTTTTTTTGTTGTTGTCTGTTCGCCAGACGATACAAAGCGCAAATCTTGCAGACGCCACGTGCCGACTGCGTAAATCTCTCATGCCAGTGGGCCAAATAGGCAGGCTTAGGCGAACGCCCACACGCGCGCACAGTGCACCACATCGCACCATACAAACGCCCAAACGCCACTACAATAAATTAAGCTCACGCGTATTTCCCGGAAGCTGTGCGTAATGAATGTGTGTTGGCAATTGTGTTAATTGCGCAAAATAAATTGTTAAAATAATAATACAAAAGGACAGACGGCCCCCGCTCGGGCAATAGAGATAGGCAGACGGCCCGTCGATGGACTGCCAAATCTGACAGCTAAATGTGCAGACGTACAGTCATACATACACATAGACGAACAACACAATGCCGCACATACAAATCATCATAATATTAACAAAAGGCCAGATTGTCTGATTGCCTACCATATGCTAGGTATCTGCCTCCCTCTCTCCCCCCCTCTCCCACTCGCTCATTGTATATACGGATATTTCACACACGTTGACCATTTGGACGCCAGACTCAATTGTGGCGCGTGAAAATAGCTTTGTCCCTGTCAATGCTTGGCAAATGGCGAAATGTCGAATTGAGGTCTAATAATTGCAGGCATTTTTATACTGAAACTGATAACCGCTTGGAGCTGTAATCTCTGTATTCACGTGCTGCTAGCTAAAAGTTGAAGGCTGCACAGTAAATTGGACTTATTTTGATTTAGCTTAGGCGAAACTGGGCTTGGAATAAGGCAAGAGCGATTTAGTTGCAATACTTTTTATATTTAGTTGAATTGATTGGAGGGAATACTGCAGGTTTTTTAATCTGCTTGAATGCACACAAGAGACAGTTCGAACTAGAAAGATTTAATTTGTTTTGTTTCTCAAAATCGTAGTCTAAATTGTCTTAAATGAGAGTCGCTTCTTGAAGTCTAAACTAGCTAATATGAGAATTGCTTCCTTAATGAAAAGAGAATTTTTAAAAATATCCCTGAATATATTTATATAAAAAAGTAAAACAGTAAAGAAAAAAGTAAATATCAATAATTAATTCATGTTCATTAGACTCACTAAGAAATAAGCCCAAGTTACGCCAAATATTTTTATTATTTTCACTCACTCAGCAGACGTAAGAGGATTCAGAATCTGATGACAAATCTTGCCAAAAATGTTAACTGCTGAATATTATTGATAACTTAAACAGCTGACTTAACACAGTTAAAAAAAAGAGTAAGACTCTTGTCTGCTCCCCACATATAAGGAAGTTTTTTCGTTGCCATTATTCCAGCAGAAACTTCAAATGGAAATTCAGCATTCAAAAAGGCTCTTAAAACCAAAATTTTCTTCAACAGAATCATTTCAAATTCTAATTTTTCTTTCGCAAAAGTCAGGTCGACTATCTCGTTGAGGCTTTTGGCAAAGGTAAAATATGCACTTGCTAATTTATGGGGACAGGCGCCGAGTTCAACAATAATTGAGCGCAAATTGCGGCGCATAATAAAGTTGTTGCGTTGATAAAAAGTGAAATGTATCATTTTTTTTAGGGAAAAATTACAGCGAACGCGAAATGTAAGCAAAGTCGAGGGCCATTAATCAAGCAAAGTTGGAAAATAGAAGCCAGCGCTGCCATGTAGGCGCAAATGAGGTGCATGAATCAAAAAGCAGCACAATGAAAAGTTTCAAATTTTTCACAACCAAATGACTGCAGCACCGGCGACAAGGTCGCTTGCCGGAACTGATAACAAAAGCCGCTGACACTTGACAAAGTTGCGAGTTGCCAGCTCCCATTTAAACACAGCGAAAAAAGAAACCAAAACCAAAATGAAAAGCATGAAAAAGCAGCGTGAACAGCAGCGCCACCTGGCGGCGTGTCCAGTTGACAGCGCAGATAAGCAAATGCCAGCCACAGCCCTCGCTGTCCAGCTCTCAGCTCGCACTTCGCAGTGCTCAGCTCTCAGCAGAACTTAACTCAATTTTCGTTTGGCTCACAGGTGGCATTTGTCATTTGGTGGCATTTTTTTGTGTTTTTAATTAATTTCTCTTTGACTTTTCAATATATAATTCCCTTCCGCTACTTCCATTCGCAGGGGCAATGTGCGAGCTTTGTGGATGGGCGTGCTCTGGGCCTTAACATCTGGCACTGGCGTGGCTGTTGCCCTGCTTCAGGGTTCTGCGGGGCCGCTGATTGGCGTTGCTATATCAGCCTCACTTCTACCACCCGTTGTCAATTGCGTAAGTATTTGAGTGTTACAACTGAGTGGTAAAGGCATTCATCTCGGAATGGGCACGACTATATAGAAACCTGAAAATGTATGCAACTAACAGAAGGAGGCATTCCAGATTGAATACATATTCTTCATGCTCGCCTGTCTGTCTGTCTGTGGAATACTTGAAATAGTAACTCTTCGCAGGGTGCAGAGTATATCATAGTCGAGCACTCGCGACCAAAGTTCCCTTACCTGTTGTTATTCTAATCATGACGCATTTTGGCGAATTATTGCCGACTTGCAGGGTATTAAATAGCATTAAAAGGTAAAATTAGAATAGAAATGTCTTATACACCCTTCAAGGTGCTCTGAATTTGCATAAAATATTTTTAATTGGTAAGCTGATGCTGTAGCTCAAGAGAAAGAGAGCTTAAAGACAAGTCTTCGTCTTCGTATTGATTGCCAACGGCAACAAATTATTATATCTAGTTTAAGTTATTAAACTTTTGGTGATGTAAAATGTTTTGCTACTCTTTAAGCTAATATCCAGGCAAAGGTATGATAATAGAATGTGTAATCAAGACCTTAAATATAGAAATATTGGCTTACAATTATTAATTTTAAGAAAACTTCAGAGGCTAGATCAGGCTCTCTAACTAGTAGAATATTTGATTAAAGCAAAATTGTAAGAAATCAGGTATATCTAGCCATGGCAAAGTCTATATTTCCACAGAGTATTATTCTAACATTACCATAAAATTATTGCAAATATTAGTTAGGCACTCCAAGCATACAGGCAGGAGGGATTGGGTTGACAGTGAAGGCTGACATTGCACGCCAGAAAGAGCCGGGCACATAAATTAGCCAAATATACAATTTGCTCGATTAATCTGCAGGGCTGGGCAGAAAAACTTTTGCTCATAAATCTGCTGCACCGATTTCCAAACTGCAACTTAGCCGAGGCTCAAGCACTTGCACTGACTGTGGATGTGGGTTGTGGATGTGGCCCAGCTGTTTGGCTAGTGCATGGCAGCTAACCGCAACGAGTGCATAAATTCCGATCCAATTTTCAAGTGCGAATTGCGCAGCAGCACGCAGTCTAGCGGATGTTGTGTTAAATTATTAAGCAAGCAGACAGAGCGAACTAGCCCAGCAAGATAGAGGGGCAAAGGAACTTGTGGAATATGTATGCAAAAACTTGCACAGCGGAAGCGGCAGGCCAACAGGCAAACAAACAAACTCCCGGCGACACGAGGTTGTCTGACATTTATCAATTGTGACAGAAAGACAATGGCACAAGGCGGCAAAGCCGACAAGGCGGGGCGCAGCGGCCACAAGGCATGACAAAATGATGCAAGAGCTGCGCTTGCCCTACTCCCAGTTGCAAGCTCGCTGCTAGTCCTTTGCTTACTCCGTGTGCTGAAACAATGGGAGCTGAGATCGCTTAATCATACCGACGACTGTGGTCGAGCATGTGTGCTAGCCCAGTTAGCCCTCGCTTTGCCCTTACCACAGTTGTGCTCGTTTTTTTGCTTTCGGCTTATATGAGCTGCATAAATCAGGCGCACGCACTAAAACTCTGACGTTGTCAGCTCTATCAGGCAGCAGTTGCACGTTTTTAACCTAAAATCTGCTAACTGCATTGCCCAAACAGCGTGCCACAATTAATTGCATGCAGCCAGGACAACGCCGCGTATGAGTAATCACATATATTTACTTTTCGCATTAGTCATACGCAGCATCGTCCGCCCGCAGATAGTACACGTATATGCTAGAGGTGGCATAAAAAATGACTATTCCATGAAATATTGTGAATAATTCTTCCAGCTCAGCAATAAAAACTTATTCACTTCGAACATCCGAATTTAATTTTTGAAGTTTTCTGTTTATCTGCAAATAATTTGCTCGCTTTTTGGCAATTAGCGTGCGAAATGTGCTCTGCATTGGTTTACTTAACAGTGTTATTCACATTTTATTTCTTTAACCTCGCATTTTTATTATTTATGTGCACCATTTATAATGAATAATTACAGTTATATTTACTTGCTGTTCCATTTTAACAGAATGTTTTCTTAGAGCGCAAATTTTTTTACCAGATTTCGTTTTCAATGAAGAGCACTAAAGACGTCATAAATTAAAAACAAGGCCAAGAGTAGAGCATGGCACATGGCAAAGCATATACACAGGACACACACACACACACACATACATTCGCAGTAGGCACGAACTTCCGGAGTGTGTGGCCGGCGCTGAGTCATTATAATTTATAAGAGCGAAGCAAAAGAGCAAAGAATTGACGGAAAAAACCCAAAGAGCAGACAATGCGACAATAAAGTTTTATCCCAGCCGGAGTCAGTGCGCGTGTGTGTCTGAGTGAGTTGAGATTTATAACAATTCAAGGCCGGCAGCACTACTTGATATGCTTAGGGCAACATCTGTGCTGCTTTCAATTTCAAATCGGCTCTTCGCACATACAGCGACCTTATGACCTCAACTGTCCACGCGTGCCCCCCACACATATAGACTTTGATTAAGCCATGTCAGTCTGCCAAATGGAGTTGCCACTTAACACACACTGCCACTTTACTATACTTTACAGGGTCTGTTCTGGTCGCAGGCCTGCATCTGGCTCATCTATCCGGAGAAACGTATACCGCACTTGAAAAACGAGGCAATGAACGCCACCAGCTCCTACCCGTTCCTCTACACGGACTATTTGCCCACCGAGTTCCTCATCAATGGCATTGTGTCCGCCTGTTTGACGGTAGTGAATGTGATTTGCATATTTATAACGGCCATAATAGTGTTGAAAATCAAGGAAGTATCGGCGCCATACACGGCCAGTCCGGACCTAAAGCGGTAAGTGGATCAAGCGGTAAGAGCTCTAGTTTTGAATATCAAAGAGCCTACAATATGGCATCAATAAAGTCGCCTCAGCTCTGCGATAGGCACTGAACTGTTCCTAATGGCCGCACACTTGGCTTTAAGCTTATCATTTCCGGTATGTGCGTCTGCCAAATGGCCAGTCTAACATTTGTTCTGTAATTAATAATGGAAGCAACAATCGTTAGCAACAATATGCATTTGTTTAATCAGCAAACAAGTCTTTCCAAAGAGAAAACGCTTGTGTGGCGCTTGAGTTCGTTATGAGCTTAAGCAAACTTCGAGCAAAATTACTTAAAAAATTTATTAAAGTCAAAGTGCTTTTACGTCAATTATATAGAAGTCGCTTAGTTAAATGAAAGAGTGAGATAGAGCTTTAAGCTGCTGTTAAATTGAACATAACTTATGTGGACAGCAGTCTAAGTTTATGTTCAGACTGCTAATTAACATTAAAACTAGAAGCAGTTCTTCTTAGCTAAAGGAAAGAGTGAGAGGGAGAGAGAGATAGCATAAGCTGCTCTAAGTTCACATAACATATGTAGACAACAGTCCATCAAGTTTAGCCCAAATAACAGACTGTTAATTAACATTAAAGTTAACTGCAGCTCTGTCCTCAATGATTCTTCTGTTAACGGAGTATCATAACAGAGCGTCAAAGACAGAAATGTTACAGCTTCAGTTTACTATTGCTTTCAGTGTAACATTTCTATATTAGAGTAACATTTCAAAATTCTTTTCCATTTGTAACACTTTCACGCATATATAATAGTTCAGCATTTTTATTTGCCCTAAAACAAAGCATCTTTCTTGATACATGTGTGAGGTGCTCGCCCAACATCAAATATATTTAATTAGCCTGAAAACCATAATGCTGCAACCACATTGCCGATGACAAATCTTATAATTAACTGGCTTATTTCGTGCATTTCATAAGAAGTGCTCCGGCTAATGTTAATAAATGAGCTTTGCGCCTTCTTATATAATAAATAGCCGACTAAGTCGAATAGACGCCACTGACCCCCAGTTGGAGGCTGGCAAATGTCTGGCTTGGTCTGGTCTGGTCTGGTCTGGTCTGGCTACGTGGCCTTCAATCTCATAATGTGACGCATTAAATTACTTGAAGCGTGCACAAAACAATTTCTGTTGCTGCTGCAGAGCTCTGTCAACACTTGCGACGCAAACTGCTCCCAGATATTATAAATGCCACAGTTTTTGTTACACTGTGCGCAAAGTTGCCTATTAAGGCAAGCGCACGCTCGCCGGCTCAACCAGCAGGCAGCTTATGTTATGCTATACCCTGCTCGCTACTGCAGATGAGGTAGATAAGGATCTGTTTAAGACTATGCTGGAATACCCACAATGTGTCATTCAATACCTGAGTAGAAAGTTGGAATAGATAAGATAACACTTTCCCAACAGAACTCTGGTGAATAGAATCTGTTTACAGGGTATCTCCAAGTCGAGTACTCCATCTAAGCTTCAATTGTTTTACTATCTTTGTCCGTCTGTGCACATTTAACAGTTGTTTATGCAATATTTGTGTTTGCCCTGCTGCATTCAACGCGCGGCAGCCCTCAGTCAGGGGGCAACGCCCTCGCCCGAATAGATGTCATGGACGGGCAGTGGTTTTAGCTATGTGTTGTCCATATGGCTGCGGGCTGCTGTGCAACGCAATGTTTTCCATTCCGACTCAGCAGATCTTGCAGTACGCATAAAGTGCATAGATTCGTATTTATTTATTGAAACTTCGTTTGCTTTGCTTTGGCAAATTGAAGCTGGTTTCTTTTCCAAGGCTTTATTTGTTTTTATTAAACTGGGCTTGGCGCCAAGCGAAAGGATAAGAGGCAATTCTGAACATGTTGTTGTGTTGTAGTCCTTAGTTTATGTTATATTTTCATATTTAATATAAAGTAACTAATATTTTGCTACCATTTGTAACTCTTTAATCCCGAACAGCTTCTGGGAAACAGATCTTCGGACCGTGCGCAAGACGAACCGCTCTACGATGCGCCATCGCCAGGGCACTTTCCGGGGAGGAGCTGACAAGCTCATGAGGTAAGAGCGGATGAGAGGTCTGAACAATCTGAACTCGACAATTCCAATTCACGAAGTCGTCGTATTTATGATGTTGCCATTTTTTGTTTATTGTTGTTGCGGTAATTGAGCGCATGTGTGATGCAGTGTGTGTGCGAGTGTGTGTATATCTGTTCATGACATTCCCCGAGGGCAACGCAATTTACTTGTGGCTTACTGGAATGGGGGAGCCACACATCTCCAACCAATTTCCAGAGGTAAATAACAAAAGTATTTATATGTCGAATGCGAGTTGGTCCCAACCACCGCCCACTTCGCATGTTGTTTTTAAGGATATAAATAATTTTGATGGCGGAAAGAAAAGTGGGCAGCATACAAAATATTTATCGCATAATTGAAATCATTGCGCAACAATTTACGACATATTTGTGCAGGAGCGTAACAGAAATATTGCCCAGCTTTATGATACGCTCAATAGAAAGATATATATTCGCGGGTTCCCCTCGCAATAGGCTTAGCTCGATTACACAAATTGTAGATGGAAAACGTTCGCAATTTAAGGAAAACTCAAATTGAAATGAAATTGTTTTTTTAATTATCAGAAACAGAAATTTATATAAATAGAGAAAAAGTATTCATTAAGCATGATCAAAGCACATTTAAGCGTCAATTAGGGTCAGGAGCGGGTTTCATAAAAGGTACTTGATGAAAAGCGAAATAACAGGAAAGCCGGAAAACCAGAAAAGCCGAAAAAAAAACAAGAAATTAGCATAAAAACAATTGGAGTATCCCACTCGAAATTCATGTAGCAAATTAGCAGCCAGCTGCTGGCGCTTTTAATTTAACGCCCAGTGACCGCGCTGTTTATTCAAACAACTAAAAAATTTATGGCCCATTCGCACAAAGGGCATTGAGAAATTTGCACAAAAGTTTTTCATTTTCACACTGAATGCAAATTCGCCGCGGAGGTGATGGCAGTATTATGTGGAATGGCCCTACAACGCGCTTGATGTGTGCCTAAAAATCAGCTAAAATTTAAAAAAATGAGCTCAGAGATTTGCAGCGCAGTGAATGTAATGCTGATGAGAACTTAAGTCAATTGCCATAGTCATGCCTAGCTCGAAACTGAGCAGAGCTTAACAAATTTCACAGATATAGAATATATTCTATACCCAACCAAAATTATTAACAAAACAATAGACATTTATATTAGACAGCTGCTTTATAATTATTTGATTCGCATTAAATGTTAGTTTAATAAAGGTTTGAGAACTATGCAAAGAGGTTCAAAAGGACGAGACGGCTTCTTCTAATCCTGTGCAATTCGTGCAAGGAACGACGGGAAGAAAGCGAGATGGACACAGACTGGTGCAAGAGGCTGGAGATTGGGCCGGCCAACAAAATTGTGACTCTGCATTCTTAGCGATATTAATTAATATTTATTAAAATATAGTCTGAAATAGCTGCTGTGCATGCATCAGAATCATCTTCATTCCCATCATATATAAACAAATCTTCGCCGCCTTTCTCTCGGCATACTTTCCATATTGCCCAGCTGCTTTTTAATTTTTAACGAATTCTTATTCTATCTTCAACACCAGTGGAAACTATCAGGGTCTAGACGAAGCACGTAGTGCCAAAATGGACTCAGCACTGGAGCGAGCCCTGGCACAGGCCGAAGGCGATGCGACCTTCAAGAAGGTCAAAAGGATGAGCTACTCGAGCAATGCCGCGGGTGAAGTAAGTCAAATAAAATAAAACATATATAAAGCATGCATTCTATATGCATATACATATATATATATACATATATATATAAGCAGGTGCTAAGATGCTAAGCTTAAGTTGATGCACTCATCTTAAAAACAATAATTAAGATAAATTTGCTATCAAATAGAGAATGCATAATTCATTTAAAAAGTGAATTCGTTTATTTTTATGTATAAGACTCTCTTATATAAAGCTCTTGCTGAGTGAATGAAATTTTCTACAATACATATTATGTATGCTAAAGCCACGCGCAAAGCCGGGTAGCAGACAATAATTAATGTTTTTCTAATGTCAATTTGCCGTTTGGCTTACTAATTGTTCATGCCTCGCCTGGATCACCTTCGCTGCCTCGCTCGTTACCCTAAAGTCAATCTGCCTTCTCCTCTGCATATTTCTGCAACACCTTCGACGCCGCAACAGTCGTCGTCGTCGTCGTCGTCGTGTTTCAGACAACGCTGTGGCCGTAGCTACGGTGCAGCTGTGGCTTCTGTGGCGGTTGTCACGCAGTCCAGCGATGCTGGAGCCACTCAGCTACCCTGCGGCTAGCATGGCAGGGCATAGCTCAATATAATTGCTTCGCTATTGCAGATAAACATTGCTTGAGAAATTCAGTTCAGTTTGAGCGACAAATGCTTTATTAAATTCAAGTTTATTTAGAATCGGCGAGTTGCAGTTAATTGCGCGCGTTATTACGGGCTGGTTTGCGTATGACAACTCGGCGAATCGCAGGTCTCCTGATGCGTCTGTTTACTGGACGAGCACGTGTCCTACGTACAATGCGCACTACCCTCCTCCTCCGCCTCCTCCTCCCGCCGCCGTTGTTACCATTATTTGGCGTTGACGGCTCCGGGTCGGTATCATCTGTATCGCCATCATCAACTGGGGCAACTGGCGTCTCATCATCTGGTGGTGGATCTGCTGGGTCCTCTGGGGTACTTGGCCCGACTGGGTTCGTGTCCACAACGCAGTCCGGCTGAGCCTCATTGTCTGGATCGTCGCAGTCAGTGCACCCAGGTGGATCGTCAACATCGACACACGCTTCCGCATTGCCCTGCGGCAAGTAGGCCAAAAACATGGCCAACACTGCGAGGCTCAAAGTAATTGTTTTCGCTTTCATCTTAGCTCAATCGAATCGGGAATGATAGATGACAAGCTCAGTTCTGGTCTTATATAGCACGCTGGCGCGTGCGTCAAGTATGCGCTTAATAATTATGTTATTTGTCAACTCGAAGAAGAGAGTTCATATATGATTTTGATATATAGAGTCGCACAGCTGGTATGCTGGTCTGCTGGGTATTTAAACAGTTGCAGCTTGTTAGAGATGTCAATATTAAACTCCAGCTCGCTTTGTTTGTTTTTTATAAGGGAATTTTCCATTTACAATTCAAACTTATGCCCCAAAATTTGTTTTCCGCACCTGATTCTGAATCGAAAGTGAATTGATTAAAGATTTTGCGACGCAGATTCTCAGTAGATAAAATGAAGTGGGTATGCACGACTAGCAGATACCATGAATCCCAAAGGAGAATATTTCTTATAACTTATATAGAGAATATTTTGGGGGAGCATGTATTAAGCTTGGTGTCTCTCAAAAAGTTCGAAAAGTTGTTTAAAATTTAAATATGTTATCGATTTTAATCGATTAATGTAAACAGTAAAACTAGAGCTTAGATCTCATATCAATGCATTTACAGTATATAAATATATATGAAAGAAATCAAGTTGGAAATTCCAACCAATTCAAAATCAAAGTCTGCCTTAACTTAATTCTCTGGCAACAGACAATTTGCTTGACATTCTTTGTGTAAACTGTTATGCTACAAATGACAATTGTTATTAGATACAAGCATAGCAATTAGAATAACACTAAGTATCTGCTAATCGCCGTTGTCAAGTGCTTTGTTGCGCTGCGTGAAAGACCCTCTTCGAAGACAGCTTGGAAAGTAAATTAGCCGCAATTACGAGTCAAAGGGAGTGACTACAGTACAGTAAGAGCTGACCTCAATCATTAGTTGAGCAGCGCGGGCATAGTTGAAAGTAAGCGCTGCCCGTGGCTAACACCAGCTGGCAGGGCGCTGCCAGGCGCGACACTCGAAGGACACGCAGAATATAAAGCAAGCGAAGACGTCATAAATCAAAGGGTAGCATACTGCGAGGGAAAGGTCAGACCCAGTTGTGCCCTTGTCTCGAAGTAAAAACTGACTGCTTGTTTATTGCTGAAAATCGTGCAAGATTTATGGTGGTATTCAGATGAAGTCGTTGCGGCGCGAAAAAACAAGAGACTGCAAACAACTGCAGTGCAATCCTTACGCGAGGAAAGTCGTACAAAAACTGTTGCCCTATGTGAAGCTCTTTCTTTTTTCAGCATAGAAGTGCCAAAGACATAAAGTTGGCTATGTGCAGATTGAATTCGAAGCACGCAGCTTGAGAATTGAACGACAATTGAAAAGTGTCAAAGGTCCATGTTGAGGACATCAAGTTAAGGGCGCTAATATAATTGGACCTATATGCATTATATGCTTCAAGTATTCACATGAAGTTATTCGTAAAGATACGAGGCATTCCGGAACAGCTGCTGCCATTAGAGAAGCCTTTGTGTATAAGCAAGCAAAATATTACGTATACGCATTATGTAACCGCGAAGTGAGCTGTTTACTAGGCAAGTCATAAGTCATTTCTAAGGAAAGCTAAACCGCAATATGTGTGGTGCCAAGAAAGTCATTTAGTATAATAATGTTAAAAATATATATATACGCCTGCTGAGCATTTGAATATAGCTGAGTTTCACGGAAATCCTAAGCTGCACAGGTAACGGAAACTTTCAGTGCATAACAACGTAAGTTATTGAGTTTACCTGTTTAACAAGAAATGCTAATTGGATTTTCGAACTTTGCAAAGATATTCGAATTTGAAAACCCTAATAATGGCTGCCGGAAGCATATATATGTAAAAATCAAGTATACGCACGATGTGATTAGCCAAGGGAGTATAGTTTTTGTTTTTAAATAACTTACCCATGTCTACAGCATAGACAGAGGGTCACTTAATAGTAACAAATATTATGAAGTATTCGCTTGATATGCACACGTATTTAGCTGATTAACATCAGCCAGTTCATAGCCAACCGTTTTGTAGGAAGGAAAAAAACTTTCGTAATATCCCGTTTAGCTAAAGGAAGAAAGTTCCAATTAAAAGTTACTGCAAAGCAAGAAGGCATCCAAGCGTCAATTGCCACAAATCAACTTTTACATTAATTCATTTTGAAAGAGATGAAAGAAATGGAGAAAAAGCGAACTAGAGAGAGGGAGAGAGAAATAGCGAAAATGGGAACGTCAAGAACGCACTTGAGTGAGTGACAGACAAGACATGCTCCAAATATTTAAGGCCTCAGTCGAAGCCGAGTGCAAAACAAACTTGATAAGTTAGCGGGCGCAGTGGCAGCGGCGGGAGCTGGCAAAGGGTTTACACTGTGAACGGCTTGTAATCTATTTAAAGTGAGTCGCGGCCACTAAAACTCAATTAACCCCCTTTTCACGCAGCACAAGGCAATTGAAAAAGAGAGACAGCAACAGCAGCACAAGCAGATAGACCAAAAGAGGAAGGGAGAGAGACAGAGAGCGAGATGGAGAGACACAAAACAAAACGTACAAATCAAGGCAAAAGATTACAAACGGAAATGGCTGGCCATTGAGTGGGATTAAGGGGTGGGGAGAGGGGTTGCTTACTGTGCAGATAGATGCATGTGGGCGTGGCAGGGAAAGGCAAGAATTTTTTCACTTAAAACCGCATTGATACTCAATTACTAGTGAATGGGTTGCCAGGTCGACGGGTCGACGGGTCGACGCGCTGCCACTCGAGCTTGAGGGCAGCCGCGTGCAGCAGAAGCACAAAACAAACATCGGATGTTGAGCACAGGAAAACGGAAGCACTTTGCAACGGAAATGAAACATCAATTAAAGTCGCGCATTGCTCGACGGCCAACCGAGCAGCACTGGACCGGGGTGGCAACCCCGGACGATGCCAAAAAATATATTGCCTTTCGTCCAAATGCCGCCATTGTTAATCCTTGCGGTAGTCGCTGCCAGTGCGGCTGCCATGCGAATGCGATTGGGAACGTGCCATGGAAGTGGGTGTCCCAAATGTTGCTCTCCTGTCCGTCGTAAGTCGTAAGTTGTTGGTTGCTGGTGGCCGATTGCTGGTCGCTGGTTGCTGCAAGTCTCGCAGTGCCAAAGGCCCATTTTTTCCATTAGATTGCGGCTTAATTGCAAGCGAGCCAGGGGGCAGGCAGCATGCGGCTTATACTTTTTTGCAGCTGCATATCTTGTTTCATTTTATTCAAATATATATGATATATGATATTTACTCTACAGGCATTTCATATCCAATTAGAATAAGAAACCTTAAGCTTTATATAATATACAAACACACACATATATATATATTTATATTCCTTTCAGTTAACTGAGCGCTTGGCCAAAATAGCTGGACTCAACAAACGCCATGGGGAAGATCCGATGCACACGAACCCAAGCAGCTTGGCTGGCAGCCGCATGAACTCCATACGAAACTCTCAGCTGAAAGTCGATCTGAAGGTCTTGGACAAGTTGGTCAGCAATCTCCTGCAGCAGCATGCGGCTGGCGCTGGACGCGATACGAACACCAATGGCAACTTGGAAGCGGGCAGCCGCACGCCGCCCGTGCAACGACAGACCTCCAAGAAACTCAACCGCTGGCGTCCGTTGTCTCGGTCGGTGCACAGCTTCAAACGTGGCGACAGCAGAGACTATGGAGGCGGCAACTTTACGCAGCTGCAGGAGCGCAGCGAGGCGCAGGCGTCGCTGGCGCCCAATATGCCCACGATTATGGAGAGCAGCGCTGGCAGCCCAACGCCGAACAATGCCCAGCCTCAGGCGCAGAATCCTTGGACGGCCTCGCTGGAGCGCACACCTGGCGCAGTTCGCAATATGCTGCACAACATCAGCCAGGCCGGCAACGCCGTCGTTCAGGAGGATCAGCTCAATCTAACACAGAACTATGTGGGCTAACCAAGAAGCTCAACAGAAATAAATTTATGCTTAATCTTTATATACTTAAACTGTTGAAGACAATAAATAATATTGCATGAAAGGTGGAATTTTTTATATGAGGACTTCAGCTCAAGTGGGTTAAATGGAAGTCATGAACCACATATATTATGATAGGAATGAAACGGGAACTTTCATAAATCGCTTTCAACAGGAACTATATTTTAGAGATATCATTCTTTATACGCTAAGGTGTGCGATGTCGTTTTCTTTTCATAAACTTGGCTGAAAAACAGTGGGCTTTCATATATCCGTTATTTATTTTGGGACTTGGCTTGTGAGCAGGAGCAAGTCTCAATCTTTTTAGCAAAATGCGTTTCTGCTATACTAGATATAGAATTTCCTGAGCTGCCCCTAGTGGACACCATCAGACGAGGGTAGCCTCGAGGCACGGACATTGCACAGAAACAATATACACTTTTCGCTTTGGATATAAATATATATATAATCATTTTAATACCAGGAAAATCAACGTCTTCAAACTCTTCCTTAAGCTCTCACAACTTGATTTCTATCGAAGTCGCCCATTTCGTTCAAACTTTCTTACAAATCATTTATATAATTGCTAAGTGCATTTTGAGTTTATAAAAGCGCATGTATTGTGTGCACTTTATTTACGACTCTCATTACGCTCTTCATTTATGCCAGCTTCAACAACTAAGCAGAATTATTACACAGCTTACTCAGAAACTGAAATCAAATGTGAGCAGAGTTGTGTTCTGCGTTTATGCGCCCCATAGAGAAGTTGCATATTTAACTACATTGGCAAATTTGCTCGGACAATAATGAAGGATATTTTATTAAAAATTAATAATCACAAGTATGTTCAAGCATAAACATGGTAGTTTCGGTGGATTGTGGGCCAGCATTGGCCATCCAAAATGTCAACACGATCAGGTATAGGAAATTTCGAAACCAAGGGAAACCATGGCAATAGACATTAGTTATAAGAATTCTAAAAGAATTTTATATAAAAGACCTCTCTCTTCGGAGTAATAAGCAGTATATCATAAGTTGTTGTATCTCATACATCTGTCGCTAAAAGTCACTCTGAGTATACCCCACCAGTGCTAGTTCGAGCACGACTCAAGTTTGATTTTTATAAAGTTTTCAAATACAATGAAACTCATGAAAAGTGATTTAAGACCTTAGTCACGACTAATTTATAATTATTTATATAAAACACAAGCAGAACTAATTAGAAGTTGATTAATGTCAGAGTGCAATTGTAAGCTGATACCTGATTAGCGTCAAGCAATAACGCGAAAGATACGACAGAATTCACAGAGTTCAGACATGAGTTGAACTAGCATTGACTTAAGCAAACAGTTTTTTAATAGACCCTAAAGCTGATGCTGCCAACAGAAGAGGCAAGTGGCACAGTTGAGGCATGTCAACTGACTGGACTACAGCAGTTAATATTTTGATGGGAATGCGGCGGCAATAGGAGCAGGGGCGAGGCGCACTCAACTCTGAGTGATGATGATTTTTGTGTTGGCGTTTGCAGCCTGTCATCATCAGAGATACAAGCACTGTCTGGCTGTCTGACTGTCCGACCCCCTCAGCTCGACTCTGCGGCCTGGCTGGTACTTGCTACCGCTGTGGTTGAAGCTTTGGGGCGACAATAATGAAGCTGTTCAAGTTGTCTGCCTGTTGCGGTTGTCGGACAGTAATGATGATCAAATTTGCCAGGCCTCTGTATTCTAATGGAGTGTGAAAAAATGGCAGCATAAATAGTGACTGCCATTTATTTGTGAGTGGGCGTTAATTAAAGTGAGAGGGAGTGGGTGTTAGGAATATTTGCACAGTCATTGCAATGTAATAAAAACCAGACAAAGGCAAAAAATGTTAGCAGGACTTGCATTAATTTTATATTATTTAATAAATATACAAATAAGCAACAAAAAGTGTCTAGCACAGCAGGCAAAATGAGTATCACGTGGTCATTATCATTCTAATTACTGTGAATAATTATTATTATTTTTGTTCTCTTCAAATGTTTTTCATCATTGTGACCATGATTGTAGCACAAAGTAGAAGAAATTGTTCGTGAGAGTCTAAGAAAGGCCAAGTGTGCACACCACCTGCATAACCATGTGGGTCACGTAGTTATCGGCAGCTGTTGGGAAAGAGGGAGAGGGCACAGGGAGAGAGGGGGCGAGTGAGTCTGCCTGTCTGGGCCTGTTAAGTGTTACAAGTATCCTAATCTAATTCTTAGAGTGCTTTCCATTATATGTACGAATGCTTTTATAGCCCACTCACCTGTCGCTCCATGACGCCGGCTAGCTGTTCGCGCTCCGAATTGCGATAGTATCCGGTCAGATTGGCGCCCAGTCGCATGGTCACCTCGTAGCGGGTTTTGCCACTACGTGCAACATTGCGATTGCTCCTCACGTTGAAAATGCTTGGACTGCCACTAGAGCTGGCACTGGAGGCGGCATTGTTATGGTTGTTGCTGTTCCTGTTGCCATTGCTGCTGTCAAATTCGCAAGCACGATGGCAATTACTGGCGTTGGCATTTCCAATGCATCCTGAAAGCGAAAAATAAAATGTGAGAAACTTTCGTTTGAAAAAGTCGCACTCAATTCCTCCAGATGCAAATGCTGAATGCAAGAACGCTTTAATTTTGATTGAGCTCAAGCTAGGTGGAATAATTTAATAATGCCCAGTCATAGCCGCACAAAGCGCTGAAACCCAGCCCAGCTCAGCCCAGTGTGCCACCCGTCAGAGCGAGCGCTGTGAAAATGCAATAAGAGACATTACAGCGCACGAAAAATGCGAGAAATGTTTAAGCCAAGTGCCGAACACGCCTGAAGGGATGAAGTGCCCTTCATCTGCTGCCCCCCGCCCTACCAACTGCCTTCATCCTATTGCGCTTAACTCGCCTCGCATTCCCGATGCATTTCCCACCTGACCCTTGGTGAGCTGTGCAAAACCGAATGTCAAATTCGATGACGTTGTCATACCGAAGACACGTTGCCAGGGGAACCCTCGAGCCAACAGATGGATTTCTGTTCTTATGACATATGAACAGTGAGCGGAAGTTCTTGCTTTGTCAAAAAAAAGCCATGGATTATTTATGCAGCTGTACGTGAATCAAAAACAAGTTGAAGTTGAAGCACAGTCTTATTATGCTTGAAGATTGAGTATCGATATTTTTAAGCTATTCATTACCAAAATCATTTCAAGTTGGGGCTGACAACATCCATATTTTGTGGATCACCTTGAATGTATACAAAGTATACAAAGGTAAAATATAATACAATCTTTCGTACATCTATCACAATTTCTGGCTTTGCTTTCAATTTATACACATTTTTAACAAAGCTCTACGCAATTTAATATACGTCAATTGCTGTGGGAGAAATTCTGATAAATCATTTCGCGAAATTGTTCTGTAGTCGCAACAGTTGTCGTTGCCCATTTGCAAAACAAATTCAACAATGGGACGAGGCGTCGCGAGGCAACAGACACAACCCGCAGCTGGAAAGCAATTGCGCGTTTAAAAAGGCGCGACAAAGTCAGACAGAATAACAGATACTCTTCTCACACACAGTCACAGTCCGGGTCATGGGTGGGCCGTGGGTCGGGGGTCGTGTGCCCCAAGCTGCGACCCCTCAGGTTCTTTGCCAACACTGGAAATGAATGTTTCGTTTCGTTAAATGTTGCACTGCGTGCATCAAGTGCAATTTAAATGCTTAATTATTGCCTTAATTAAATTTCTTCCTCTCCAGCTTCACTTTTAATTTGTTGCAATCTTTTCGTTCCGTCTCTCCTTCCGTCTCTCTACCCCCTTTGCTCTGTTGTTTTAACCACATATTTTTGTTTTTCTGCCACACACGCTCAATTAGTTATTGCTTGTTACGTCTGATTACATTTCATTTACTCTCTGCGACTCCACTTACCCTGCGTAGTCTCCACTATTTCGGGTATTTCACATTTGGTTCCCTTGTAACCACTGGGGCAGTGACATGTGATGGCCGCGTCTCCAATGTGCCTGCAATAAAAAATCAATTCAGCAACTTTCATGATCTGAATAGTATAAGTAATGAAATGGTAATTTAAATTGTTAAAAAAAATTATAAATTAAATGATAACAATAATATATATCTATATATATATAAATTGCAAATAAAAATTGATTCCAAATTGAAATTGCCAGGGCATTGGAGATCTTCAGCCAGATCAGGCAGATCTACTGACCGATTGATCAGTCTTTACAACATATATTTTAGTGTTAATTATATTTATGTTCAGAATTTGCGCTGTCTAAAATTGGTTGAAAATTACTTATGTCCGGGCAAAGCAGGGTAAACTCAGCGAGAACATGCCAAAAACAACTGTGCAAATAAACCAAATTGAGGTTTACTTCAAAAATGTTATTAAAATCTTTGATGTTGAATGAGTTTATTTAGTTAACTAGAGTTGAGCTGTGTGGCACGCGTAAATAAAGCCAGATTAATTTACTTCAAATAACAATTAAAAAAAAATATTAAAACAAATTTAAATAAAGTAAAAAGTGTGTAAGGCTTATAATGAACAATATACATATAATAATATATAATAATAATATATGTTTTTTTTATATATATGAAGTTGATAAGTTTTAATATCACACTCGATCTCAGATCTTTAGACTGTAATTTACAATTAAAAATATATATATATATCAAGTATTATTTAAGCTTTAATAATAATAAAATACAGACTTATTAAATAGAACATTTTAAGATATTTAAATATAATTTCAGTTATGCTGCTGCCTCAGCTGGCGTGAATAAGGCGCAATCTGAAACGCTAATTTTCACAATCTTCACATTCATGGCCATCATTATTTTTGATGACATGTGTACTAATAATAAATAAATCTCTAATAAATATGGTGCCAAACAATAAAGTAATTTTTCTTCGATAAACCTTTGTGGATTGTTAATAAAGCATGATCCTGATCCTTATGTATTAATATTTTGATAAAAATTACAACAATTTGCAAGCGTTGGCCTCATGCAATTCTAGTATTTAAAAAATGATAAGCCAAATTCAACAGAAAGCAGCTATTAACGATTAAATCAATTGTCAAATTAATTAGTGTTGCAACTAGAATGTTGTGTAGCTCAATAAAAAACAGCCATTATAATGGCTTAAAAAAAATTTTAAAAAAATGTATATTTCAATAATATTTATTTTCATATTAATCTTATTTTGCTAGCCCACTTAACCAATTACAAAGAAATTTGTAATTTATGTGGGTGATTTTATTAAATATGACTAAAAAAACATAAAAATTCTCTATTTATTGACTTCTTTTTAGCTCAAAAATGGATGAATTTAATATAATTTAAGCTGCCTGCCGTATTACATAATACTTTATGTATTAGCACACGTATAAGCTTTGATTACTCATTGAGGTAATGAAAAACCATTGATGAAATTGAATGAGCTCAATTCATATATAAAGTTGAATATTTGTATAGAATGAGTGTTCTGTTTCTCATTTAAAGCGCTCGACAGGTTATCAATTATTTAAAATATATATACAATCGAGCTCGACAAACTGTGCTACTATCAACTGTTAAATAAGGCTGAGAATCTCTAATAATCATGGTTTATTGGATGGTCTATTCATTTAACAGAAATTTTCAATAAAAAAAAAAAAAAATATATATATATATATATATATATATATATATATATTAATTTCAATCATTTGCTTGGACTATAAAATATAAATAAAATATTTTAAATACATTTTAAAAATATTAACTATTCCTGTCATGCACACAGCTTGTATTTGTCTATAGAGATTTTCACTTATGGTTCTCTTGAGTCCTCTAAAATGTTTTGTTTCAACTGTACTTACTTGCATACTCCGCCGTTTTGACAAATATTTGTATGCGCATCCGTGCAGAGTGGGCCGTGGCCACAGTCGCTGCCGCTGAAGCCGGCAAAACAGGCGCAGCCATATGAGCTATAAAGAGATGAAAATGATTAATTAAAGTAAGTTTAAACTGCACACATATTTGACTTGGCAAACAGCTAAGCTGTCACGAACCGGACATGCTGAGCTGTGTTGTCATGAAGCAGGTTCCTATTCCTATTCCTATTCCCGCTGTCTTTTTTATACGTTCATGTGAATATGCGCAAATTAAAGTTTTTCTTTTCTTTTCCTTTTTGCTATCTCAATATTTTGGTACGTGCCTAAGCGAATATTGTTGAGAGGCAGAAATGTAATTCCATCAACAGCCTCTGAGCTAAGTGCTAAGGTCACAGACTTGGGCCCCTGGCAATAATTTAAAGAACTTGGCGCCAAGGATACATTCCAGACTCGCAGGATGCTGCCTACGTCATTTCCGGCTGCCTCGAAGAGGCGCTGCTCACTCATTAAGTTCAATTGCGAGTAATTATGCGTACAGTGCGAAAGCAGACCTTGAACAGGCTGCCTGCTGCCTGCTGCCTGCTGCTGGCTCATGGAAGTCGACATTCGCTGAGTTTTTCATTAAATTATATTCAAATTGACTCTGGCGTGTCATGTGCAAATGTTTTCCCCATAAAAAAGATGTTTGAATACGTGAAATCGATGCCGAAAACAGTTTAATTAGATTCCATTTGGAAGCCGAGCTGCCCGAATTTAGCCAAATTGCAGTTGCCCATTTGGAATCACGGAAATTAATTCACGACAACAAAATATTCTCGCTGACAATTTAATTGGGACGCGCAGCTTAGCAAAAGTTGCAACAACCAAAACATAAACAAAAAGGTCGCCATTTATATGTTAAATAATTGCGCAGCCTTTTCCCATTCATTCTACGCTCCGTCTGTCCAAGTGTCCGCCTGTCTGGTGGGTTGCTCGGTTTGCCGCTCGTTTTTCAGCGGCAACAATCGCAGTTGTTGTCAGTTCTACGTTGTTGTTGTTGTTGCCTGCCTGACACATGTCAACTGAAATTAATTTTTGGAAACGCTTACCAAATTGTTTAGCAGCAGCAACAATAGCAATTCGTATATATTTGATATAGAATGTTTATATATCAGAAATTGGCAATTAGACAGCGTTTCGTATTTTTGATTAGAAAATTCACAGCTTACAAATTTCTCGTCTCGCCCAACAAGCGAACAGCAAGTTAACATATTCATGCAGCAAAGTACTTGAGCTGGTATCCAAGCGGCAGATTTTCATAGACTTACTGCAATTAAGCCATTATCAATAAGGACTTGGTCTATCAGTTGCAGGACGTGCCTAATATAAATATTGACGGCGAGCTCATTCGGTTTTCTATATCTTCAATGCTAACGCCTTTATGTTCAGGAGAGTATTGAGTAGTTCACTCCCCTTCTAAACGCACCTTAAAGTAAAACGATCTAGTTTAGGGACATGGACAAAAACTTGTGCCTTATTCTCCAACTACAAGCCATGGGAGAATAATAGCGATGTTATTTTTGAGTAATGGAATGCTTATTTTCTAAAAGAATATACCAGTTTGAAAATAATTCTAAATCAAAAGCGTCTCTGTTCGGAGCGACCATCAGATCAGAATTGATCGATCTAGCTCAACTAGTGTCCATGAAAAAGAAACTCAAGAATCTACTACAAGCTGCGAAAATGATTGAAACTCCTAGCGCTCAGCTATTATATTCGATAGTCAGTGAGTCATTTTGTTGAATTGATTTCTGCTTTAAAAACTGAAAATTAAATTATTGATCTCTTTAATTTATCTAAATAAATACAAATATAATATAACATAAATATAATATAATATAATATAATATAAAAATTTGGGGTGCATTGAGCATTAATGAAACTAAGACCAAGATGATGACATCGAAATTGTTTTGCAAAACAGAAGAATTTGGTAAAAGGTCAGATATGAATGTAGATAAATTAGTCTTAGTTTGCGTTGATTGAGGCTTGCTTGGGGACATGCAATGACTTGAATATGGTAAGTTCAGAAAAGATAAAAGTACTGAATGTTGTATGACATTTTGTACGTTTTTCTAATATAAATAATTCTGAAAGTTGAATATATTTCATATCAACTTGTGATGAATGAGTTGGGGAAGTACGAGTACAATTTTGAGCACTCCATTGTGAGTTGTCAATTTCAGTTTGCTTATAACTGGCGGTGCTTGAATTGTGTATGCTTCACCTGCTACCATAGCAGCCTAAGTGATTATCTTCGAGCTACTGGCATTCTCTATAAATGGCGGCGTGGTGTTTGCTGCAAAAGTCACATTTGGCTATTAGGTCTGTTGGCTTGGAACAAAGAAACATTTAAATGTGCTCGAATAAACAACCTGTAAGCATTAGGCATTGTCTTAATTATTTATAACCTCTTACATAGTCTAGACACAATGAGTATTCCCCAACATGATAATAAATTCAAATGGGCTTTAATTACTTTGGCCAAAGCACAAAGTTCGTGTCAAATAGTTTATTTGCTTGAATGCCAAACTTTTAGGGTATCGATGGCACAGAGCAAAGTAGAAACTAATTGATCTGCTATTAGGTCTGTGGGCAATGCGCATTAGCTGATAGCTGTGAACATACGCTGTTTGGCATTTGCTGCATGTTAAGTATCCGCCGAGTTAGCCGGAGGCCATAAAAGAAACGAAAGCGAAAAACTTTTCGCCAATAACTTCAACGAACAAAATCAAAATGTGCCCACGGGGCATGACAATGGAAAAAATATGAAGGCGACAAGAAAACTTTTCCTTTCTTTTGTGTCCTTTCACTTCTTATTCTTTTTTTTTTTGCTGGAAACTTTCTCATAGACTTCTCGAACTGCTTGGACCTTGGGCAACGTGAGCACTTCTTAAATTTTGAAGTTAGCTGTAATTATTTGGTAGAGTTGATGCCACAACTGCTCTGGCAGCCATAAATTAAAGCACATTCGTTGCTTTAACCGAACTGCCTTTGTTGCCTACAGCCCTATATATCATATATTTGTATATGCTATGCATAGTATATGGCGTGCTTCTGGACACGCCCATTGTTTTGGAACAACACACACGCACACTCACACGGAAGTTGTGCTTGTTGTTGCTTGACTTAAGTATATAAGTAATTGTGCCTTTGTCTAGCGGAAATTAATTGCCCCTGTTCGGGCATCTGCGGCGCTTGCAGTTACAAGCCTCTTGCGAAACGTCCTTGCGTGTCCTGCCGCCTGTGACGGAAACGTTTGCCCAAATGAATGCCACATGTCTGTGCGAAACTCTCACAGAAATCACCAAAAAAATCAGTAACCGAAAACAGTGGCCATGCGAGTCTACACAGCTTAAAATATACTCTGCCTAATGTACATTTATAGCGTCTGTACATATATATATTACATATATATATATATATATCTTTTTGTGCTGAGAGCTTGCTATGCACGTGGAAAATACTTCTTAATATTTTAATCCTCTTTATTGTGTTTACACATAATGCGCACTCAGCATGGAAAGGGTACACTGAGTTGAGCTTCAATGTCTATTGCTCGCACAGGTTTTCCACATTTTTCCCTTTATAGAATCGTTGAAATTCACCTGCAGCTGTTTTCCCGTATGCTGTTTTCCTGCATATTTTTAGATTTTTCCATTTTTTCTGAAATTTTTTTGTGGATTTAAAACTTTTTTACAGAGCAAAAATATTCGCATGTGAAGTTGTTTTGAATTATTTTACCCTACATGCTGGGCCGACGAGGGTATGTATAGTTTTTGAGTACGATTTTTTCACAAAATATTAAATTTCTGTGACTTTCGACTGGGCAACAAATTATATTTTGAAAATCGTAAATGAATCCTTTCTGATTTATCATCAGTAATTAAACTTTACTTTTCATTTGCCATTGATCTTTTATAGGGTATTTCTTTACCATTTATTCTCATCTAATGCCGAGTTGTTTGCTGATATTTATGCCTGCCTGGCGGTCGGCTGCTTTTATCATAAAAAACTGCATTGTTTTGATTACGAAATCGAGCTACTCGCCATGCATTTTAAATTCATTTAAGCATTTTCAAAAGCTTCTCGACAATTAAAACAGCGTGCCAAAAGCTGTTATACTTTTATGTTCTGCCACTCGAAAGAATGCTGACAGGAGCACAAAGTGCAGACTGCAGTCGCTTGGCTGCATTTGGCGAATCGCAGAATGAACTAATAATTTCCATGACACACAGCCAAATGTGTGTGTGTGTGTGTGTGTGAGTGTTCGCGTGTGTCTGTGCCAGCCAATGGCGCGTAGATGTCATGAACATGTCATACTGGCAAATACTGGCAACATTCCCTCTGCTCAGCTGCACTTACGACCAAGCGACAGCAAGCAGACGAAAAAATATTAAAGGCAACTGAGATATCAGCTATACACTGAGAAAAAAGAGGCAGTTACAAAGGCATCTACAGGCACTCTTCATTCTTTCAACTGAGTGTACCACTGAGCTATAGTTTAAAATGCAGTTTACTTTTTAATACCCCTTAATTGATAGCGATATACCTCTAAGAAGTTCCGTCGAGACAGAGGTCAGTTATAGGGTATAAATGTAAAGAAGTATAAGATTGTGAATGTATCATTAGAGAATATTATTGCCATGTAAATGAGCTCAGCAAATATCCTGTACTTTATGCCTGTAAGAAGTTTCTGCTAAAGGAACAGAACTCAATTAGAGGGTATATTTTTGAAGAGAAACAATATATGTATGATATATAATATATAGTAAGAGTCATAGAGTCGAGCCTGTATTTTATGAGAGGTCCGTTACAGGGCATATTTTTAAAGAGAGACGCGTTTGTATATCTAGCATTCAAGAGCAATTTTCAAAAAAATAGTGTGAGTAAATGAGTCAAGCAAATACCCTGCAATTGGTGGCGAGTTGCATAGATACACAAATTTTCACATTTCCATATTAAACCCATTTTAAGGAGAGCTGGGTATATTTTTAACTAGAGACAAGAGCTCCAAGTCGACGAATCTAAGCTCCCTGGTGAGATAGATTTCGACAGGAGATGCCTTGCATCTTATGCCTGGTATCGATGCCTACTAACTCAAGTTCAAGTGGAGCATATACCATATATATATACTCTTTGATAGTGGATATTCCTTCAAGAAAACCTATTCATTTGTGTAAATGATGAACAAAAAGTAGATTTAACTTAACTTCTATAAGCTACTATATTTGATAGCATTGATGTAGCACATTTTCTGTCAGTGCATTTGGCTTGGCATATTTGAGGCACTGTCTAACATTTCTGTTAGACTTCTTGACACAACGCCAAAAAGCTTCGGCAGTGCCAAGAGTCAGAGAAAATATGAAAAGCGGCTAGTTATATCTCATGGTGACTACACTTAAAGTCAGCGCAGGCAACAGCATACTTGCAACATGTAGCACATATACGTGGACACATATGTGCACCAATTTGAAACACAATAAACTCAATTGCTTGCCTAGCAGGCTGAGTAGAGAATATTTTAAAAATATATTCAGCCTTTAAAAGGCATTTTATGTAAACAATTATTTATGGGCTTGATAAACATGAATGTGTCTCAAAGGCTTGCGAGGGCTACATAGAGCACAATGAAAAGGAAGCGAAATGGCAAATTACAGCAAATTGGTTTGTGTTTATGAATGTGTGTGTGTATGTGCGAGAGTGAGTGTGTAGTGGCATGAGTCTATATGTGGCACAACAAATATCATTTGAAAAGCAGCACGAAAAATAAACGTTGGCGGTTATATTTTCCTCTTACTTTTTCACCTAATGCAATCAAATTAAATGCCATTAAATTTGATGGCTCTGAGTGTGTGTTGGTGTGTGTGTGTGTAAAGGGGTAACATGCATAAAATGTTGCTGATTGTAACAATTGCGCCACGTCTAAGCAATTTTTTATAGCCGGACAATCGTAAAAAGGTCGTTAAAAAAAGTAAATTTACATTAGCATTTTTATGGTTTTATCTTTTTGTGTTGTGAGGCAAATTAATTTTCCCAAAATATGAGAAATTTCAATTGAACAAAAGAGTTAGAGCGAGAAGAGCACACACACGAGTTGTGAATTCTTGCAGAAATAACAACAGCCAATTAAATATCTGAGAGAAGTTTCTGCTGACAAGCCAAGCAAAGCCGAAAGGAAACTTTACGTTAGTGGAAAGGTAAAGGTAAAGGCAAGCCACATAGCATATGCATATCGTAACGGCGAAGACACAGGAAAATTAAAAGTACAACTGCGACAAAAGTTTTAGGGCGAACGGGCCAAACTTATAATTGAGCAGTAAGCAAAGGGAGGGAGACAGGGAGAGCTGAGTCGCAGTCGGATGATATGACAAAGACAGGTCAAAATTTTGGCCAAACAAAACTTAATTGCAATATGCAAAGCGAGCGAGCTACCTGCAACTACTACCTGTGCGGGTGGTCGAGGCTCAAGCTAAGGCTGAGGCTCAGGCTTTGGCTCTGGCTGCAGCTGCGGCTGCGACTGCGTCTGCTGCTCGTCGACTTTGGATAAATGACAATGTTTGACAAGGCAAACAATATACGCACTCCCATACACATAGCTGCTAGCCATGCGAATGACACTGACACAGTTCAGGCATGCAGCATGTGGCATGTGGCAGGGGCGTATGTCAAGCGACTCATTGCACATGCAACGCCCACAACATTGTCCTCTTTACTATTATGTAGTTGTGGCTGCCTCCACAGCTGCTGCTGCTGTTGCCTCTGTTTGTTTGCTTCCGCACTGAACCTGATCTCATTTAACGCTCTCGTTTTGTTTGCTCAACTTGTAGCAACGCTTTTTGTTATGAAAATACAGAAGGCAAAAAAAATGGGAATTTACGTATTTTTCCGAGACGAAGCTCTGCATATTGATTGCCCCGACCTCTGGCCATGTGACACACAATTTGTCACCGCTTGAACGTGGCCTAGTGCGAGCTCTGCTCCTTGGCTGTCCCACAGCCCGAACCTGGAATCGCTTATAACTAGCTGACTTTGACAGCTTGACACGCTGTTCAGCTTGCCTTTTTTGACATTGCAACTTCCAGCTCACAACATATGAATGGCCGAGTCTCTGACTGTCACTGGCTTTTCATAAAGTTGTGAAGTTGCCATCGAGTTGTTGCAGCCAAGCCCACAAGTTGACAGAACTCCACAAAATTCATTTTAATTATTTATTTTTAAATCAGCTTTTAGTTATCCTTTGACTCAAGTGCGGTCCTATATAGGTTTGTTCCTATTCAACTATCTATATACATATATATTTTATTTTTATTTTAGTCCATTTGAATTTTGTCTTAGCTGGAGAAGAGCACTGTTAGTGCCATAATAAAACAGGCAGCGCCCACCCAAGGCGATCCGCGTTCACCGATTCGTGCTAGCTTCCACAAGGCTAATCGCATGCCGGTCTTATTGCCATCCAAAATACTTGGACACATGGGCCTCACGTAGGCGCAGGTGCAAATCAGCAAAAGAATAACCGAAAGTAAACTTTGAAAATTAAATAGTGCACTCATAGTCGAGCGGAATTTTGTGTTTGCTCGTGCTTCTGTTTGTGGCAGAACTCTGGACCAGGTCAGGAACAGCCAAGAAATTGGCTTAAATGTTAAAAGTAGTTAAAAGTAGTTAGCAAGAGCCTACTACCTTGTTTAAGCATAGAGCCTTAATAAGTGAGTGACAGTTGTCTAGTGTCCTATGAAAAATTTATTTTATCTTTCTATAAATTAAAGTGGATCCATCCATCCTCCTTGTACAAAGCCATCGATACTTTAGTCCACAGTAATAGAGATAAGTTGTATTATGATTCGTTGTAACAAGAATATTTCTATTTGATAACTTGCTCTTCAGTTCAGCATAAAATTTTGTATCTCATTCATCTGATCCTTCAAGCCGCTTTGAGTATGCCCCCCAGTAACAAGATACTCAGAGATCACTTAGTTTAGTTTCTCTTTAGATCTACCTATTCAATTCAATTGATTTTGGACCCCAACGAGTATTCTGCTGTCGATAGCGCCAGACCTTTTCACTCTAATTATTTGCTAAATGAGAGCATTCAAAAGAATGCAAGCTGAAATACACTTTGTTAAAACTTAACAAATTTGCGCTATATTTTCTTCAATTAAAATAAATTTGCTTACTGCCAATTTAAGCCTTTGCATTTAATTCAACTTTTCAGAAAGGGGAGCAGAATATCCGAGAGGAGCTCAATAAAAAATCCCCTTTGATGCGCCTCAAAGCGAAAAACTTTTTCAATTAAACATTTTCTTCTTAAAACACAGACTCGCATCGAACCCAGGAGCCCCTCAACAAAAAAATTAAAAAACTCCTCAAAGGCAGCACAAAAAATTGTACAAAACATTTAAACATAAATTTTCGCCTTTTTTTGCAGTTTTCAATTCAACTTTTGCGGTGAGGCGGAACAGATTTATGCAAACGCCAGAATTGATGTGTGTGGATCTGTTTCCGATGGAATTGTTTTTAACTATTTTTATTATCTTCTTCTTTTTCTGTAATTTTCTTTGCAGCCACTGCGAAATGAAAACGCAGAGCTACATAGCCGATAGCCGCCCAGCTGGCTGGCCAATTGTTTATGGCTTATTGTTGTTAGCCCGTCGCGGAAGCGCGTCTGTGCGCTGCCAAGTGCCGCCAGATGACCCCCAGCTCGGTCGAGGACCCGTCGAATTCGCAAACATTTTGAATATTTTATGCAAACTTTATTAGCAATAAAATGAAGTTGGCTGCCAAACACTTGTAATGAGCTGGCAAAAAGGGCAACGGACATGCAAAGGGCAGTGTCTGGCATTTCTCTGCGATACGCAAACAGACTGCGCTTCTTAAACAATGCAAATGAACTGATAAAATTTTCTACAGAGCAAGCATATGAGCCAGCGGCTTATACATATCTATGATAGTGCAAAGTAATTTAAACCTACTAAAGAAGTTATATATGGAACAACTTTACTCAAATTTGGTGAAGATTTGGTTTTACATAGAAGGTAAGCTCTGTACATGCTGTCCAAGCCAAATTGTTACGATTTTCGATAATTATATGACAGCTACTGTGTAACTTATTATAACTGATGTAAAATTAACTAATGTAATATTAACTGATTTGATGTTTACTTATATAATGTTAACTGATTTAATTCTAACTGGTGTAATGTTACCTAATATAATGTTAGCTGGAGTAATGTTAATGTTAATCTCTATATATAATCCATCTATAATGTCGGTTGGTGCAATGATAATTATGTAATGTAAAGTGACGCAATGTTAACGTATGTTATGTTAATTGATGTAATGTTAACTAATGTTCGCTAATGTTAAGTTAAAGGATGCAATGTTAACTGTTTTACTATTGATTAGTGAATGTTATATTATACAGTATTAACTAATTAATAGTTAATATAATGTAAGCTTATGTTATGTTAGCTAACGTAATGTTCACTGATTTATGTTATGCTAATTGATGTAAGGTTAACTGATTTTGTGTTAACTGAATTAATTTAAACTAATTTCAGGCTAACTAATTTCATATTTATTGATATTATGTTAAATGATGTTATGTTAACTGATGTTATGTTAACTCATATAATATTCAATAAGTGAATTATCATTCACCTTTCAAATGTGTCGAAATAATTAGAGAAATGTCGCCAATTCCCAGCTTGCGAGCTATACAAATAGAATATTAGGTATCAGGTATAGCTGACAGCTTTTGAATAATGAATTGCAAACAACATAATGAAATTGACGCTCTTTCCAAATAAAGCTAAAAACACTTTAATACTTTAAGCTATTTTCGTTTTCATTTTCATTTCCTGTTACTAATGTATGGTCAGTCGATTCATATATTTGGCTTACAATTTTCTTTAACCCAAATACTCCTCCCGAACGATACCACCCTTCTGCTTTTGATTGATATTGGTAAGCCTAATACAGAAGCATATAAAACAAGGACTTCGCTTAAAGCCCTGTCAGCCAAGAAGCGATCCATCAATTATCTTGATTGCTTTACGAAACTGAGCTGAATGCAAGATAAACTAATCTTTGTGAATTGTTGTTACGCGCTGAGATTTGTTTCAATAAAGTTCATAATTGGTGCTTAGAAATCTTTAGCAGAGTTGGTCGGAGAGTGTAAAGGGAGGTAAGCATTTAGAATCATTATTAGAATTATACAATTACACTGTACAACAACGTTTTGTCGCTTGTGTAAAGTGAGATAATTCTGAAATCGAAAAGTACATTTTCAGAGGTGCTTTGAAGAATTCAATTTTGATTGATTTAACTGATCACTGTAAAGACTTTTAACTGAATCCTTTTATATTTATAGGGCGTATATAAGGAGTTAGAGGCGTTAAGCTTCGTTCAAGCATAATAAGAAATTGTTGACATAAAGACATTTAAAGCAGTCTCAAAAAACACTAAAAAAAAGGTTTTTGGAAGTAAAGAGCAAAATGTTCTCAAATTTGATAAAAAAATAATTATCGTATACGAAAATTAATACAATTATAATGTTATAGTTATATGAAAATTTGCTTCTATTGCTGTACTGATAAGACTATGTTGCTATTTTAATCTAACATATTTAAAACATATTCAATCTGTGTAGAGTACAGGGTTCAACAGTCTCATAAAGTATTTAATGTTATGCAAAATATACATTTAAATCTAATATTTTGCTATTGGCGTGAAGACGCCTCTGAGCATTCATTAACTTTAAATGCGCACAGATTTGACATGAAAATGAAATACTTTCCTTTATTCCCAGACCCATCCAGGACTTGGTCTTGTTTTCCACATTTGATGCGGCTTATTAAAATTTTGCACACAAAGCCGAAGCGAGTGGGAACGCAGTTAAAGCGAAATTAATAAACAAACAGGAGACGCAGCCAGAGCAAGACAAAAGCCAAGATATTGTCAAGTATACGCACTGTGTGACACAGCCCTCAACACTCAAAGCGCCTTATCAAGCATTTCAGATTTTTAAATGTTGTGCATTTTTTGCTTAAGGAAGCGCGCTGAGCAGGCGACTCATAAAAATTGCAATGAAAAATTGTGGCACAGCTGACAGCAGGCGAAGTGCTGCGTGCCACACACACGCACAGAGAGAAGCGGGCATAAACTATAAAGACGACAAACTTCAGCTACTTGTCGCCGCTGCCACGCCCACGCTATCTCTGCTGAGAGTTGTGTGTTTGTATGTTTATCTGACAACACGTAGCCGAGAGCCAAGTTGCTGCCTCATTTGGCTCAAGGTTGTTAATTAAGTTGACGTGACAGGCAGGCGCTTGGTGTTACGTGCCACACTCCCAATCCCATCGCAGGGGGAGCAGACGAACTTCCACTCATCGGAAGCTGCTGAGCAGTCACTTTTATATTAAATTTCTAGGCAACACATTTCGCTTTTGCTTTGACATTAATATTAATATTCAATTAGCCAAGCAAACACGCCGCCTTCGCGCTGTCCAATTAATGTTAATTATGCTAAGTAGCAGAGGCCACTCTCAACTTTTAGCTTCTTTCAATGCCCCCAATTTCTGTCGAATTTCGTTTTCCAAATTCCTTTTTCTTTGCTTTTTAATTTATTAAATTTGCCACACTCATAAATCGCGATACTTGACCCAGTGTGAAAAAGCTTCAAATTGATTTGTCAGCTTCTTCTTGCCTGTGCGCCATTATAACGCGGTTCCACTGTAACGCCAATGGCGTGTAAACTGCCTTTAAATTGTCCAATTCGTAAGCGTTAAATTTCAAATTAACAATGCCATTGTTCAATTTGTTCGATCTGCCCGGCTGCCCGGCTGCCAGGGCTTGTTTATTATGCTAATTGCGTCTCTATTGCGTGTTGCTGTGGGCTTTGTGGCAATTAGCTGTATATCCGACGGGGGTTCTCACCAAACTTTCAAATTTAATTTTTTAGAATACTCTGCATATATATATATTATATATATATCTGTCTGTATACATTCCACGAATCATTACAATGGTCTTGCAAAGAAATCGACATTTACGAGGGCTTTTCAAGTATTTCAAGCAGTTTTCTACTAGTTGGAGACAGAGCTTTGGCAGTAGATAGAAAAGAAACATGACTCTTCAAGTTGTTCAACTCTTTCTACCAACTAAAACTACTCAAACTTTTCCAATTTTATTACTTTTTTAGGTCACATGTTGGCCATTGGAAATAGTCTCCTTTACTCACTTCCTACAAGAGACAATTACATATTTCTGTAGGCGGTTCTAGTGCCCGCTCGCCACAGGTGCGACGCATGCATTTATTTTGGACATCTCATATAAAAAGAGTTTAAGCATTTGTCTTTGGATATTTGTAATTTAAATTTTGATATAGAAGACTTTCCCCTCATGCAATATAGAACCGAGTAGACAAAACAGCCAAGTATGTCTGTGAGAAATCAAGGCTTACTTCAAAAATACATAATAATATTCCAAGAAAAATTTGTATTTTAATAAAAATTTATAGCGTATACTCTATAGACATAGTTGGACTTCTTCTTTTATGTTAATAAGAATATTTTTTTGATTTCGTCTCCTCGCTAACTGGACTCAGCTTATTCTTCTTCTAAACAGTTGGCTTAGTGAATTTAGTTTTTTATTTTAAAAAGTCCAGATTTTGTAGCTATTATGTGCTGAATGGAAAGACTTCGATTAGTCCAATAACTGCTTATCGCATAAAAGATTTGGCTGAGTCAAAAAAGATTTCTATTTACTTTCAAGATATCTGATCGTCTTATGAAACACTCTATGTCACTATTGATGTTTGTGGAATATTAATTTCGTAGTATCGCTGAATATATAGGTCTATATTGTTCCTTTTTCTCAATAATTGCAGAGTCTTTCTGAAGTGCTAAAACACGCTGTGACGAAGGATTTTATTACTTCCATAAACTTCTCTTAGCATAACCTTTTGTGCGCTTGGAACGCACTCGGCATTCGTTTAACCTTCATAAATGATATTGCTTTTAGTGAGCTAGTCGCACATTAGCGGCAGGGCTGGGCATTTATAAGTCATGGCCGAGAGTTCGACAGCAATAACAAAAGCATGAAAGCAAGGCTGGCTGTGGTGCGATGGCCCTATGGTGCTGTAGCTGCACCACCTGCGTCCGGCTGCCACGCATATTTAAGCAAGTCAGAACTTTTGCGCCTCTCGACCTTTAGCCCCACAGCGACTGCTGTTGCTGCTGCTTCGGTTGGGGCTGCTGCTGTCGATTTCAAAATTGAGTTTCCTTTCGGTTCCGGTCAATGCATATGAACTAAGCGGCAATCGCAACGCGGCCAAAATCACAGGCAGCTAACCATGCAAACTGTTAAATGTTTGCATATCAATCTTAGCCCGCCTCTTGCTGCCCGTTCCCTGTTGAAATGGCAAAACGGTACAACTGTTTGGGGCCTTTCAGCTTTCAGCTCTCAGTTTTCAGCTTTCAGCCTAAACCAAGTGGGAGCCATACATTTTGCAATGTTCCAGTGGCTGACGCTGCTGTTGCTGCTGTTGCTATTGCTGTTGCCAAATAACTTCCATTTCGTTGTGCTCCGCTTCCTGTTTCCCCAGTGTAAAAAGCAAGACCCCAAACAATGAAAGGCATTGCCAACACATTTTCGTTGGGGCTAACAAAAAAATCTACACAAAAAGTTTGCATACGCCAAAAGTCAATTGAAATGAAGGAGCAGCGGCAGCGGCAGCAGCAGCAGCAGCAGCACATGATGCATTTCCCAACTCTCGGTATCCTTCTCCTCCTACCTGAGAATAATACACACTCACACACACACTTAGCTTGGTCCTTATGAATAACTTTGGCAATTGAGTTTGACATACATGAGAATTTGTGTAGCTCGGTTTTGGGCAAGCTCTTGGGGTAGGTTCGGACAGCGGTTGCCGACGTGATTGATTGATGAAATATTTTTGGGTCATACAAAATGGATATGCGACTGACTTGGGTCTGGTCTGGCCTCAGCAGAAGATTGAACCCATTACGCTAGTTAACACATTGAACTAAATGTTCGGAGACCAGTTTCACCCATATTTGCCACCAAAGTGAATTGGATTACTCAATGTCGTTGAGGAAAAGGATTTGATTTGTTTATTTTCTCTTTTCTAACGAAAATGCAATCAACCTTAAGATATTGAAACTCAAATATTTGAAGGAAAGAGTAAGCTGTTGGTAATATTGGACATTTAATAAATTGTGGAGAAATATTTAATTTTGCAACAGCTTGCGATATATTAAAGCACAGGCAGTCATGACATATGTTAGCTAATGTATTTTAACTGAGCAATTAGAGCTGTGGATGACCTATGAAAAGTTACATATTTGCCATGGCTTACATATATTTTTAAAATTTTGATGATCAATTTTCATTAATAAAACCAGATTTTTAGGCAATTTTCTCACGCATGTTTCTGTGCTTATTGCAGACATCTGAATACTTAACTTTAGCTGTATAAAATATGAATGAAATCTATGGATATCTGCTTCAATTTTAAAAACGATATTCAAACTGTTAAAGCAACTCTGCTTGACTAAGAAAACAACTTGCGGGTTTCTTTCTGTGATATAGAGATTCACAAGCATCTCTACCACGCAGAGCACAGAGATAACGACATTTTCGCCCTGACAACTCCAACTGCAAATGCTGCTCCTACAAAAATATAATAATATAATAACATAAAAAAAAGTCTATTCAAAATATGACAAAAGATAAATATATCTAATATTAAGATCTAAGTTCAGACTTCACTCGATTTGGCCCTGTTTTCGGTGTTCAGCAGGGAAACTATAAATTTAGAGTACAGATGATTTCTATACGCTAATAATATAACAATTAGATTCTTGAGCTAGCTTCAAATAAGATCTAGATATAGATAGTTCTCCAAACTATTTTCGCTTTACTCCATGCTACACCTCGCTATTGACTCACCTGTAATCGGCACTCGCAAAGCAATCGCCTAGGAAGCGACATTGCAGCGTATTGCACTGGGTCGTCTTCACCTCGTGCTGCACCTCGTAGGTGATATTGAAACCGTAAACGTCCAGCAGGCGATCGAGTGCCCGCAAATGCGTGCCGTCCAGCGTGGCCATGGTGAAGCGTATCTCCAGGTATTGGCTGTTGAACTGCATCCAGGTGACTTGCGTGACCTCCTCCTCGGTCAAGGTGAAGACGCGATGGGCGGGCACCTTGAAGTCGTCCGAGTAGTACATGTACTCGGTGAATTTAAGCCCGCCGAGTACGTAGAGCTGCGTCAGATAGACCACAATGGAAACATTGCCCTGTGCGGTGGCTGGCAGCTCGGAGGCATCAATTATCCAAACGCATTCGATGGGCGTGGCAAAGCGATGCGGGAAATTCGGCGTTTGAATGAGGCCATAGCGTGACTTCAGTAATCCGCCACAGCCTGATGAGTAGGAAATAGAAGAAGAGGAGGAGCCGCCACCACCAACGCCATTGCCACCGCCACCGCCATTGCCATTGCCATTGCCAGCTGAATGCTCGCCAATAGCAAAGGCGTTCAGGGCAAAGTTATGCTTGGCCGCTGGAAAAGGCGGCGGAGGTGGCAATGGAACCGCGGGCAACGAAAACTTTTGATCCGGATTGTTTTGACGCCTGAAGCGTGCATGTTGCAGTTCTTGTTGTTGTTGCTGTTGCTGTTGCTGTTGTTGTTGCCGTTGTTGATTTGTTAACAATGTTGCCGCCGGCAGCAGCATAAACAGCAGCAATATCGTTGTTAACCTGACAATTGTCAGCAGCGACATTGACTTGGCTTTTGTTGTTTCTTTTTTGTTGCTTATGAACTCCCACTTAGTCGTTTACTTGTGCTCAACTGAGTCGCCCACAGCTGTTGCTTGTTGTCGTCTTATCATTTGGCAAACGATATGCATGGAACACGTTCAGTTGTCACAGTTGTAGCTGCATTCCAGCCACGCATCGACAGCAGACCCACTGCAAAAATAGATAGAGAGGCAGAGATGATGTGAAATTTTTAGGAAAAACCATTTTGACAGCTGTCGTTTGCATTTGAATAACTGCCGCTGTCGTTTCATCCAATATGCCCCGGCTGGAGCCCCTCCACATGTCATGGTGCACTAACACACTGGAAAATCGTAAACTGTCAGCGTGAAAAAGCAATTTGAAAATCCACTAAAAATGGAGCGCATTGCCACGCATCAATCATGGCTGCCGTGAAGCGTGCCGGCTCATAAAACAAAGGCTCTGGGCTGTGGGCTCTGTGCTCTGCTCGGTTCGGCTCGCCTCGGCTTGACGCGCCACTCGAGCGTTTTTCTTTGTCAACTTTCAAATTGTTTTCCCATATTTTGTGGGGCCAAGTGTTGATGCTGCTGCAGCTGCCTGCGAGCAGTGCTCAACGCCAAAACGCCAAAAACCCTCTTCAACTTCAACTGACTTTTGTAGTTTTTGTGGTGTTTTTACTGCCAGATTTGCCTATGACCAGCGGAAGCCTCCATTTAGTAGAGTTAGGCTTAGGTCCGCCAAATCTAACCAGCCACATGGACTCGCTTAGCGCCAATGTGTGCGAGTTACCTTAATGTGTGTGGCAGGAGTTTTTGAAATTTCTTTCAGAATAACTAGACTAGACTAGACATATTGTAAAATCTTTAAGCAACAATGATTTGCAATTAATTAAAATAAATTACTAATAAAGGCGAACAAATACACTTGACCAGAGCGAGTCAATGTGTAGTCTGAATGAGGGGTAAAAATATTTTATGTAAGAGGCGCGTTGGCCCAACAGTCACATTGCAGTTTCCCATAAACACACAAAATATTGATTTGTATATCAATAAAGTTATTCGCATGGATTTATTATTATTTAAACTTGTATTCCAGCAATTATTATATAATTTAATTGAATAGAGTAAACGGAGACTCAGCCAAAGCTGTAATTAAACACAGATTTCACAGTAAATTCAAAATTCAAAATTGCGTGCCACAAAGCAGGTAAAAAGATATGAAACACCAAATCAAATTAAATCGAGAAGCAGGCGAAGTCAATTACATTCCCATTGGAATATGTGGATATCTTGAATAACTATTTGCAGCAGCAACAATAATTATCATAGAAAATCAAATATAATAGCCTTGGACTAAGCCTGTGCAACTTAGCACTCAAAGCAGAGCCAAATTAAATTATAATTTACCAAAAAGCCAGCTGCAAATACCTCGTGGCCCGGGTGTCAGATGTGAGCATTTGATCTATCACTTATTGACAGACTCGAGCTGTGGCATTTGCCCGATACAATTTAATGTGCGCGGCCTACTTCTAAGGTATTTTCATACATAAATTATATACATACATAAATCATATTTACAGACTTCTTTTCGCGAAAGAACTTGGAAAAATAAATATATATTTGATCAACTTTTATGTTTCACTGTAAATAAAATAATTTATGCTTACAACAAATTTACATATAGAGACATATATATAATATATATATTAAATATATATGCTTTAAAGAGAAGTTGAAGACTCAATGCTGTAAAGTAACTGTTTGCTGTTAACTGTTGCTTAATGTTTTTTGAAGCTTTAGTTGCTATATTCTGCATGATATTTATTCACAAGGTAGATAAGCTTATTCAGAGACTAACAGTCGCACAGATTCGGCTGTTGATAGCTAACAAGAATATAATTTTATTATCTAAATGAATTTGTTTGACAACTATTATCTATCAGAAAATCAGGTCTGATAGCAGAATTTACTATAAACTACTGTGAACTACTGGTTTGTCGGATAAATTCTAATGTTGAGCCAAAACTAGCTCAACAACATATATATATACAGTTATATATACATTTGTTTGAGTAGAACTTATTTAAGTGCTCACACATTGCATAATAAATTCAAATTAAAAGAATATAACAAGAAAGACTGCTTTCGTGGGCAGTGCCCGACTAGGATATACCCTGAACCCGGTGCAGAGCTACTATATCAATCATTCTTCTTCTTTAAGAATATTCATAGCAAATAATACATACAAACCAACACACACACATACATAATTACGCACTCTGCTTAGTGTGTAGTTTAGGCCTAACTATGGGAAACTAATTGTTGAATAAGTTCTGGTAGCAAATCATATTTAAAATATAAATAATATATAATTATATATATACATATATATATAAATAATGGCACTCATATGTATGCATAAGAATCTAGTATTTATATTTTAATCCGAAATTGGCCACAAAAGGGAATTTTAACTGCCTCATTTCTGTGGCATTCAAACAAAATCAAATAATCGATTATTATTGATAATTGGGAAATGAAGTGAGCTAACGAAAAATATGAATAGCTTTAGCTGTGGGTGTTGAAGGAATCTACATTTACGAGATCACTGGGTATAACTATGGCGAGATAGATTCATCTCGTCGCTCTGAACTTTAAGCCATTTCAAAGCCTTTTTAAGATAGACCCGATTGTCTTTGACGACATTTGTTGCCAGACTCCGACTCTAATGAGCTAAAGGCTCTTTCTTCTTGGCTGTTCAATACATTTTCACATAGCCGCTATGAATAATTTGCACGTTTGCCTTTCTATCGATTGCCACATTTTACAATTACTTAATTAAAACATAAGTCAGTGTTTCAATATAGTTAGCTACAATAGCTGAAATTCGACCAAAGTAAAGTTTTGAATTTAGATTTATTTAAAATAAAAATCCAGTTAAATAAATCTCCCGCATTTCGAATGAAAATCACATTTGCCAAAACTGTTTTGGGTAAATAAATATGCGTCAATGCCTTGTCTTCTGTTTATCACTTTGTGTCAAAATGTTACTTATTTACTTTAAGCAGGCTTCAATTTATTTTTCGCACGTCGCATTTAACTTTAAGAAAAGAAAAAGGTGTCTAAACTTTGTTGCTTCTAATGCTGCTGACGCTCAAGCCGATGCTGATGTTCAAGCTACTGCTGCTGCTGATGCTGCGTGTGCTAACAAGTTTAATCAAATGACAATGTCGTAACACGTGCATACATTTGGGGCCCCGAAGGCACAGCAGCCTCGGCTGGGCTAAGAGACAAGTCTTAGCTGACAACCCTGACACATGTGAGCACAAGCAAAGTCATAGGCCTTCAAAACCCAGTTCCTCAGCCCCTAGGGCCCCCCTTAGATGTCGTTTTCTCTTTCCCTCTCTGTCTGTCCTCAACGCTTGCCTCTCAGCGTGCGTGATTTTTACTTTCAAATTACTTTAGTTACGCATTTTAAGCATAATGAATAATATTTTGAAGCTTGCCATGCGAATATTGTGTCTGCAAAAAGTTAATTTTCTTTACCCGGCCCATACATACATATGTATAAATCACCCAAGAGACTTTTATAGAGTTATTGCCCTAGCTGATTTGCCTTGTTTGTAGCTGAAACTCTGCCAACGCTTGACATATATAAGAACATCCGACTAGACTGAACACTCAACACAGATAAGTATGCTATTTAAGCCTTCATTCAACAGTTAATCTCTAACTACTATTAAAGTGTTGCATACTTTTTGGCATCAGTGTATAGCCTTTGCTTAACAGCGTATTTTCACTATTTTAATGTGTTTCAATTTGATTATTATAAGAGAGATTGAGAGAGAGTGAGATGGAGACACAAAGCGGGTGAGTAAGAAAGTGAGGGTGAGAGCTAGAACTAGTGAGAGAGAGAGAGAGAAATAGGGAGATTCAAATGCAGTAAGAATTAGAGAGCTAGAGAGAGAAAGTGATAGAGAGATAGAGAGGGAGAATCAGCGTGAGATTTAGAGACAGAGAGAAGGAGTGAAAGCAAAAAAAGAGAAAGATGAGAGAGAGTGAATGAGAATGTGAGATAGAGATGCAGAGGATTGAAAGGAGGAAAGAGAGAAGAGAGATTGAGACTAAATTTTTTTTTTTTTTTTGTGTATTTTGTATTTTATTATTATTAAGTGTAGAGCCTGTACAATCAAATTTAGTACCTCAACAACACATGTATATATATGGAAGAGAGCGAGATTGAAACTAAGACGGAAAAATAGACAGAGACAGAGAGAAATAAATTTTTAACGTTTATTTCTCTCTTTAAGCTTTGGTATTTCTTTAAAATGAAATATCGGGAAACATATCTTAACGATGTCTATACTTCTAAAGCTAAGGTAAGACAAGAGCAGCAGTGTGATACTATCATTACAGTTGCTACTCAAAGGCAAATGCCCGAAGGAGGCCTCAGCGGCTCCTTTATATTTCACACAATTGCCGATCCGTTAAATCTCAATTAGCTGCAGTTTAGAGTGAATAACATAATTGATATAAAATGAAATGAAAAGAAAACACTTGACGTCAAAACAATGACGCGCTACCCTGCACCTGTCCGATGATAACGGGGCGGGCGTTTAGCGCTTCGCTGGGCGGGGGCACTTCAAGCTGAAACTCAGATACCGATAAAGAGCCCCAGGGCCCAGCAGGCAGTTGCTTCGCTGTTTTGCTGCTCAGCTGCTGGCGCAGTTGTAGCCGGCGCGTCGAGCAAATTGCCAATTTAAATTGGCCGCGTTAAATTAGTTGAGTTATCAGCCTCCACGGCGGCAGGTGTACGGGTAGCGAGTGCGTCGGATCGAGTCACAGTAGTTATTTCTCCCATCTACTGTTGTTATTCATACATAGCTCATAAGTGTGACTTCTTGGGCAAGCGAAGCGGAAATTGTAACGTGCTCAATTACGGAATTTCGATGAAATATTCAAAAAAATCAAAAGTTCTTAGCGGAAATGCTTGCGTAACGGCTCATGAGCGACTGGCATGTCCGAAAGTGAATGAAGAGTATAGAAAAATATAATAAATCGAAAAGCTAACCAATGTGAACTACGAGTACCCAAGCCCAAACGCGTCGTTCTACTTATCGGTGTCCATGAAATTATAGAGCAAATTCGATAAGAAAGTGGTTTCTTTCGCAGTCGCTGCCAGACCCGAGATCTGTGCTGTCAAATGTTTTGCTGTACTCCATGTATTTACCTAACGAATGGAACAAGACTACAAATCAATCACTTTGCGCCTGATATGGATATCTAATCTATAAAGAAATAAGCTTAATTCTTCTAATCATTTTCATTCCCCAGTTCGAATCGAAAATCATATCACAACTATTTGATTTAAGCTTATTTCTGATAATTAAAAATTATAAAAAAATATTAAAAAGTTATAAACAATAAAAAGAATCTATTTGCGAAGATATTTAGAGACCTATTTTCTGTGTTTGGGCTTTACAAATGCCTTGCGAAAATGCTGGAAAATTGTTCAAGTAAACTCGAGTTCAAGAAAATCAACAACAACAAAACAAACAGCAGAAAACAACAACATTTCGCTGATAACTAGAAGAAAAAAAACGAAATGTCAATAAAACAATATAAATGACGGACTCGTGACTCTCATGGATCGCTCGTCGATGTTGATATTGTTAGCAAGAAAAGTGAAATACAAATGGTTGTTGAAGCAAAAACAATTTTTTCTTCTTTTCGATTTGCAATAAGCAATTGTGCTGTTCGGTCGCTGTTATCTATAAAGATGTCGTGTAATACAAAACACTGATAAAGGCCGATATCATCTATAAGTAGCAAGATGCAGGCAGAGTGATATTGCCAGGGAGACAGAGAAAGAGATAGATACAGAGTGGGAGAGAGGCAGCAACAGTCAATTGGTCAAATCAGTTAAAACTTGGCTAGCGTTTAGCCCAAAACAAAAACGGTCCGATAAGATAGAAGCCAATTTGATTCACGGTCACAAGGCAAAAGGCCAGAACCGCGTTTCTTGCGGCCTCCAGCTATTGGCCAAACAATGAAATCCCCGCATAAATAGAAAACAATTAAGCAGTCCATACGATAAGAGATGTATGATAAACCCAAAACCCACTTCAATGCTGACTCATCGGCGCCCCGGGTCGAATGGGGACGAAGAGTTAACTGGCGGTAGAGCAGGCATTGGCATTGGCATTGGCGCTGGCCTACGCTTCGGGCCCTGGCTAATTAGCTCATCCATTTGGCGATGCGTGAAATTTATGAACTTTACAACTTTTGCTCAAAAGCACAAATATATCTGATGAAAAGCTAATTTTCCATTTTCCACTACTGTGCCAGCCTGATAAGCAACGCAACTGTCCTTGACATATTCCAGTGCTCGATTCAATAATATTCTCCCAATTTGTTTAGATGTTAGTTGAACTAGGTCTTGTTGAAATCTAATTCTGAATTAAGTTTAATGCAGTTGGGTTATTAAAAATATATTTTGGAATAAATGAGTTTGCATTTATTTAGCTTACATATATATCTCTATATTAATCGGATTTAGCAAAAGAAAAAGAAATTTTAAATTAAATGAAAAGACTCCCATTAGCACATTGGAAATCGTCCCCAGTTCTAGAGCTTGAAAGTACAGATTTTGACAACTAAAATTATTTATATAGTTATTGGAAATCGGAATCGGGAATACCTATATCTTATACATCTTTTTAATAATAACGTGTTTTCAAAATCCAATATCCTTCAATTTTATCTCATCATTTTATATCAATTATGAGTTTATATACTACTTAGAGTCATGTCTACCAAACAACTTTAACATTATAAATATTGTATATAAATATATTTTTATTGTATATATATCGAAAGTGATTCGATCATATATGATATATATGTTATATATATATGATTAGCTTATATACACAATTGGACTCAAAAGATGTTTTATAAAGCAGATTTTTGGTAAATTTTTTAATATATTAAAGCATAAATAATTCAGCAACAAGAAGGTATTTAATCAGGAACAAACTTTGATATCGACTTTAGTTCTGGCAACACCTTGATAAATGCTTCAAATAAATTGATTGATTATTTTAACAGATAATAGAATTATAGATACCGCAATGTTTACGAATAAAAATAAATAATTTTTAAGTTATATGTGCAATAAATATATACATTTTATCTAAGCTGCATATAACTAAAAATAAATAAACAATATTGTATAAATACAAAAAAAGATGAAGTAAATTAAAATAAGTCACAGAAATTAATGAACAAAACTCAACTTAAATATATAAATAAAAAAGTAAACATTTAAATGATTTAGCCTCTGAAAAGCTCAACAAATCAAACAGCCCGCTATAAAACTAATCAAATTAAAAAGCAATATATATATATTCATATAGCCATATTTATGTGTGTAAAGTCGGGCTGGCTGTGTGGCTGATAAGGCGTCAAGTGCTCGCTAAAATCCAATAGATATTGAAATCGGTTCGAATTGAGTGCGAAAAAAGAATCGGGGAATTCGCGAGTTACAGCAATTGCAGCCGAACGCAACAAATTTACAGCGGGCAATTAAAAGCGCGGCCGTAAATCACAATTCTGGCAACAGTTATCAAAAGAGGGTTAAGGGCCGTTTGGCGAATGGCTAACCGTTATTTGCAGCTACCAATCACAATAACAATAAGAGCAATAACACCAACAATAACAATAACAATAATAACAGCAGCAACAAATGCTGGGCGATAAATATGCTAAAATAGTAGCTGACAACTAACCACATAATAAACAGCACACCACAGCCCACTCCAAGCCAACTATTTAACTACTCGGCGAGTGTAGCGCCCAACGTGTGAAACTCCCAACACAGCTGACCCTCAGCACCCAACGCCACTTAGCCCGCAAATATGGCCTGTTTTCCGCGTCTCTTCCATCATCGCAGTAAAAACAAATTTACGCCCGCCCAAGATGAGAACACCGACACCATACTCAACACACAAGATAGCCCCGTGGTGAGTTTCTGCTGCTAAAAGAGAACAGCCCATACTCAACACACTATCAACCATTTAGTTGTAATAAGCAGCGCTGATGAGTTTATTAAGTGTTTAATTAAGGGAGGCGGCATGGGGAAACGTAGCCGAATCAACAGCCAAACATTTAACGGTTAACCAAATACCAAAGCCGACTAAAAAAATATATAGAAAAATAAACACATGTGTGGCCCAAACTGTTGTTATCTCTGTGGCGTTCACTTTTCAAATGCTCCTATCAGAAAGCCACAAAAATGATAAAAAACTTCGCACACACATCGAAGCACAAATACACTAACAAAAACCCGACTGCAGAGCATCTTTAATATAATTAGACATTCATTTAATTCATATTTTTATTTTACAGTCTAGCTCACCTTTTCCTAACATGTTAATGCTAGGAACAGATTTATAATATATAAGTGTAGCAGTGCTTTTTTCTGTTAAGCAACAACTTTTAACATAGCTATGTTAAGTACATAACATGAGTATGTTGGTAACAGATTTGTGGGTTAATATGGTTATGTTAAACAGATTTATGTTAAATACAGCTGCCAGCAGTCAGTGACAAATTCTTACATACTCTGCCGGTTAGCTTTATCGTAAGGGTATACAAATCGGTATAATTAGGCATAACTAACCAGGCAATACGGTAAATCATAATACATTATGTTCCTTTATCTATTAGCCAATGAAATCTCAATAGTTGCTACCAATTTATTTAGTATTTTTTCATATCAATTGCTGGACCCTTATCTATCAGGCGCGTAAGTATATAAGCATAGTTTTATTAGTATGTTGCTATAAATGTTAGCTAAGTTTTCCGGCTTTTCGATAATAACTAGGTCTTAAGGTTGCTCTATCACCATATGTTTCCAGTTAAAACTGCTCTAGATAGTGTTTAATTAGCAGAGATATGGGTGCTGGCAGGTCTTTAGAAAGTCAATTTTTTGATTCAAGATTTTGCAATTTTAAATTGGATTTTCGCATCGAAATTCGATGTTCTATTTCTATCAATCTAAGATTGACAATCATTTCATATGCAAAAATATGATAAGCAAACATATGGACTGGATGTCGGCTGAATCTCATGCATAAATCGAAGTCAAGTAGATTCCAACCAGACACACGCACACACACACACACATACATATATGGCCCTTAGTTGGCAAAATTCTAAAGTCGATGCCTGCGAGTGCTGTCGGAATGTCAACGTGATAAGGATCGACAGGATTGGAGACACTCTGGAACTCAGGCCTCATTCCAAGCAGTTCAAAGTGAAAGTCGTCAAGCAAACAGCACCCAAAGGGGAAATAAATGCATTTGCGTTTGACATCTTGAAGTGTTGCGATAAATACAATAAGAATAAAGTATTTTATTTTTTTTTTGGTTGCTGTTGACTTGACTTTTTGATATACTTTCGATTGCACAGCCTATGCGAAACCCTTTGTAGGCAACGATTATCAATCGGATTTGCAGCAGAGAAGAGCAGAGCAATTGCTTCGGGCTGCTATCGAGCACATTTTCCAGCGCTTTTCATTTTGTTTTCTTCTTTTGCGGTTTCCGATGGGAAAACGGAAAACCTGTCAAAATGTCGTCGTTTAAGTCTGATTAGCATATCAAAGTGGAGACAAACACGCGACCTGCATATTGACATGTGTTTATTTATGCGGCTTGTGGGCTTGCCATACAACAACAACAACAACAACAGCAGCAGCATTGAGCCCGTAGGCTGTGGGCTGTTAGCTCACCAAAAAGGTTTGAATATTTTATTGCCCACATGCCTGGCTGCCAATTGAGCGATAAGATGTACCGTTATTTTGCGGGGGTGGCATCTCATGAGCGCTACGAGCAGCAAGAGAAGCTGGAGGGAAAAACCTTATCCTCAGGCTAGGCTGCCAAGGAATAAGTCGCTAATCGCTGGCATTTAAATTGCATAATCTTGGCCTTTAAATTAAATAATTGAAACTTATTCCTTTGATTACCAGAGATTTTGAATTGAACGGGCTGACGCCGGAAACTTGCTTTTATTTTGTAGTGCAAAACGTATTCTAAAACCGACATTAACTGAAATAAGTAACCAAAGAAACAAAATGAACTGAATTCCATTGAATATAATTATTTATAATTTTATATTTATTATTATTTATTATATTTATAATTTATAAAGTACATGGTATTGAAGTCCGCCTCCTGTCGCCTTCAAGTGGGCTATGGGATAATGCTCTTAATGTTCATAAGACTATCGCTAACGTGATCGAGGGACATACGAAAACCACTTGTGAACTCTCCACAAATTAGACGCCGTGGGAAACCATGGCAAGGATCATAAGATTTTACTTAAGAATTAGAATTAAAGGCCTCGCTCGAGAGAAATCGGTATGGCCTTATATAACTCGTATCATTTATTAAAGATATTGTATACACATGTGTAAGACAATTAACTTCTAGTCTGCAAATTCTCATTTATTTATACTTAAAGTTTTATAAACAGGCTTCTTCTACTCTTCACATAAATAAGGACCTACCTATATAATATATTATTCGTATTTTTTAAGAAGTAAATATTCTTATAATAATATATAATTTAAATAATTTAATATATTTAATTTAATATATTGTCTATTATAATATATAATTTTTATTAAATAATATTTTTATTAATTTTTTATCTGTTGTTTTACCATTATTCTTCATTAATAAATCTGCTTAGTTACTAAAATTCTCATTATCTTAAATTAAGCTTGGTTTTTTTTTAATTAAAACTTATTTATTTAATTATTTGTTTAATTTTTATAAATTTTCTTTATAGCAAACATATTGAAGCCTTAATTTTCTATAAAGCAGAATTACCATTTATTTTATTTATTTATCAAGCAGACTCTTTTCCAGCTTTGTCGTCGTAAAACAAAGCTATTAATAGAATTCTCGCTGCTTCATATAAAAATTCATTCTATCTTTATCAACTGCACATGCGAAAAATGAAGAAATAAACAAATAAAAATACACAAATAATGCGAGCAAGAAATTCAAATGAAAGTCAACATGGCAAATAACATATACGAATATTAAAATACCCTAAAAGAACTGAATGCTTTTTAAATTAAAAGTAAATAAAAATGGTTTATTATTGCAGAAAACCAATTTAAAATACCACAATAAAATATTTAATGTCTTCAAAAATATACGTATTGAAGTCTTAATGCAAAGCTGTTAAAAGAAAATTTAAATTTAAGTATTTTACAATATATATTATTTATTAAGCAAAGAAATTGTTGGAATACGTTTATGAAGTAGAAGAATTGGTTTATGATAAGAGTATACAAAATATATATTTGCATCTCTTTACGTGAGTATACATAAATATATATATATAAATATATTTGTGTATATTTAGGTATACTATCTATAGGAATACGAATAACCTTTATTATTTATTTAGAACAATGTGCGCGTAAGCAAAGAAATTGTTGGAATACGTTTATGAAGTAGAAAAATTGGTTTATGATAAGAGTATACAAAATATATATTTGCATCTCTTTACGTGAGTATACATAAATATATATATATAAATATATTTGTGTATATTTAGGTATACTATCTATAGGAATACGAATAACCTTTATTATTTATTTAGAACAACGTGCGCGTAAATAAACTCGGACAAGCAAAGCAGATAAAGTTGTGAGTCAAGTGGGAAGCTAGATATCAAATGTAAAGAAGTTAAAATATAGATATATATATATTTGAATATATTTAGATATATATGTATATTCATATAGAATCATACGAGTCATAACTCAATTACTTCTAAAGAGTAGAATTTTAAATGGAATTGTAAATACGTTGGACTGGCACGAAAAGCTCATCAATCCGTTAAAGCCTCAGCTGTCATCTAATCAAAAAAGTGTGGAAAAGCCCCTTGCCCGGGTCTGGCCTCAGTTGGATTCAAATAAATGACAGCTCTTTTTACTTTTCAAGCAATATGAAGAGCCAAAGCGTCGCAAGTATGAAAAACATTCGCCTCGAGTCTAATGCGCACACAATACACACACACACGCTCACATAGATACAAATGCGACAATATGGAAACATATTTATAAGGCACAGAGATACAAATGGCAACACAATGGACATTTGTTGCTGTTGTTGCTGTTTATTGAGGCTCAATGGCGGGATAAACTGGCAACTGTTGCAGACATTCAACTGCACGGCTTTTCGTATTTATCAGCTGTGTCAGCAGCAGATTGATTTCAAAGCAGCGGACAGATACAAACGCACACCCATCTACACCCGCACAATGACACACAGCCACGCACACACCCACCCAACTGGCATTATATGCTTACTTTCACAGATTGTTTGCAAGTTTGTTTTCTTTTTTTTTTGTTCTTTTTCATATATTTTTTTTTGATGCTGTTTTGTTTGCATTTGCTGCGTGGCAGTCGCAGTTGTTGTTCTCTTCACTGTCATATATATGTTTTATATGTGTGTTTTTTCTCTTTTTAACAGAGACCTGTTGACATTTGACGCGCTTTGGCATTCCACACTGAATGGAAGCTAAATTACGTTGAACATAAATTTTAAGCGGCTGTCGCTCTAAAGCCCCACTGCCAGTTGATGCTTAAATAAGTTTTTATCTTTATTTGAAGTTAGAGTACTTAAAACTTCACAAATGTATATAGACTTGAATAATAGCTGAAACGCTGTTAACGGCTTGAAACTTGCATTAACATGGCTGGGAACTGTAACTGTTAACTTAACATAATAATATATTAACATAATTATAACAATTACATGACTCTGTTAACGACTGGCTGGACCTTTTGAGTAGTTGTTAAGAGAGCTCATTTCATGTAGAGGTTGAAGTAGACATTAATGATAGATATATATAGTTATGATATATAATATAATATATAATATATAGATTTTAGCTTTATATGGCCGAACTGTCTGCTAAAGCTAATGGTATTTGCCATAAAGTTAGCAATGAGCACAGATTCAGTTAGCCATAATCATTAAGAAAATGTGTAAAGTACTCTATGAGATATCTCAAAGCAATAACTCAATCACATTTCACTTTTTTGCTGCCTTAGAATAGATTTGAGCATGTTTAGTAAGACGGGCTCAGCTGTAGCTCGCGTGCTTAATCTTATCAAACATGAGTACAGAAACATTATAAAGTAAATGATGTCAAAATGTATTAATTAAATGAATTTATTTAGTTAATTAATTAAGTATAAACACAACATTATGTATTTAATTATTTTTTTTAATTAATTAAGTATAAGCATAGCATTAAATATTTATTTATTTATTTTTGCTTGCTTTTAGACTCTAGCTTTAACATGCTTGCATCTTATACAGTAAATGAAGACTTTTTGAATACTTGTTCATTTTGATTCTAATAAATATTTTATTGCTTCATTTTCAGCAAATTGGCCTCTACATACGACGCGAGGAGAAGCCCCTCTACTCACCCATCATCACACCCAGCCCGAGTGAAGTGAGTCTTTTATTTGTCATATATATATACATATTTATATAGATACACAGTAGACCTGTTGCAAAGCACTTTTCGTTAGCACAAAAATCACGGGGTCCGGCGGCACACAACATACGACCTATTCAACCATAAAATGCTTGTCTTTGCCAAACTCAATTAATATTTGCACACATGTTTCTTATACTTTCAAACGAAATGATGTTTACGAAAACAACAACAATCAACACGAAACACTTGTAAATATGTACACAACAACAACAACAACAACAACAACTTAAACAATGCTCACGGACCCACTTGCACCCCGCACTTGTGTTTGTCTTTGTAAATGTTTTGGCGTACGTCTACACCTGGCTATGCCTTGGGGTCCTATTAGGCGCAACTGCAGCGCCTAAAACAACAGCCCTCCAGCTCCTCCACACAGCCGCTCGAAGCTGTGGCCGAAAATGTGGTCAACACTAACGTTGCTGAGCTCCAAGAGGCGGCGCAGCAGCAGCCACAGCAACAGACAAAAAAGTTTCTCTCGCACAAGAGCAGACTTCAAGCCGAGTACAGAGAGAAGGAGAAGGACAAGGAAAAGTCCTGGATGGTCAATGGAAGTGCAATTAATGTCACACGTAACAATTCAAAATTAAAACCCGTCAAAGAACGTCGCCCCACAGCTCTGCCCACCGAGGCGCCCAATGTGGATGGCGATGGTGTCCAAAGTGACGTTGATGAAACCCACACAACGGAGGAGCTGGAGCTGCCACCGGGTGGCAATGTTGTGGTTGGCAAGTCAAAACTCAAAGGAAGTGTGAATGGCATAATTGATGAGAGCGGCGACAACAATGAGCCAGTCCAGCAGCAAACTCAATCGACAGCCACGTCCTCGATATTCACACCAGCACCGCCGACAAAGGCAAATGTTAAATTTTTCATTGGTCATACACAGGAACTAAATGCTGAACAGCATACTGATGACACTTTGTCCTGTCATAGCAGTGATGACAACAACATCAGCAACAGCAACAGCAACAACTTCAAGCTCGCAAATGGAACACTGCCACCGGGCCAACAACATGGACAGCGCCTGGCGGAGTCATCAGCATCAGCACAGGTACCCGCAAAGAGCTGCAGTAATATGCCCCTCCATTATCTAAGAAGATCCAAAAGCACGATAGCCACCAACGAGCCGCTCGCCACCACCGGCCAGCGACGGCGAGTGTCCACAATGCCACATATTAACATACCGCCACCGCCACCTTTGCCTGTGGAGCTTCTAAAACCGGTTACCCCACTGCATCTGCGTAAGAAACGCAGTGCGGAGACTCCAACAGCTAAGGACCCGCCGCCAGTCGATGTGCCGGATGGTGCAGTCACTCAAGTACGTAATGAATCAACTCAACTGCGGTAAAACATGCTCCAACAGAATTTTGTGGTTTTTTAAGGGGTCGTGTCATTTAAGTAGCTGGTTGTACGTCAGCTACTTGCCAACTACCCAGCTCAGTCTATTAAATAGTCCTGCCAAGTATGGCCTGCATATACAAGTCAAGGTATTCAGACCGATCCCTCGGAATTCATTTCTCCGAATGAATAGCTCTTCACTTTTCTGCTATCAAGGATAGCACAGATAGATAGATTGTTGTCAGAATCAGTTAACAGTTCTAGGAGTTATAGCAATAGACTATTGGAGCTCTACAGTCAATAAGTAAGCCAAAGCTTATGGACTGATCCCTCGGAATTCATTCGCCTAAATAACGAGCCGGACAGATAGCTATTGAGAATGGATGCTATTATTAGTGGTAGGAGTTAGTTACAAATTATAGTAGTTATTACGATTGCCTATGGAAATTCTACATAACAAATGGAAAACTATAGATTTTAGAGCGATCCCTCGGAAAACAATTGTTCGAATGAAGGGGTAAAGCAAGCTATTAATGTATGTATGCTATTGTTAGTAGTGGGAGCTAGTTAAGAGTTGTAGTAGCCATGACTACCAGACATGGAAACTCTACATCAAATATAAATCTTAAATTATTCGGGCGATCCCACGGAATGCAGTTGCTTTACATTTGTGAGGTTTTAACAATGGAGTAGCAAATTGTGAGTAATTCAACTCAACACTTGATATAATTATTTATTATTATGTTATTATTATTATTATTATGTATTTTATCAGGTTCACAGAGCATAGCTCTACACTTAAAATGCATCCCTTGGTAAATACATCCAACAGATTTTCGCAGGCAAATTAAACTCATTTTTCCGCTCAAAATGTGCAGCACATTTTAACCGAGGCTAACAACTTTGTTAACCTGATTGTGGCAGTAACTAAGTACTCATTACTAATTAAATATTTTCTACTACCACAACATAAAACAAATATAACAAGTGCAAAAAGGGGAGCAGAACCTGACCTAACGCTATGGAAAAGTCTGTATATTATTGTAGCAACTAAACGTGGCGTAGCCGGAGGGAGAGACAGCTGACTCCTCGACATGCTACTAATTACAAACGGAATGTTAATTGTTTGGCAACAGACATGAACTTCAACCTTTGGCCAACAAAAGCAGCCAACAGATAAAACTGTTGCTTTCCCTATCACGCAGGACTGCCCCTTTTCTCTCTTTCTCTGTGCTCTTTCTATCTGTCTGCCTGCTTGAATGCAGCTGTTGCCATTTCTCGCTCTATTACTGTTACAGGGCCCACCTGTATTTACCTGTGGCCAAGCACGCCCCTTGCTAAGCTGCTGCTGAGACAGCGAAATTTTCCAACCCGCAACTAAATTTTTTGGCTGATGTTGCGCCTTAGCTGCGCGTAAGTCGCTGTCCTTCGAGCCGCCTACGTGCACCGATTAAACCTTGACTCAGCCTGCCCAGAGGCAGATGACTGCAATTTCACTGCGTAAAAGGAGGTAAATATTTAATGGGTAACAGCTCGCGTCATTATGGGCGCTCGTAAAGTCCCTAATTTGCCCCCAGAAATAATGCGGTGTAAAGTTTTAGTGGAAGATATGAAGTTTTGCAGTGTTTATGTGTCAACTGGAATGAAATGTCCGAGGGTACCCTGCTCACTCATATCGCTCAGCTAATCTTGAAGCTCAACTGGAACTGTCAACAAAAATAACCACAAAACTCAGTTGACCATATTAAAAGATTGGACTGTGGAAAACAAACAACTAAATAACCCAATGCTTGCTTCATTTATATTTTACTTCGGTCTATTCTTCGCAATCAACCGCATCAATTAGGATGAAGTGGGCCAGCGCAAGGAGAGCGACAGAGGCAGCAAGAGCAGCCGCAGCCGCAGCTCAACAACCAAAACACAGCGCGTCGAGGGGGGCCTCATCTATGTGCGACCGAATTTGCCCGTGCAGCAGAATATTGAAATCGAATTTAATGCAAAGGACGAAGCGTAAGTCGAGTAAACAACTCTTGTTGATTGCCCAAGGTAAACCCCATCGATATATATTTCCACTGTCATCATCATAGTACACGCAATCTCATACTCGAAGCCATCGACCGCAACGATTTCCTCAATAATCTAATGGACAAGGAGCGCAAGGACATGGTCATCAATGCAATGGCGCCGGCCAGCTACAAGAAGAACAGTTACATCATCAACGAGCACGACGAGGGCTCCGAGTTCTTTGTCTCTGCCGAGGGCTACTACGATGTGATACAAGCGGGTCAACACGTCGGAAACTTTGGTCCAGCCACCGTTTTTGGCGAATTGGCAATACTCTACAATGCGCCACGCAAGGCCACCATTAAGGGTAAGTCAAATAGGCTCAAATAGAGTCAAGCGCAGGACCTTAAGCCTTCAGTGCCTTACAGCTGCCACCGATGCTCGAGTTTGGAAGATTACGCGAGAGACATTTCGTGCCATTATGCAAATCTCTGGCTCTAGAGAGCGCGAGGAGAATTTGCAGTTTCTCCGCTCAGCTCCATTTCTGCAGGAGCTCGAGGAGAGTTTACTCAACAAAGTCGTTGATCTATTGCAGCGGGTAAATGATTTAGTTTAATTATAGATAAGTCCGAATTGATGTGGAATATCTTTATATTGCAGAAATTTTATGAAACTGGCAGCTGCATTGTGCGTGAGGGCGAGGTGGGCAATGAGTTCTTCATCATACGCGGCGGCACGGTGACCATCAAGAAGAAGGACGACGCCAAGCAGGAGCAAGTTGTGGCCAAGCGTAAGCGCGGCGACTACTTCGGAGAGCAGGCGCTGATGAATGCGGACGTGAGACAGGCGAGTGTCTATGCAGATGCGCCTGGCACTGAGGTACTCAAGCTGGAGAGAGAGTGAGTTCAAAAGTCCCGAAAGTCTGCTTCTTTTACAAGATTTCTTGTTTGCAGAGCTTTCATTAGCTACCTGGGCACCATCAGGCAGCTGAGCGAGAAGCCAAAGGAGCAGACCAGTGAGAATGGCCGCACGAGCACTAGAAGCACAGAGTTTGATAACGAACACGCTCACATCGCCATTTCGGATCTGAAGAAGGTGGCTACACTGGGCGCAGGTGCCTTTGGGCGGGTGGATCTGGTCACCCACAACAATCAGACATATGCGCTGAAGATCATTAAGAAGATCGAAGTAGTCAAGCAGGATCAAATCGAACACGTGTACAATGAGAAGAACGTGATGATCAAATGTCGCGCTTCACCCTTCATAGTGCAGTAAGTGGCGCTGACTTTAGATAAGTTCTCTAACCTCCTCCACGTCCATGCCCTATCTAGACTCTATCGCACTTATCGCAACGAGAAGTATGTGTACTTTTTGATGGAAGCTTGCATGGGCGGCGATGTGTGGACGGTCATGTCAAAGCGTCAGTATTTCGATGATAAGACTGCCAAATTTATAGCTGGCTGCGTCGTGGAGGCCTTTGACTTTCTGCACGCGCACAACTTCATCTACAGAGACCTCAAGCCAGAGAACCTAATGCTCAGCAGCGATGGCTACTGCAAGCTGGTAAGGCGTCTGAAGGCTTCGAATTCTAGTTTACTCTAACGAGTCTCGATTCTCTTTTGGCCAGGTCGACTTTGGCTTTGCCAAGTATGTGCGAGCCAATGAGAAGACCAACACATTTGCCGGCACGCCCGAGTATGTGGCCCCTGAGATTATATTGGATCGCGGACATGATCGGTCCGTGGACTACTGGGCACTGGGAATACTCGTCTACGAGCTGCTGGTGGGCAAGACACCCTTTCGCGGCGTCAATCAGGTCAAGATCTACCAGAACATCCTCAGCGGCATCGATGTCATCCACATGCCCTCACGCATACCCAAATCCGCACAGAATCTAATACGACATCTGTGCAAGCAGCTGCCCGCGGAGCGACTGGGCTACCAGCGGAAGGGCATTGCGGACATCAAGCGGCACAGCTGGTTTGATAGCTTGGACTGGAATCGACTTAAGCACAAGCAGCTGCCCTCGCCCATCAAGCGCTCCCTGAAGAGTCTGACAGATCTGCAATACTTTATGCCGCTGGGCGTGGAGACGGACTATGAGCCGCCCGAAGAGCTGAGCGGCTGGGATAAGGACTTCTGAAAAGTGCTTCCTTTAGCGATATTTTTGTGGTTAAGTAACTTAGCTGGCGGGGTGACTACGTGTCATAAGTTGTAAATAAATTGATATTACGATTGTTTAAGAATTTTGACTTGCCAAACTTTTGCCAGCGAAGCTTGTTTTTGGCTGCGGGCGATGCTATCCAATCATTTAGCGTATTTGCTTTTGCCACTTCAATTAGAAGCGCAAACTAGTTGCTGCTGTTATCGAGTTATCGCGGTACACACACACACACATACACATATCCCCAGTTGGACATTGAGTTGGCAAATGGCTGGAGCAAATAAACATTTTCAATTAAGCGCTTTCAGCGAGTTTCCACTTGGCTCGTGGCACATTGTTTTCTCCAAAAGGCAAATGTCTAAAGTTCCATGGAAACATGACTGCATTTGCATTGTGTTTTTGTTGCAGACAGCTTTAAGCGACAGCTGCCCCTTTGTAACGGTATCATAAAGTAAAGGCAACTTTGTCGGTCTATTGTCTGCGCCTGTCGACTCGACTTGAGTTGAGTTGAGTTGAGGCACTCATTAATGTCCCCATGCCGTTGACATTCATTTGTATCTTACAGATACTTCTAAAAGCACATCCAATATAATTGCATTGTCTGCCGCCCGACGACACATTGCGTATGCTGCATATGACACAAAACTTTATTGTTTTTGAATATAATAATAAAGTGCAGCTTGCTCTCTGCACGTCTGGCAACGTATGCAAGGTAACGCAGGAGGCTCAAGTGTGTATGTGTGTGTGTGTGTCGGGAAGCTGTGGCTGTTGTTCAAATATGAAGCCAAGTCAAGCACAATTACGTTAGCTTGAGGTATTCATAACAAGTTGTATACTGTATCTATGACTTTGTTACACTTCAACGTTCCATGAGTTCAACTTCAAGCGGCTTGTCTCTAATTAGACAATTTGTGCATTTACCTTAAAGTAAAACAATTTTATTAAGCAACTTGCCAAAGTGAAGTACTTTTGTGTATTATGCTTTAGATTAGTTCGGATTAATTGATTCTTATTAGACAACTACATGAAGTGTTATCCATCTTGATGTCTATCAATCTGTTTGTCGGCTTTTATAAGCAGAAACTATTTCAATGTTATTAAAACATGACATGCGGAATATATACTCTTGTGTAAGGGAGTATTAAGACTATTTGGACATGCCACTTGCGTCATTTTGTCTTGCATTTTGAGCGCCATTGGTCTGGACGGTCTCCTCATTCAAGTGGCGTTATCTACAAATTTGATGACATTACAAAATTCTTTAGTATAGCGACTGCAGAAAAAATACTTGAAAGCTGGAGTGAGTTATATTGTACGTTATATTGAGGAAAAACAATTTTTATTCATAAGAAGAATGTTCCGATCAGATAAGAATCATAAATAAAATACTAAGATTTGCATAGATCTCTCCTGTTTAAACAATTGACAACTACTAAAATGTTGTATTCCATAGTTTGAGGGCTTTGCTCTGTGGACTGTCTATTCAAATATAGATGTTTAGCTAATTAATATTTCGAAAGCTTAAGTCTTTAACTTATATTAATCAAATTAGATGTCAGAAGGTAAGACGTCTTCTAAAGAGATATTTTCTTTTTTTGATTGGGAGTTTCACATTAAGTTGCGTGTTCAGATTTCTTATCAATCTGCTTGTTCCTCTGCAGAATTAATTCTAATTCTATTTGCATTCAACCGACTATTCAACACAGCTGTCACTAGTTACTAAACCAACTAAATATTCTTATATAGTCTAGTAAACATTGTCTATTCCATGTTATAAATTAACATATCTTTGTTTATTTTAAGTTAAGTCAATGCTTGAACACAAAACAAAAATCAAAATTTGAAAGCAAAAAAATGAAAAAAGTCGAATAAATTTGAATTGCTTAACAAGCAAAAAATTTATAAATATGCATAGCAACAAATTTATATAAATTGATAAAAAATACTTTGAACAGTTAAAAATCGATTTTTTACCGAATTCATCACAAGCATCGGTGGTTCAGTGGTAGAATGCTCGCCTGCCACGCGGGCGGCCCGGGTTCGATTCCCGGCCGATGCAAAAGAAATTTTTTACACTTTGTTATACATTTATTTTTTTGCTATGCCAAGACTAGACGATTGATAGTTAATAAAACAAGTTTCCATTCAATTGTCGCTGAACATAAAATTCCTCAACAATATTACTGCTGCCGTGGTGGCTGCAGAAATCGAATAATGAAAAGAAGAACAAATAGTCCAAGAGGAAATAGCGGTAGAAAGAAAAGCTCGCTAACCGACTGAGCAGAAAAATGTCACAACAATAATAAATGATAATTGATAATAACGTTTTGCTACCTTCCTTCCGACCGCAGTCAGTCAAATAAAAAGAAAGTAGTCTATGGGTGTGCGTGTGTCTGAATGTAGGAGGAAATCAATAAAAATGATGGCGACAACATTTGGCCACAATTTCAATTTTGTGGCAGCCAAGCAAAGCGAACAAAACGCGCAACATTTCAACAATTTCCGTTCGTCGTTGGCGGCAAGTGAAAATTTTCATTTTCGCACAAACCGGCGCAAATGTTTTTCTATACATTCCTCTTAGACACCTTAGACAACGCCCTTTGCCGCATTTCTATGCGACTGCACAAAGTTGGACGAAATGTCATCATTTCCGTTGAGGGAAAACTGTGCGCGCTCAACCGTCAACGTTTGAGGAGGAGGATTACAGCAAGGACGAGGGCGAGGGCGAGGGCGTGGACGAGGACGAATGGTAACTACGAGTAGCATGTCGACGGGTTATCAGTAAAACAGAAAGCGCGCACACCGGGCGAAAAGGGTTAACTAAGAGAAACCATGCAAATCCCCTTTTATTTACCCAAAAACTTTTGATGCAAAAAGCCTCAAATATATATATGTACTTATATATATATATATATATATATATGTATATATGTATTTGGTCGAATCAAATACACAGCGCGTCCGTTCGCCTCAGGACCTCTCAATGCTGCAGCGCACGGTGCCCAAACGAAGCGTGAAATTGTTAAATGAGTGCGAATGTCTGCCAAGTAACTGGATACCCGATGGGGTCCAATGCGCCGATGTGCCGATGGGCCCTAGCTGAGCTTGGACTTCTTTTGCATTTGTGTGAAATTATTGATTAAGAAAGTTTTCCTACGTGCACGCTTGGTCATCAAATATATTTATATATATATAGTATAAATCCCTCAATAAATTCAATCTAATTGAATCGCATTGAGTTTATGTGCCCGGTCTGAATGCCAATGGAGTCACGAAACATCTAATCTAGAAATTTGTAATTAAATTATGGCCAAAACAACATTTATTTTATCAAATAAAATGACTTTTGAATATCAAAATAAATCTGCTGCATTTTTGCATAATTGGATTAAAGTGTTGCATTCATATAACGCATACGCCACGTTGCACATCATTTAATACTGAAAGTATTTAAATGTTTCATAATTAAGTCGAAGCCCATTTGACAAATATTAAAATTTTAAAGCAAACTGACAACACACACATACATGTATGTGTGCTCATATGTGTAGGTCTGTTTGCAATCTTTTGAAACAAAACTGTCAAAACTGGACTAACAAGCAATTTATAACTTGTGTGAATGCCAAGGCACACAAAACGAGCAGCACACAAAAGGAGAAAAGTCTTTTTATAGTTTCAACTGCTGACCAGAGCAGAGAACAGTTACGAGTAGCGTAGGCCTAATATATGCAGCACTGGCAGAAGTAAAAGCTGCTTAGCAACTTTGACTTTTACCCATTCGAATAGACGAATGCAAATTTTTGTGCCACAACTTGAAGGACTTACATAACTTGGCCACAATCTGATTGAGGCTGCAAACAACATTTTCTGACCCTAATCAATGTGACCATTGTTTACCTACACTTCCAAACATCTGGTGCCCTCCAGCCAGCAAAACTATCCAACCAATATGCTTCAGATTTCATTTGAAGACAGTTTGTGTTCATTGAGTTGATATATGCCCAGATTAAACTCATAATGAACAGTTCAAACTGTTGCGATAACACATTGTTAGTTGCAACAAATGGCTCAGCTCTGACTTCAAAATAGTTCGGCATGAAAACCCAAATCAAACTATTGATTATTATCGGTAATAAGTAAAAGCGTTGAGGAACATACATCAAAAATGCCAAATCATTAGCTTTCGTGGGACAAGCGAACTTGACTCAGCTTGACTTTAATATACGGCTTAAAAATATGAAAGATTAATATAAATTATTTGTGATTATATCATTATATAAGTATATGTTCACATATATATAAACATTTAATAAATCCAAGAATTATGATACGAATATAAAGACTTTCATAAGGAATTTTCTATACATTTTAAATTGTATATAATTTTATAAATTATTTGAATTGAAATTTGTAATTGTAATATTGCGAATGGCAAATTTTTATTTCGTCAAATTGTAAAATTATTAAATTAAATATTTACAAATTATTTATGCATACATATTTATTATATATAATATTAATATAATATAATAAAAATAAAGATCCAAATAAGAAATAGTTAAAATAGTAACCATACATTTTAATTTACTAAATATATAAGACAATATTATTATATTATTTCGCAAGTCTAAATAAATTGCATTTCAAAATCATTTTATATTTATTTTTGTTTTAAAAGAGACTCTAATAGGAAAAAATTGTAGAGCTCTAGCTCGAATAATATAGAAAATGTTCAACATCAAAAGAGAACGTGATGACAAGCAGTACATATTAGTTATATTTATTAAAATATGTTAAAATAATAAAAAGTGACATTAATATATAAAAAATGTATATGTATAATCGCCAATAAAAATTGTGCCTTCGGTTGTTTACTTTAATAAATATATAAAATATATAAAATAAATATTGTATTTGAGTTTACAGTTTATTTATGTCTTGACCTGGGGCCAATTGTCAATTGAGATGTCTAGAAATCGAAATTTAAATTTTGTTTTTCTTCTCTAGATAAATTGTATTTGTTTT